ATATCTACCATAAACCCCAGTTTTCTATGATGATTTACTATTATAGATGATTATCTACCATTGTAGATGATGAAGCCAGACAAACCAAGCTAACGAACTGACTTTTCTGCATGGTTAAAGATGGCTCACATGTGAGCCCCCGTGGGTCAACATGTCCAATGCCAGGCATTTCTGCACAACTTGAAGAACTTGACTCCGGCAGGGGGAGATTTTCCATTCCATGTATGGCCAAGGTCTGTCCCCCTTGAAAAATACCTAGACCATCATGCGGTTTTACTTTGTGAGTTTTTGGATGTGTTGATCATTTTCTTGGGTGTATATATATACACTACACATAACATACACGTATCAGTCATGCAGATGTAAGCATACATACCGATAGAAGTGGGATAGAGGTAAAACACCGGAGATGTAGACAATTAAGCTAGGAAAGTGGAGCAAGTAGACAATCAGAGTGAGGATTCACGCAATTGAAGTTTGATATGGTACCTCGACAAAGAAGTATATCATAGTATATCATAGTATATCAGTATATCCAACAGGAACACGAGCTTGCCGAACCATTTCTGTGGGGTCTATGTTGAAAAAAACCGGTCCCTGTGATCTCCTGAAAAAATGCACTCGGATGAATGTTTTCACAGTGTGTGGATCATGAGCCAAATGATTTGATTCTCACGCATGATATGTGGACCGTGGACTTGCCCTTTGGTAAAAATTGACATAGCGAACTTCAAAATGGCCCATTTATAGATGACTTATGGTGATGGAAACCTCTTAAAATTGTGAGTTTCTTTAGTTATGTGAAATAACCAGAGGGTAAGTGAACAATCTACGGCCAGTTGCAAAAGAGACGGCTGGAAGAGAGAATTGTCACTCGGCACGGCAGAAACGGGACGGGCTAACGGCGATTCAATGTGGCTTTTAGCCATGGTGAAACCTCAGGAAATGATCTACAAAGCCATGGTGAAAGCCCAGGACAAATACTGAATTAATAACCCCCTGGTTCGCTAATAGGGGACGTCAACTTCAAAAACAATCTATCAATATCTATCACTATTTTGGGGACCCCCAATCTACAAACAGTGGGGTGATGAATCCCGGGTTTGACAGTATAGACCAAGCGACCAAGCATGTTGTGTCCTTGCCTGAAAAAATGCTAGATAATTGTTGGTAGTGTCAGACCAACCTACTCAGTGATTGACCATGATTGACCATCTTTTAAACGTCTTTAAGATCCAAGCTGCACAGGTAGCTGCTTCTCATCTTTATTGGTTTCAACATGTGTCACACCGCCACGATGGCGGTGAAGGTTGCTGCCAGAGCTGGTTGCTGCTCAATGGATGCACCTGAAAAAAAGTCTGCACCAATGATGTTCCAGAATTCTTGGGTTTAAGTCATCCGTTTTTATTTCTTGGTACAATCCTGTACAATCCACGAATTTCTGGATCTTTCTTTCCTACTTCTTGGAGAACCCCCCCAAGTTGCCAAGCGCCGAGAAAAAAGGCCCCAAATTGCCAAAGCCTGTGGCCTTGAGGCCGAGCAGAAAGCTGAACTCGAAGACATGGCGGACGATGTGTTCCATCTGAAGGGTCGACTGGGATCTGATGTCCCCGGTTCCCATCATTGGGAGATTCCAATCGCAAACTATTGAGGCTTTATTGATTTTTTTATTGATGTTTAGAGAAGGTGGTGAAAATTATGGGGATGGGATGAGGATGGAATTATAATTATATATATATACATGTATATATATATATATGTAGGAGAGACCTTTCTGTACTATTTGACGTGCTCACTAATCTTCATTATTTTAAAATACGAGAACATCAATCTTTATTTTCTTTATTTTCCAGAAGCCTCAAAAAGAAGATAAAGAAAATAAAGACAAATAAAACACATTTTCTCTATGTTCTTCATCTTCTTTTTGAGGCTTCCAGAAAATAGAGAAAATAGAGAAAATAGAGAACATAGAAAAAATAGAGATATTTTCTTTTTCTTTTCGAGGCTTCTGGAAAATAAAGAATATAAAGGAATATAAAGGAATATAAAGGAAATAAATCATAATAAATCTTTATTTTTTATTTTTACTTTCCAGATGTCCAGCAGGATGGAAACTATGTATAGAAAATAAAGGTGTCTTTTCTTTATTTTCCAGAAGCTTCAAAAAGAACATAAATAAGACTAATAAAGGACATAGCTCTTTATTTTCTTTATTTTCCTGGAGCCTCAAATAGAAAATAAAGAAAACATCTTTATTTACCGGAAGCCTCACGGTACGTGATGAGTGATTCACCATCCGTCAAACTCTTGACGGCTCTACAGCCAGTCTTTCCAAACTTGAAAGGTTTGGCTTTGGATCCCGTGCACTTAGCAATTGTGTATGAGTATGCGTAGTGGTGCAAACGCACTGTAGGATCCAAACGCCTGCGGAGCTTGTTGAACAAAGTCGTCCAGCATGACCCGAAGCGGGGAATGCTGTCTTGAGGGTCATTGTTTGATGGGCAGAACTGTTGCCCTCTTACCAGGCAAGAAGAAAAATGGAGGGAACAAATCTTAAACTGGACACAGCCAAAGGCCTGTCAGCAACGAGTCATTGACAACCTAGATCCTATTCTGCCAGTGCTGACACGCGTCAGCTTCATCGAGGCAGTTGCAGCCATGTGTGTTTTGCACAGCAAGGAGGTAGATAGGAAGGTTACGGGAACGCCCAAGCCCGTGCGGGATGTCTCCCCGCAGCGCTTGGAATGGTTATTATTCAACAACCAAAGAGTTCGCCACGCCCTATCGCCCTTGCAACGCGCTCTTTTGCCTTCCAGCACCACATCAGACGAAGCGCTTCACAGTGAAATTAATTCATGGACCCGCTCCACTCATGAAGTTCATCGCGCCACACTGAAGCTGATGGTTACCATATAGCTACTTGTTACCCCGCTGCCCGACAAACTTCTGACAATGTTCTACTGGCTCCCGGATTGGGCACGAACCCCTGGAGTGGCGCTGAATGGCAAGCTTCAGCCTCACTGGAAACTTGGCTGCAAATTATCAATGCCAAGGCATGTTTTGAGTCAGTTCTTGATTATCTGGGTTTTTGCCTTGGTGCCAAGGACAAAGCAGACCTACCTCTACATTCTGAGCGGGTGGAAGATGTAAGCCGCCTGGGACAATGGATGTTGAAAAATCCATCTGAGAAAGGCGCTCGAAAGCGTAAGCGCACTCCACTCACAGTGCCTCGCAAACATAGTCTGCGCCGCGAAGGTGTGAAAACAACACCTCCTGCGTAGCATCGATGCACAGATCCGAATCAGGTTGAAAAAGCTGGTCCTGCTCTGTCTATGCTTCATCTGTCTATGCTTCATGGCATGAGAAAGCATGGCATCAACCAACATATTCGCATCTCGTAAGCAAATTCTGATTCTTCATCGCATTGTCTGTGTGTGAATGTGGAAACCCTCAGACATCTGAGGCCACATTGCCCTGATGTGAGGAGGCACTGCGGCAAAGGGTGTCTGAAGCCTAAATGCCTTATTTGAAGTATTGCGTCAGCCTCAGTCAAAGTTGCCACCTCTTGCCCTGTCACAATGCATAATATATGCTCAACATTGTTTCCGGGGGCACAACCGAAAGGCACTAATCAAAAACAAATTGCATGCGCGGTGCACACCGTTGAGGACCTGTAAAGGTGGGTTCTGATGCATCCATGGCTCGCATGTCGGTAAACATCGTTGCCTTCACAAAGTTTAGGAAGGCGCAAGGTGCAGACCCAGGCACCAAAACTAGAACAACTGCATGCGAGGTGCACACCGCTGAAGACCTGTAGGGAGGTTCTGATACAGCCCTGGCTTGCTTGTTGGCAAACATTGTTGCATCACAAAATTTAGGAAAGCGCAAGGTGCAGACCAAGGCACCGAAACTACAGGCAGTAAGAAAAAAAGTCATGTGCGCTGCACACCGTTGGAGATTTGCAGGTGGGTTCTGATACAGCCTTGTCTCGCTTGTCGGTAAACAAGGTTGAAATTTCAGGAACGCCCTGGTTGTTGTTGAGAATTGTGCCAACCCTGTGCTTCGCAACATGCACCTGTCACGTGTCAGCATACAGAAATTACCAAAGCCCGTCATTCTATACGCAAAGGTCCCTTCCACATATATATATATATAGATAGATTATATAATTTGCATAACAAATCGAGGGATCGCGATTGAAGATCCACAAGGTCTTTCTAACGGTGTACGTTGAACCCAGCAGTGGGACAAACCTCAAGTTGATCCTCACGTTCACCAGCTACGTTGTGCTCATTGGATAATTCATAGCAATGGTATTTCAGTTGGTATTAGTACAGCAAAACCAGAGAATTATACATGCTACAAGCAAGATAATGATCTTCTGGTAATTTCTTACATAACTATTGACATAATATACAGGTAAATAATGGAACTAAATTGGCGATTTCCGAAAGCTATGCTATGTTACTGGAGGGTGAATATCTTACTTCGCGCGCTTCTGAGGGCAATAGAAAGAAAGAGATGCTGAAGCGAAACCAGAGAATCGCCAAGAAAAACAAGGATGCCAATCGGGTGCTGACGACTGTGCGGTTTGCATAGGGCTGTTACACTCTGTAGGGCCCCCACAATCTTCCAACTGAAGGGCCGGCCAAAGAGAAAATTTTGGCCAGAGATGCCGGGATCGAGATCAACAGTTCAATGAGTCGTTTTCCTTTTCCCAAAACTTCAGCCCGCAAAGTTAGAGATTATAGGACCTCAACTGACCCGCGTTGTTTGGGGGACCAGGGGCACAATGAACCCGGGACAGATCCAGGATTACTGGCAATCAGGGATGTATTCACATGGGGATGGATTGAAAATGAGAAAAGCCTATGAATTGCCATATTTTAGGGTGAATATTTTCATCATTTAATGATGGATTTCGGATCATTTATGGCTTCCCGTCATCAACAACGCCCACGGCTTCACTTGGTCCACGGCTTCACCGTGAGGCCAATGCCATGGCCTTGGAACGGATCCATCAGCGTGCTGCCGAAAAGGGTGGTGTGGTGAAGGCTGCGGAGAGTGCGGTAATTTTCCCATGGAAATTGTGGATTTTCCCAGCGATCAAATGGTGATTTTGAGATAGTTTTTGGTACCCTCTGGTAAACATACAAAAAACTAAGGAAAATCACCATCTTCAATAGGTAAATCAACTATAAATGGGCCATGTTCAATAGCTATGCTAGATTATCAGAGGGTATGTTTACCAGAAGCAGATGGGTTTGTTGGGTTAGAATGTATGTGCATACAGTGGTTTCATGGTGGTATAATGGTATTTTATACGGAATATCTTGTGGGATTTAAGCAACAATATGAGATGGGGGAGTTCCATAGTCATGAAAATACCCCAATAGCTGGATGGTTTATTTCATGGAAAATCCCAAAGAAAAATGGATGATTTGGGGGTATCCCTATTTCCAGATTTGTTTGGAAATTGTGAAGATTTTTTTGGGGGGGATGACAAATGGATAATCTATATGACATAGAATGAATTTATGAAGAATGTGATTGTGTTTGGGAATGAAAAAACAACATGATCATACTTTTCAATAATTATCTGGCTGGTGGTTTGGAACTTTTTTTTCTATGTTTCCATATATTGGGAATAATCATCCCCTTTGACTCTGACTAATATTTTTCAGAGGGGTAGGTTAACCACCAACCAGTTATAATACATGGTTGATGGGTGAATTTGTTGGGAATCATACTAGCTGGTTTGTAATTGTAATGGGATTATATATTAATTATGGAAAAAACAGCCTAGTAGGTAAACCTATCAACCAAGTAGTATTTCATGAGATGCGAAAATGACGCCGTTTTAATGGCTCGACGGGTTGTTTTAACTTTCAAACACGTAGATAATCACCGCTGAAGTATGTTAGCAAAATTGCGGGTAATAGGATGTAATATGGATATCCTGATAGCCATTCGGTATACTTTTAGATTGCTATGGTGGAAATGGCCCATTAAACTGATAGAAAATTCTTCCATAGCCTTGTCAAATTACCAGAGGGTGTATACACAATATATATATATTATACACACTCTATAAATAAATATATATATATATATATATAATACATATGATATATATATATATACATATGATATATATATATATACATATGATATATATATATATAAGATATCATATATTATATTGTAAAAATACAAGTATTTTAGTTATTAACTTATCCAGAAGGGTCATCTCATTAACCAGGTGCTAGCTGGGACTGTCATCCTACCCAATTCCTTTGGGACTCTAATCCCGACTAATCCATAGACCTGTCCGACCGGTGTATTTGCCAATTCCATTTGGTCTTTCATTTTTGGCAGCTGGTGAACACCCCCTATAGACGGATGGAGCATGTAACACAATGTGCTGAAAAAAACACCACCAACCACCAATGCGGGTGGATTGACCATCTATTTTTTGCTGGGGTCACCGACCTGCCGGGGGGATCCTACATCCCAACAATGGCTGGGGTTTCTACCATCACTTTGCAGATGAACTTCCCAATTTACATCACAGCCATCTGGAGGTGCCGGAGCACTTCGAAGACGAGGTGCTTTGAGGTTTTTTTTTGGCAAGGTTTTTTCTTGGATTGTGTTGCTTGTATAGATCAGTCAAATTCCAAGTTGGTAATCCCAAGTAGCCTTGGTTTTATCGCCATTTTTGGTTTTGTATTTCACCACATTTACCCCTACATTGGGTTTTGATGTAGGTTTTTTTCGTGGTGAACATCCATATACTAGCTCCCAGACCTGCTTGGAAGGTACTTGAATTACTCAAGATTGAGACATCAAAATTTTCAAAATAAGTACAAAACATGCAAAATCATCTTACAATCTGTCATAAGAATCTTATTTTGCATTGCCATACAATCTGTAATTCTAAATCTTACACTCTAAATAATCTTACTCTAATATATATAGATCCGCATAAATCTTTAGAATCAGAATCCTGCAATGCAAAGCGTGAAGACTCAGTGTGTCCCTCGAAATCTGCCATTCAACTGGGCCGTGTATCTAGCCATGACGCCGCCTTGGTCAGGCGCACTACATGAGCAGTTGGTTGCCCTCCTTCTACTTGGAATGCCAGGCACAGATTCAAAGATACAAGTACCTTGGTTTATGAGTTATGAGCATGCTAGTGCTGGAATCAAAAAAGAACCTGGATGATGAACAATTGGATTGGCTGAAAACCGCAAATGACCAGGATTTAGGAAATCCTGGGAAACATCAGCTTTACTAAAGTGGGGATTCGCAAGGTTCCTGGGTCATTAACTCATGGCCCCGTCTTGGAAATTGTGAAAACCATGATGTGCTGACTTGCCGCGTTGCTTAGTTGTTTGATTCACGTTGATGTGATTTACCCATTTCTAATCTTTCTGGAAATGGACATGGGGCAACAATGGAAAAGTATAGGAACATCATCATTTTAGAAATGGGAAATTTGAAGCCTGACTTGGATCTTCCACCAACAAAAATCATTTGGATAGCCCATTGAATCCACAACGGGATATGCTTGGGTTTTGGTCACAAAACACCATAATTGGATGTACATGAGGGGCTTTTATGAATGGGGCGGTTCCAACATCATCCAAAACTAGTCATTTTCAATCTTGAAACCAATGTGTTTTCCAAGGCGTCCTCCATTTCTAGTTTCACCATATGTATGTCAGCAGAATTCCAGAAATTCCTCTCCCATTTTGCCCATTTTACTTGTGGCTGAGGGAGACGGAGATGTCCAAAGAGACAGAACATATGAGATTCAACAGGTTCCAGCTGGACGCAGATTATTTGGTGCCGACCTCGGAGTTTTGGCAAACAGCAAGGAGATATGATGTTTTAGGGGGAGAATATGGTATAATGAATATGGTCTATAAGTATAGTCTATAAGTCTATACAACATTAAATGCATTGGAAAACTATATCATGTTAGATAGACATAGATAATTAGATCGATAGATCGATGGATGGATAGATGGTGTATATATATATATTACATATATGTATGTACTCGAGAATATGGGGCCCATGAAGTCTGCAACTCGGAAACTCTGGGTGTCCCGATTGTTTATCGTCCCGGAGGCCTCGTGTAAAACTTCATCCGTAACAAGAAAAGCCCCTCCCAGTAAGCACCAAGGCATCCGTCAAACATGGCTGGGATTTGGCTGGGATTTCTCCCAGTAAATGGGCATTGAAATGGGAACATCATCGAACTAAATGGTGGACAGTGGACAATTTTTCTCAAAATTCATGTACATCAACGGTTGGACAAATTTTCAACAGTGGAGCATTCATGAAAATTATTAGTGACATTGAATTCTTGCCATGTTTGATTATCAGTACATCCAGCATGTCACAAGCAAGGCCAGAACGAGATGTTTGGGATTAGCTTTGTTTGATGTCGTTAGCGAAACTTCTTTCGGTTGGATGTCATTGCCATTTGGCGCCTTTGGCAAAGTAGCATGGCCGCGTGAGAAACGCATACCCTTCAAAGCAGAAAGCAATCTACATGGATATAGACAGTGGACAGCGGGATTCAAATTTCAATCTTGAGCATAGCCAAGAATTGTATGGTTTATAGGTGCAAATGACCAGTCCTTTTTTTGTTGACGTACCATCCTAGTGTGTGGGATTCCAGTTTCGACCAAAGACACACACATGTGTCCAGATAATTACATGATCATATTATGTATTGTCGATGCATACGTACTATGCAATACAATATAGATATACATTGTATATATATATATAATCCCCGTTTGGGGCTCCTGGCTGAAAAGGGTGAGCTGGAGCCCCAAAATTTAACCCCATTTTAGCCAAATTTAGCCCCAAGAATGTTGGGCCTCAGCTTTTTATCTTTTGGTCCCTTTTTACATATTTTAGAATTTTGATTTTAAATTCACCATGAAGCCAAAGGATTTCATCCGAGGGAACACCTCTTGAGAGCATTTTTGCAATAGGTTGGGCGCAGGTAGTTTCAACCACTGACGCTTACTGAGAACCATTTTTGGCCTGAAGGTTGCACACAGGTTTTCATTCGACCGTGTCTTCTTGCAAGGCTCGACATTTTTGACGCCTAGACGGTGAACATTGAAATTTTGAGAGGTGTATCTTGGGAGGTTGGATGAGGATGGGTTTGCAAAATTGAGTCATTAGTCGTTTATGTTGTATCTTGGGACGTTGGTACAGGATGGGTTGGCTCACATGCGTGGTGTAACATGGCAAGCTGTTCCGGCAAAGTTCAAAACAGGGATGTGTGAGATGAAAAAGTTCGGATCTGAAGTTTGTAGTGTGTCTTGGGACGTTGGTTCAGGATGGGTTGGCTCACATGCGTGGTGTAACATGGAGAGCTGTTCCGGCAAAGTTCAAAAGAGGGATGTGTGAGATAAAAATCTTAGGGTTAGAGGTTTTGTGGTGTGTCTTTGGAACGTTGGTTCAGGATGGGTTGGCACACATGCGTGGTGTCATCTGTTCCGAGTTGTTTAGGCAAAGTTCGAAACAGGGATGTGTGAGATGAAAAAAATTCGGATTGAAATTTGTAGTGTGTCTTGGGACGTTGGTTCAGGATGGGTTGGCGCACATGCGTGGTGTAACGTGGAGAGCTGTTCCGGCAAAGTTCAAAACAGGGATGTGTGAGATAAACATCTTAGGGTCTGAGGTTTTGTGGTGTATCTTTGGGACGTTGGTTCAGGGTTGGCACACATGCGTGGTGTAATATGGCGAGCTGCTCCGGCAAAGTTCAAAAGAGGGATGTGTAAGATGCAAATTTTCGGATTGAAGTTTGTAGTGTGTCTTGGGACGTCGGTTCAGGATGGATTGGGACACATGCGTGGTGTAATATGGAGAGCTGCTCCGGCAAAGTTCAAAAAAGGGATGTGTGAGATGAAAATCTTAGGGTCTGAGGTTTTGTGGTGTGTCTTTGCAACATTGATTCAGGGTTGGCACACATGCATGGTGTCATCTGTTCCGAGTTGTTCAGGCAAAGTTCAAAACAGGGATGTGTGAGATGAAAATTTTCGGATTGAAGTTTGTAGTGTGTCTTGGGACGTTGGTTCAGGATGGGTTGGCTCACATGCGTGGTATAACATGGAGAGCTGTTCCGGCAAAGTTCAAAAAAGGGATGTGTGAGATAAAAATCTTAGGGTCTGAGGTTTTGTGGTGTATCTTTGGGACGTTGGTTCAGGGTTGGCACACATGCGTGGTGTAACGTGGAGAGCTGCTCCGGCAAAGTTTAAAGCAGGGATGTGTGAGATAAAAAACTTAGGGTCTGAGATTTTGTGGTGTGTCTTCAGGATGGGTTGGCACACATGCGTGGTGTAATATGGAGAACTGCTCCGGCAAAGTTCAAAACAGGGATGTGTGAGATGAAAATCTTAGGGTCTGAGGTTTTGTGGTGTGTCATTGCAACATTGGTTCAGGGTTGGCACATGCGTGGTGTAATCTGTTCCGAGTTGTTCCGGCAAAGTTCAGAACGGGGATGTGTGAGATGAAAATTTTCGGATTGAAACTTGTAGTGTGTCTTGGGACGTTGGTTCAGGATGGGTTGGCTCACATGCGTGGCGTAATATGGAGAGCTTCTCCGGCAAAGTTCAAAACAGGGATGTGTGAGATGAAAATCTTAGGGTCTGAGGTTTTGTGGTGTGTCTTTGCAACATTGGTTCAGGGTTGGCACACATGCAAGGTGCAATCTGTTCCGGCAAAGTTCAAAACAGGGATGTGTGAGATGAAAATTTTCGGATTGAAATTTGTAGTGTGTCTTGGGACGTTGGTTCAGGATGGGTTGGCTCACATGCGTGGTGTATTATGGAGAGCTGTTCCGGCAAAGTTCAAAACAGGGATGTGTGAGATAAAAATCTTAGGGTCTGAGGTTTTGTGGTGTATTTTTGGGACGTTGGTTCAGGGTTGGCACACATGCGTGGTGTAATATGGAGAGCTGCTCTGGCAAAGTTCCAAAGAGGAATGTGTGAGATGAAAATCTTGAGGTCTGAGTTTTTGTGGTGTGTCTTCAGGATGGGTTGGCTCACATGCGTGGTGTATTATGGAGAGCTGTTCCGGCAAAGTTCAAAACAGGGATGTGTGAGATAAAAATCTTAGGGTCTGAGGTTTTGTGGTGTGTCTTTGCAACATTGGTTCAGGGTTGGCACACATGCGTGGTGTCATCTGTTCCGAGTTGTTCCGGCAGAGTTCAAAACAGGGATGTGTGAGATAAAAATCTTAGGGTCTGAGGTTTTGTGGTGTATCTTTGGGACGTTGGTTCAGGGTTGTCACACATGCGTGGTGTAATATGGAGAGCTGCTCCGGCAAAGTTCAAAAGAGGGATGTGCGAGATGAAAATCTTAGGGTCTGAGATTTTGTGGTGTGTCTTCAGGATGGGTTGGCACACATGCGTGGTGTCATCTGTTCCGAGTTGTTCAGGCAAAGTTCGAAACAGGAATGTGTGAGATAAAAATCTTAGGGTTTGAGGTTTTGTGGTGTGTCTTGGCAACATTAGTTCAGGGTTGGCGCGCATGCGTGGTGTCATCTGTTCCGAGTTGTTCAGGCAAAGTTCGAAACAGGGATGTGTGAGATGAAAATTTTCGGATTGAAATTTGTAGTGTGTCTTGGGACGTTGGTTCAGGATGGGTTGGCTCACATGCGTGGTGTATTATGGAGAGCTGTTCCGGCAAAGTTCAAAACAGGGATGTGTGAGATAAAAATCTTAGGGTCTGAGGTTTTGTGGTGTGTCTTTGCAACATTGGTTCAGGGTTGGCGCAGATGCGTGGTGTCATCTGTTCCGAGTTGTTCCGGCAGAGTTCAAAACAGGGATGTGTGAGATGAAAATTTTCGGATTGAAGTTTGTAGTGTGTCTTGGGACGTTGGTTCAGGATGGGTTGGCACATATGCATGGTGTAATATGGAGAGCTGCTCCGGCAAAGTTAAAAAGAGGGATGTGTTCGATGAAAATCTTAGGGTCTGAGATTTTGTCGTGTGTCTTCAGGATGGGTTGGCACACATGCGTGGTGTAATATGGAGAGCTGCTCCGGCAAAGTTCAAAACAGGGATGTGTGAGATGAAAATCTTAGGGTCTGAGGTTTTGTGGTGTGTCTTTGCAACATTGGTTCAGGGTTGGCACACATGCGAGGTGTAATCTGTTCCGGCAAAGTTCAAAAACAGGGATATGTGAGATGAAAATTTTGCGGGTTAGCTCTTACCAGGATCCATGAGTGGTGCTTGAAAAGAAAGATGAAAAAAAAAAGGGTACTCTCTTGGAATCTATTTTTTTGGGGTTTTATCTCTATTCGATGCTGATGGGATTGATTGATGTGGTGGTTGTTTGACTTTATTGGCATATTAAAATACGGACCACTTCGGAAACTCCTAGGCTACTTGGAGAAAGCGTTTCCAAGTATTTACATGCCAACAAGGCCTCAGGTGAAAAGCTTTGGCAGACACAAACGCTGGGTGGGATGAAAAGGGTGTGGTTGACCGTTCTCTGGGGAAGTTTTGATTTTACAGTTTAAGGTGTTTTTTGAACATACGCTGAGCCCTGCTGTTTTCATCTCTTGTGCCATTTTTATTTTCAATTTTCAACATACCCCAGACACACTGAGTTTAATCTTTTGTACCTTGATTTTTCATTTTCAGAAATAGGGGTGGGGCCGGCTTTTCATCGTTTCACTTTTTTTTTGCTCATACCTTGGCCCTCCAGGTTTTTAAACTAGGTGTTTGGGGTGAAAACCTGGTGCTGCACCCTAAGTTGAACACCCAACGGGGATATATATATGTTATACATATCTATCCATGCACTAGATCATACACACATATATATATACATATACACATATCATAGTCTATACAGTATATTTACTAGACATAGTCACACATATGCATATGTGAATCGCATCATGCACCTGCAACTGTGCAACCCGAGGTGAAGTTAACCCTCACCAGGACCAAGGAAGGTATCGCCATCCGACAGCACCTTGGTATCCTTGGTCGGAGGATCATCAGTGGCTTAGCCTCCAGTAATTTAACTTAGCTATAGACACCATGGCTATCCATGGCTCATTCATTTCGATGATTTAGCTATGAAAGTGCTGATTTAGCTATGGTGATGTTCCATTGCCATCGCCAACTTTGGGAGGTATATCCTCTTACATAGACATAAAAACACCTCCAATTTAGGTCCCTGAAATGGCCAGTGATATAATAGATCTATCCATTCATATGCACGAGTAGTTCGGAAGCCCAAGCGAGCATCTTCGGATGCAGGGCCCTTGAGGTTCAGTATGGAAGATTTGGTCCTCTTGACCCAAGAAGAGGTGCTGGGAGATTTCGGAGGGAGAACACTATAGCTGGTTGGTGGTTTGGAACATTTTTTTTTCCATAATATACGGGAATTTCATCATCCCAACTGTCGATTCGTCCATCATTTTTCAGATGGGTAGGTCAACCACCAACCAGCTATAGAGTACCAAACACTATAGAGTACCACTCTGGTAAACTAACATAACTATTGAAAATCCCAATTTTAATGGGTAAATCCACTATAAATGGCCAATTTCAATAGCTATGTTAAATTACCAGAGGGTACCATTCTGGTAATCAAACATGGCTGGGAAATCCAGTATGAATGAGGTTTTGACGGGAAGTTTTGTGGGGGGTTCCCATCGATAATTTCATCAGATGGATCACTTCAAGCTTGGTAGTACCCTCTGGTAAAAACTAACAAAACACCAATGGAAAATCACCGTTTTTAATGGGTGAATCAACTATTTCTATGGCCATGTTCAATAGCAAACTGTTAGTTTATCAGAGGGTATCAGAGGCAGTCTTCGAATACCTCGAATTCCTCGAATTGAAAACTCTGACTCGCTCTGACCAATTGCATAGCGAGTGCTGGATCCCATACTACGGAGCAGTTCGAGGTAACCGTCCTGTACTGCGAGCTTTGGCGATGAGAGATGGCTCGAAACAAAAACTTCTCTGCTGAGGTACAGTGGATGCTGGTACATTCTGCAGCATTTTTACATTTGGACATCTTTGTAGATTGAATGATTGAATCATGATTGAGCTATATTGAGAACCACCTAGAAACCTTTCAGTAGTTTGACCTTACAATAGACCATCACTCATTTAGTTTGATGATTGTCCTGTACTTCCCACTTTAGCCGTTCGTATTCTACAGCCAGCCAATATTAACATATATTAACAATATTATTTCAGGGCAGTTAATCAACCGTCATCATCATGATTTGATAGTTTATCCTTATTTTCCCTATTAAAATCAGCACATATTAGAAGTCCTAAGTCTCAGACACTCCATGCCCAAATATCCTACTGTTGGTGAAACATGGCCCGTTCAAGCCGATTATATACACACATATATATATATACACGCGCGCCCATCATAGACCCACTATATATACACCCATCAAAGAAAGAAATATTGATTGGTTCAATCCCCAAAGCTACACCATTAATGGATAAATAGAACCAATTATAAATACCAATCATCTCAATCATCTCATTATATACCCATATAATCCGAATATATAATAACTGTTATCATAAGAATAAATGATGATCATAATAACAATATACATGCATCATTACACACACACTTCACAATTAATAATATGGCATTACATGTACCCATCATACATACCATCACATGACATTACATGCCGTTTTCTTATGGGTATATTATGGTAATGGGTATATTACGTATCATTACATATCATCCCCCACAAGATGGTGCACCCTAGTTATAAGTTGGTTTATAAATCCCATTAAATATAGTTACGTCTACCATAAACCATAGTTAAGCCACTTATAAGGAACTTAGATATCTTGGGGGCCCCATCCTGTATATGACGGATCATTACATATCATTCCCTTGTTTCATTCCCCAAACATGTTCCCCGGTGACTCGCAGCAGGATCTCTCCAAGCCTCACCCGGTGCATATGATGGGTCTGGTGGAACATAGCGCTAGGAAGCCCAATCTTGTGTTGGGGAAAAAGCATGGGTCTCAAAATGGGAAATATCTCGCAGAATTCCATGGCTGATTAAAAAAATGAATCGAATCTTATGTTTGTCAGATGTTCCATGTTTGTTCGCCATAAAATTGGGGTAAATCATGATAAATTTGCCTATCTTGATCCATGTTGAATCAACAACCAAGTGTTTTTTTTTACACCTTTTTACTCTGAATTTCGCTCAGCTCGTGGCCCTCTTTTGGACCACCTTTCGGCCTGGAGATAGGGCCAAGTTCGATGCATATCCATCTCACTACTTTTATACCCACCATAATTCCTAGTTATTGATAGTTTTTGTATGGTTGTAAACCAAAGTAGAGGTCGACAATTTACAAGAAGGGAGTGTACGTTGCCATGCTAGATCCATGTGGGCGACAGGAACAAGCAACTGCATGAGGTTGGAAATGAAATTTTGAACGAGGGCAGAATTGCGAAAGAAACTCAAGATTCCTTGCGCATCCTTTTACCAAGTAGGATCAACACTATCCCCAGTCCCATGAGGAATCCTGTCCCATCGTGGGTGTCTCCAAAAATGGGGTAGACCGAGACCGGGTAGACTTTGGTGTGCCCGAAATCCACTGTTTCTTTTCTAACCAATCCACTAGGTCAATCATCATGTTGTACCATGACTCATGCATGACCCATGTATAAATATATATGTATAACATAGATAGATAGATAGATAGATAGATAGATAGACAGATAGACAGATAGACAGATAGACAGATAGACAGATAGACAGATAGACAGATAGACAGATAGACAGATAGACAGATAGACAGATAGAAAGATAGACAGATAGACAGATAGACAGATAATCAGATAGACAGATAGACAGATAGACAGATAGACAGATAGACAGATAGACAGATAGACAGATAGACAGATAGACAGATAGACAGATAGATGGATAGACAGATAGACAGATAGACAGATAGACAGATAGACAGATAGACAGATAGACAGACAGATAGACCAGATAGACAGATAGACAGATAGACAGATAGACAGATAGACAGATAGACAGATAGACAGATAGACAGATAGACAGATAGACAGATAGACAGATAGACAGATAGACAGATAGACAGATAGACAGATAGACAGATAGACAGATAGACAGATAGACAGATCGATAGATCGATAGATCGATAGATCGATAGATAGATAGATAGATAGAGAGAGATAGATAGATAGATAGATAGATAGATAGATAGATAGAGAGATAGATAGATAGATAATGTGATGTTGTTTATATATATATATATATATGATTATATATGATACGCTCAAGATCGAGGTGTCTAGAATCCCTCCCCCCCTGGGGTTCCCGTTGAGGGTTCTAAAATCATCACCACTATGATTTTAGAACCTTTAACGGCTATGATTTTAGAACCCTGAAAGTTTCTGATATATGAGCGTTGTTGTGGTAGAGAATTTTCGGAGAACGAAGAAAAGGGAGACACTGATGGCCCAGGAAGGTTTGAAACTGGTCATGGGCAAGGCAATCTTTCCTTCAATGCGATAGTCTTGCCAGACTCTAATGCGGTAAGATATGTTAAAAGGAAGAGGGTGATTTCAAAAGATGACTGGACGACGCAGTCTTTGTGGGGGGAAAGGGGGTCAAAAAGTTGCAATCGATTTTTGCACCCATCCCGACCTTGCTTTAAAAAAAGGTGCTGCTTATATTTTCCGGAAAAGGTGGGCCTGACGCAGCCTTAAAAAAATCTTTCAAAAACAGAAAAATCCAAAACATTATGATGACCTGAACCGTGCAATGCGTACGGGAGGACAAAAAACTGTGTGCAATGCAAAATTTTGCTTTAAATCATAACAAGGAGAAGGACTAGCAGAAAAACCGAAAGCAGTGTGATGACCCGAACTGCACAATATGTGGGGAGAGAAAAGATCAGTGTCCATTTGACGTGCGAAATTTTGACATTTTTTTTTGCAAAAACGACAGCCCAAAAAACATGATAAATATTACTAATTTTATAGCTACAGGAAAACGATTTTAGAACCCTACCCCTGCGTACATGCTGGGGTTCTAGAATGGTCTCCGTTCACAAATTGGGAAACCCCGAGTTTTTTAAGGGAAAACGGTTTTAGACCCCAGATCCGGGGGTTGTAAAATGTCGGACAAGGGGGTTTGTTTGATCTTGAGGGTATTATATATGTATAACATAGATTCAGTGTGGATCCCCTATGTTCAGACACATCCATCTCATTAATTTTTCGTTGGTAAAAATGTTGGCAAATTATACATTCCGTGTAAAATCAGTACTACATCAATGGCAATTTCAAGATCCTAAAATGGAGGTACCTACCATATATAAGGCCTATTTTTCAGGCCTATGTAAGAGAATATCCCCAGAAAATATGCCCTTATATGGTACAGTACCTCCATTTTAGGATCCTGAAATTCCCATTGGCTACATGGCCATTTTCCACTTCCAATAGGAATATCCCCATAAGATGCTTGATTTATACCCCAAAACCTTCGAGTCTAGTTGGTGAAAAATACCCCTTAAAATCATGCATTGAACAATGAATCTTCCAACCAGCATCCTGAATTTTGGCCATGTTATCCGACTGTTCGCCTATAATTTTCATCCCCATGTGTTCGATCTTTTACTTGCGTAAATTCCCTCCAAACACAGAATTGCGAGCCATTACTCCGGATGCAGGTCAGTGCGAGGTTGGAAAAACCTGTTGGTTGATGATCAAAAAGGGGTTCTACTATCCAATATCTTGGGGGATTTTTCTGAATCCAACAAATGGGGGATCAACAAGTCACCATAGGTTTCACTACGAAAATGATAATGATCATCCATGACGACTGGATGATTTGGTACATGACAAAACGGAAACCTGCATTGGGAAATCCCTTCTAAACATTTCTAAACATGTCAAAAAACCACTTGTCCGAGACTTACGTTTCACGAGGGACGACACGTTTCTCGGGGCAAATGGGTCACTGGGTGATCCATCGGGTTATGCCATTCCTAGGTGAGCAATCTCATCGTTGTGACCATTTTTACAGACATGGCAGTGACCACCAAGGGCTCTCGAAGCAAGGCACACGTACAACGCGAAGCCATGAAAGCCATTTGGCGTTTTTGGGTTTACCGCCGTCGGCCGTGGTGAGGTTGGATGTTTGGTGACTAACCACTAGCTATAACTATAGAGTTATGGTTCACCACTATAATTCACCACTATATATATATAACTATAACATCCATTAACATGTTATGGTCCAACGTTTGTGACTGAAACATGTTATAACTTTGAACACGACCAGCAAGTTAGGTCTGTATTTTCTGGGTTATAGCTTTGTTAAACAAGTGCAGTTATATAGCCAAATTGGTCCAGTGGTTCACGCAGTTTGTGGCCCATCGGTGATCCCCAAGTTGAGGATGTCTTATGAAATTGGGTTCCCCCTCACTAAATGTTTTTCATATACCCTCTGGTTATTTAACATAGCCATAGTATAGATGGCCCATAGAAATAGATGGTTCACCTATTGAAAATGGTGATTTTCCATGGCTATGTTAAATAACCAGATGGTAACTGATGTATTTGATGTTTTTGGACATGTTACTTCGATCAGAAAACTCGGTCATGCTTTCACTCACGTCACGCGGAGAGGAGCCGGCTCCAAGCGGTTCCACAGTGCCTAAAAATACTTCTTAAGCCACCAACTACAAGACCAATGTGATAAACCCAATGGCATGGTCACCATTCCCAGGTTTGAGCTTTATGAAATTGGGTATAGATGGCTTTATCGCCATTCATAATGGTATGATGATTATCATGTCCACCTTTTATGGTTGGTGAATAAATCCCAACCTAATGATCATGGGATTGTGAGTTAACCATCACAATCCCATCATCCATCATGATTATTATGAATGGGTATAATCATTCCACCTGGTGAATGGGACGGTTAATGGTGACGGTTGGTGAACAAAGCTAAGTGGCGCAGGAAGTAGCTGATCTCATCGCCAAAGAAGCTCCATGGTATGTGGTGAAGGCGGCGCCGTGGTGCTGCCTTGATAGCGATCCTCACGGATCTTTATGGGGGTTTCCATAGTCATGGGGGTACCCCAAATGGATGGTTTATTTCATGGAAAATCCATCTATAAATGGATGAGAACTTGGGGTAGCCCTATTTTAGGAAACCTCCTTATGACTTCGACGTGGAGTTTGTGATTTGTAACAACATGGTTTGTCTGAAAATGATGTACCCCCAATAAGTAACTATTTATATAATTGCAAACATGATGATAAACCATGGGAATTTTAGGATACCTCATTTTCGGACAAACCCACTTGCCATGGTACATTTCAATGGAAAAGTCTCTGATATGGGACAGGTAATCCCTGTGTATGCTGTGGTGCTTTCTCAAAGTTATTGGTAAAGAGACTAAAGACCGTGATGTAGATGATTTGGGGAAGTACAACATCTTACGGACATACCAAACTGGACCCCTGAAAATACAAGGGCGATTGGGATTTGAGTGGTGTCCCAACGCCATTACTACAAGGTGGGTCCCCCAAATAGCTGAGTTGATTCATTCCATGTATAACTCCAGCAATAAGGCTTCGTAGTAGACATGATATATCTCCGAAATTATATAATTCTTATATAGCTATGAAACATCCTTGAGGCTAAACCAAGAATAACCATGTGTAAATCCCATTGAATCACCATCTGAAGCACCATAAATAACTGCCATTTCTTGTTGCTGGCCATGGGGAATTTTCCCCGTATTGGCAGATTACCTCCATGTCGACCCAGCAGGGCGCCTCAGTCGCTCTGTGTCTGAATTCGAAGCCGGTTTTTATTGGGGAACATGATAAACCCGTAATAATGATGGTGATAATAATGATGATGATAACAATAATAATGATGATAATAAGAAGAAGAGGAATACTACTTATGATAATTGGGATAGTTTGAAATGTATCACCACTGATTGGAGAAAACCATAGAAAACCATGTGGGTTGAAATGATCGTCATATGAGTAACCGACAAAATTAGCAGAAAACAAAAGTAGTAAGGAGTGGACATGGAATGTTCAAATTTGTGTAAAAACCTTCACAACCGATAGGGGACCACCCACTTACCGATACCCTCTTTTTGTACATACCATGGAAGTACAAACCTTCACAACCGATAGGGGACCACCCACTTTGGCCATGTCCATTACGAGTAGTAAGTAATTTTGTCCGCCACTCATATGAAGGTTTCCTAAAATAGGGGTAGCCCTAAATCATCCATGTTCATAGAATTATCCATGAAATAAACCAACCAGCTATTGGGGATCCTGCATGACTATGGAAACCTCGATAAAGCAGGGACTTCGGTTGGGGGTTTTCCATGTCTCAGGATTCGTGAGTTCCAGGCCCTCAAAGGTTTCCAGGACATCTATCTGAAGGAGTGCCATGGCTGTCAGTTTTCAGCATCTATGGGATTGGGTTAAGGGAAGTCTTAACCGGAAACCATGGTTTTTAGCATTAAATATTGGGGGGGGGGTCCTGTAAATCTTCCCTTAAACCAATCTAATGAATCTAAAAATCGAAGATGTTGACCATGTGCCTGAGACAGGTCTGTTTTCAGCACTGATTACCCTTGGGCACAGAGATTACGCTACCGAATCACAAGTCGGACTTGAAAATTAGGATTGAACCAAACAGGGAAGTGTCCAATAGAAATTTTGTTTTATGTTTTATGATTTGGAGATTATTGGACATTTTATGAGACTTATAAAAAAAGGATCTTTTTATGAATGTTTGTATATTTGAGACTTATTTTTCAGAGATTCTGTTCAAGTGCTCTGAGTTGTATCAGAATAGATATCCAAAGGGGCCCTTTGATGCCCACAAAGTTGGTTTAACCTTATGAAAATCTTACCAGCAAACTCTGAGGGTTGTTGGTTATTTATTTTTGTCATTTTTTTGTCATTTGGTTTTGCATTTTTTTGTCATTCCTGTTTTGTGGTGTCATTTTTTTTGTCATTTTTTTGTCATTTGTTAAGTCATTTTTTGTCATTTGTTAAGTCATTTTCTTGTCATTTTTTTGTCGTTTTCTTGTCGTTTTCTACTTTCTAGCATTGTTCATTTTCTTGTCGTTTTCTCATAAGGATCAGGCAAGCGGTGAAGGTGGCAAACCCGGTCTAGGAAATGCAAAAAATTGCAAAAAATGACTCCCGGTTTGGGAAATGCAAAAAAAATGCCAAAAAAATGACTCCCAGTCTGGGAAATGCAAAAAAAATGCAAAAAAAATGACTCCTAGTCTGGGAAATGCAAAAAAAATGCAAAAAAAATGCAAAAAAATGCAAAAAAAATGCAAAAAAATGCAAAAAAAACAAAATGCAAAAAAAAATGCGAAAAAAATGACTCGCGTGCTGGTAAAGTTGCGTTTTTGGAGTTTCCAGGTCGGCCCCGCTTCTCGGGCCTGAGCCGCCCCCCCGGGCCATTTCACCCCGGCCCCGCCCCCCCACCCGGTTTTTGAGCCGGCCCTGCACCCCGAGCCGGGAGACAACTCCTCGTCCAGGCAGGCCCAAAAACGAATTCCCCAGGGCAAGCTCCCCTGCCCTATCCTTCTTCACCGCCGGCTGGCTTTCCAAGAGTTTCTCCACTTGTTCCTTGTATTTGGTGCTGCCACGAGATAACAAAAGGTCTGTCATGGTAGTCATTTTTAAACAATGTTTTTTCTCCATTTTCCCGTTCCCAAAATGACAATAAAATGACAAACAAATGACAAAAAATGACACAGAAATGACAAAGAAATGACAAAGAAATGACAAAAAAATGACAAAAAATGACAACACAAATCCAAAATGACAAACCCAAATGCAAAAAAAAATGCAACAAAAATGAAAAAAAATGACAAAATAATTATTTTGGAATTTCCAATGTTTGCAGGCCCAAGATTTTCCTAAGTTTAACCCATTTGCTGGGTGAAATCGGGAATGGGACGCCAACAGTACACATGGCATGTTTTAACGTTCAGAAAAAAACAGCAAAACTCGGGTCATGGTCAAGTATTCTTGGGTTTTACCCTGGTTTTACCATGTTTACCCCCATTACCACTCCATTTGGGCCCCGATGGAAGGACTACATTTTGAATCGCGACGACTCGGGTGTGGTAGGCGAGCTTTGGCGATGAAATCCTGTAGGATTCAGGCATCACTTTACGAGGGTTGAGAACCAATTTCGATACCAAACATTAGTGATAACCATCATGGATATATAAGGCCTATGTAAGGCCTAGTGAAACCAATAAACAATAGTAACCATCATGGTAAACTACCTATTATGTTTGGGATCTCGGGGACAGCCCTTTTTCCCGAGAGCATCTGAGCGAAGGGTTCTTCTAATAATGGGGGTCTGTTATACATCTTCACATCTACACATCTTATCCTCCCATCTTCACATCTCTCTCTCGCTCTCTCTCTCTCCCCCTCTCTCTCTCTCTCTCCCCCTCTCTCTCTCTCTCTTTCTCCCTCTCTCTCTCTCTCCTCACCTCTCTAATCTCTCTCTCTCTCATAGTCTCTCTCTCCTCTCTCCTCCCTCTCCCTCTCTCTCTCTGTCTCTCTCTCTCTCTCTCTCCCTCGCTCTCTCTCTCTCTCTCTCTCCCTCTCTCTCTCTCTCTCTTTCTTTCTCTCTCTTTCTCTCTCTTTCTCTCTCTTTCTCTCTCTCTCTCTCTCTATCTCTCTCTCTCTCTCTCTCTTTCTCTCTATTTTTTGCCCTCTGTCACGGTCTCTCTCCTTCTTTTTTTTCTCTCTTAAGGCCGCGGGCGGTGCCGACGAGGCGCCACGAAATTGCCAATATTTCGCACGAAATGAGGTTCGATCGTCAAAAACTGAGATAAAATTGCGATTTGGGCGCTTCCGCAGCAACCCCTTCGCACGAAATGAGGTTCGATCGTCAAAAACTGAGGTTTTTTGCGACTTTGGTCGGTCCGGCGGCAACCCTTTCCCACTAAATGAGGTTCGAACTGTGTGAAAAAGCGCAAAAGCTTCTGTGTGCAAAAGCGTTTGTGTGTAAAAGTTTCTGTGTGTAAAAGCATCTGTGTTTAAAAGCTTCTGCGTGTAAAGCATCTCTGTGCAACAGCTTCTGTATGTATGAGCGTCTGTGTGTGAACGTGTACAAGTGTTTGTGTGTAAAAGCTTCTGTGTGTAAAAGCTTCTGTGTATAAAAGCTTCTGCGTGTAAAGCATCTCTGTGCAACAGCTTCTGTATGTATGAGCGTCTGTGTGTGAACGTGTACAAGTGTTTGTGTGTAAAAGCTTCTGTGTGTAAAAGCTTCTGTGTATAAAAGCTTCTGTGTGTAAAGCATCTGTGTGCAAAAGCTTCTGTATGTATGAGCGTCTGTGTGTGAACGTGTACAAGTGCTTGTGTGTAAAAGCTTCTGTGTGTAAAGCACCTGTGTGTAAAAGCGTCTGTGTGTATGAGCGTCTGTGTGTGAACGTGTACTAATGCTGCTTGTGTGTAAATGCTTCTGTGTGTAAAAGCGTCTGTGTGTATCTGTGTGTGAACGTGTACTAATGCTGCTTGTGTGTAAAAGCTTCTGTGTGTAAAAGCTTCTGTGTGTAAAGGCGTCTGTGTTCGGAGTGTCTGTGTGTAAAGGGTTCCGTGTGTCAAAGCTTCTCTGTATAAAAGCTTCTGTGTGTAAAAGTGTCTGTGTGTAAGGGAGTCTGTTTGTAAAAGGTTCTCTTTGTAACAGCTTTGGTGTGTAAAAGTGTTTGTGTGTAAAGGCGTCTGTGTGTGAAAGTGTCATAGAGTGTCTGTGTGTAAAGGGTTCAGTGTGTAAAGGGTTCCGTGTGTAAAAGCTTCTGCGTGTAAAAGCTTCTCCGCACTGCCGTATCTTCCTGGGTCTTCTCAATTCGTCTTCTTGTGTCTTCTTCTTTTTATCTTCCTTTTCTTCCTCCTTCAATTTCTTCTTCCTTTCTTCAATGTCTGCACCATGTTTCTTCATTTTTTAATATATATAATCGTATACCGTATAACGTATATTTCTCTATTTATGTTTTATCATCGCATATTTCTATATTTATGTTTCATGCTATAAGATCTTCATACTTACACCTCTCACTATGCTTCTCTACGCTCTCGAGTCATTCGTCGCCTAGTTTTTCATCAGAGTTTCTTCATCCTTGAACAGCCTTGCAGGTGATGCTTCCACTGAAATGCAGGCGAGGTCCGCGGTGACATCAACCATCTAGCTTCATAAAATAACGTAGTTAGCATTAGTTGGTAGCCCATGTCTAGCATTTTGCGACACCGTGATACTGTATATACCTATATAGCATTATATAACATTATCACATTATGTAAAAGAAATATAGACCATTATGTATATATATATATATTAATGTGTATATATATATATGTAATATATATATATATATACATTATCTGTATATATATATATATATGTATTAATATGTATATATATATATATATGTAATATATATATACACATTATCTGTATATATATATATATCAATGTGTATTTATATATATATGTAATATATAAATACACATTATCTGTATATATATATACATATATATATGTATATATATGTAATATATATATATACACATTCTCTGTATGTATATATATATATATTAATGTGTATATATATGTAATAAATATATATACACATTATCTGTATCTGTATATATATATATTAATGTGTATATATATATAAATCTGTATATATATGTATATGTAAGATATAAATATATATGTAATATATATATATGTAATATATATATATATATCACATTATCTGTATATAAATTTATTAATGTGTATATATATATATATATGTAATATATATATATTTACACATTATCTGTATATATATATATATTAATGTGTATACATATGATATATATATATATATACATTATCTGTTTATATATATATTAATGTATATATATATGTAATATATATATGTAATATATATATATATATCTATACAGTATCTGTATATATATATATTTATATATATATATATATTTATATATATATTTATATATATATGTAATATATATATATATCTATACATTATCTGTATATATATATTACTGTATATATATAATATATTTACACATTATCTGTATATATATATATATTAATGTGTATATATATATATCTTAGATGATATATATATACACATTATCTGTATATATATATATATATAAATATTAATCTACATTATCTGTATATATATATATATATATATTAATGTATATATATATATGTAATATATATATATATATATTATACACATTATCTGTATATATATATATATGCAAAACTATGTAATGTATACACAACACTACGCATCACATAAACAGCCACCCTGCGGCGCCACGTCGTGCCTTCAGGCGGCGTCTGCCTTGGAACTGGGGAGCACCGAGGCGCCTGTGGCGCGCGCCGATCTCATCAGCCAGCTACCTGAGGCGCGGTGGTCCATCTCGGTCAGCCAGGATGAAATCTGTAGTCGATGATAAAATATCTGTAGTATATGTATATAGATAGATGTAATTTGATATCATTTATAATCATAATATAAATATATATATATATGCATAAATGTAATGATATATAGATATACATCTTGATCTGTGTGTTTGTCTTTGGTATTTTGGGAATCAAAAAAAGGGCACTTAACGACTTAACGATCCTCCGACCTCCACAAGCTGACAAAGTTTCGAGGTTTGCAGCGCCCCGATCAGGACAGATCTACCACAGGACATCTATTGATGTACATAGTTAGTGTATATACATAGTATATAGTGTATAGTGCATAGTGCATAGTATATAGTATATAGTATATAGTATATAGTATATAGTATATAGTATATAGATGTATATAGTATATAGTATATAGTATATAGTATATAGTGTGTAGTATATAGTATATACATTATATCGTATATCGTATATCGTATATAGTATATAGTATACAGTATATAGTATATAGTATGTAGTATACATGATTTATATATATATAACATTGTATATGTGCTGATACATTTGTATAGATCTTGTCACATGAATCTCTGAAAAACAAAAACGTACTTTCTTGTATTGCAACTTTACATCTTATTCATACTTAGTTCTGTCCGTGCGAAGCTGCCCCCCTTATTGTGACATAGCTCGTCAAATACACATAGAATTTCATAGACATTCTATATACCCTCCAGCATATGAACACAATGGATATTAACCAATCCGTTTCCCTTGGAAATGTCGCTACAAATTGCGCCTGTCTTCATATCACGAAAGGTAGCTCCAGTGGTGCTACCAGAGGAGGCTGCCCAGCCCAGGTACCTGATTATTCAGGCAATTATTGTTTATTTGAGGACCCCCCCCTCCGCCCCCTCGGCGAACCCTAAGAGCAGACCCAAAACACTGTAATTTACAGTGTTTTTGTGCCTTTGGCATGGAAAAAATACTTCTTGCAACATGCAGAAAACTGCGTAAATACTAATGTTTTTGCTAGGCCCGGGCCAAAAAAACACTGTAAATACCGTGATTGTTGTTACCAGAGGCAAAAAACATCGTAAATACCATGGTTTTGGGTTTCCGAGGCGCAAAAAACATCAGTATTTACGGTGTTTTTTCCCTCCGAGAGTTTCAAAAAAACGTGAAAACACCACCTATTTGACAATTTTCGGCCACTACCGGACTGAGAAAAAGCTGCATGGGTAACAGCGGCAACAACAACAGCAACAACACCAACACCACCACCACCACCACCAACAAGCAGAAAAAGAAGAAGAAGAAAAACAAGAACAAAAAGAAGAAGGAAAAGAAGAAGAAAAAAACAAAACAAGAACAATAAGAAGAAGAACGATAAGAACAAGAACAAAAAACAAAAATAACCAAAAAAACAAGAAGAACGAGAAGAACAAGAAGGGCATGAAGAACAAACAAAACGAAAAAAAAAAAATAACAAAAATAACAAGAATAACAAAAAACCAAAAATAACAAGAAAAACAAGAAGAACACGAAGAACAAGAACAACAATAACAATAACAATCACCATAACAATAACAATCACCATAACAATAACAAGAACAAAAACAATAACAACAAAAACAAGAACAAGAACAAGAACGACAAAAACAGCAACAAGTACGACAGCAACAACAGCAACAGCAACAGAAACAACAACAACAGCAACAACACCAGCAACAACAACAACAACAAAAACATCGAACTTTATAATCATAGTGTTGCCCGCCAGACCTCAACCACAAAGAATCTCCGAAGATATACCGGTTAGAATGCCAGAAAGATTTGCAAAAAATATATGAGATAAAATGCGAATGCCAGATAGCATGTCAGAAAATATGTCAAACAAGAGTGTCACTTGGTGGGGATCACTCGAAGAAAGTAATTTGTTCCGAAGGCTTTCAAAACTTGACTTAAGACAACCAAAATGACGCCTTGTGGGGCCTTGGGCGCATCATCGCCATCATCAACAATGGTAACGACATCACGCATTTGATCTTGGATTTTTTTGTTCATTTTTTTTGCGCTTTGGCTGCGGTGACGCATTTTGCACCGATACGTTTCTACAAGCAGAAAACGTTACGCACAGAAACCTTTACACAGAGCAACAATTACGCGCAGATATTCTTAGACAGAGAGGTGTGTGCACAATTTTTTTTTGTACACAGACGCCTTTACACACAGAGGTTTTTACGCAAACAAGGACGTATTATTTACACACAGATGCTTTGTACAAAGATGCTTCTGCGCGTATAAATAAAGGAACATAAGACATACGCGTTTTTACACACAGAACCTTTTCCACAGAGAAGCCTTTACACAGAACAATTTTTACACATGTTTTTTCTACACAAAAAAACATTTGACACAGAGAGACTTGTACACACTGACTGCACACATAAGTTTTTACAGAGCGACTTTTCTGCACGCAGAAATTTTACCCAGAGCAGTTTTTACACAGCATATTTTTTTTTCGCACAGAAACCTTTAAGCACAAAACAAATTATGCACAGCAGTTTTTACAGACAGACCGTTTTTACACAGAAAGTTCTCCGCACAGAAGTCTTACACACAGAAGGTTTTACGCACAACATTTTTTACATACATACGCTTTTACACACAGATGTCTTTACGCAGACACAAATTGCACACAGAAACTTGTGCACACAGCACGCGTTTACACACAACCAAATTTTACACAGAGAGGCTTTGCTTCCCCTTCTTGATCACCTACCTTTCGTGTTCCCCCCCTCTGGAGGATACAGCCACATGAATGACATGTTTATCAGCAAGTATGGGGCCACAATATGGAGTTTTTTCAACGTGAAATCCACAGGACTCCCCGCTCCCCTTCTATTTGGAGGTGAAGACAAGGCCTTCCTCTAGATTTCACTTAAATCCATTGACCATAATTCTTAGTGGTTGAATTCCTATGTTTGCTATTCATATCACATTTAAATTAGATCCTAATTTTTACCAATGATCTGGTTGTGTATCCCATTCTATCACTAAACCGAACCCAATGATCATCATTTGTTTCACCAGGTACCTATACATTTCCATTACTATCATTACCGTAACCATGAAGGGTAACAATATGATTGATTACTGTATCATTCAATATCATTCTGTTGAACCATTTTTGCTGTAAATTTCTGGTTTCAACATGTTTCAACAATCCATTTATAAGTGCTTGGTGGCTCCGTTGGTGGCTCCCGACATGGCTTACAAGTGGCCCAGGTCCTTGAGAAGTGGTTGCTGGAGAAGTGAGCGGGGATGGGGTCAAGGGTCACGATATGTCTTTCTTTGTAACCCGTATATAGACATAGACATTTACCCAGGTCCATGGGAAGATCCAATGGACTTTTGTATGGTCTTATCACAACCCCGGAATCCTCAATATGCCTAGTATGACTATGACTAGTATGATGATACCATGAGATATTGACTAATATGACTAATATCATTAAACTATTAGACTATTAATTAATATGATATATTTAATATGACTACTATATTAGTGATATTAAACTAATACTATTTGATAATATTATGACTATGAACTAATATCATTAAATGACTAATATGACTACTAGAGATAATCAGTTATATGAGATATTATGACTAATGTTATGTCAAATGATGGTTATATGAGATAGTAGGTGCAGGATGGTGCCCCCCAGTGATGTTTGTGGTTTTTAAACCCCATTAACATCCATTAACTAGTTCGTTATATCTACCATAAACCACAGTTAAACCACTTAAAAGGCAACTTAGCTATCTTGGGGGCCCCATCCTGTGGAACTTTATGACCAATATGCCCCACTTTATTTTACATCTTTAACATAATTCAAAAGCATGTCAAACTTTTTAATCAAAATAAACCTATTCAAAAATGGGGGTCCCATTTTTATTGGGGTCATTTGTAGAACCTGGAAACATTACAGCGGGTCAGCACTTCGGCTGATGGGCAGCAGATGCATTCTTGCGAGATCGTCTACTACTGGATGGAATGTAGACATACACATGTGTTTGTGTCTCTTTGGGGTTACTGTAGATGGTTTTTCTACCATTTATAGCCACTCAAAGTTAAATCTCAAGCAGGGAAGAAACCACCAAGACTGCCTGGATGTTTTGATTTGGATCTCTAAGTACTCTTGAAGAGCAGATCTCCTGTGCACCAATCCATCAGGTTCAACCCATCCCAGATGAATGCGATTCGTGATTCTCTGAAGGTCGGATTTGGTGAACCAGGTCTCAGGGGTTTGCCCTCAATCAAATAGTTTGCCATTGGAACATGGCCATGTTACAATGGGATTCTAGGGCTATGTTTAATTACCAGAGTAATCCTCAAGACCAAACCAATGGTAGCATGAAAATCACCCGTTCTTGATGATTTTGGGGTGATTGTTCTGCTCATTCGAAACCATCATGCGGTGTTTCCCGGATCCGGCCCCATTGAAGGCCCCACCAAGGTGCAACTTACCTGTGTCAGAAGATGGGTAATGACCATTTGAAGAGATAAATAATCTACAACGTGGCCATTGCTATATTAGATTACCAGCAGGTCACATGTATTATATATATATACATTCAGTATATTTTACTATATATATATATACGTATATGTATGTACATATACCCAGGGAGTGTTTTTCCCTGGATCCCTTCAGATTTCATGTTTGTATATGCATATGTATATATATATAAATACATTATTATTCTTATTATATATATATGGGTTTGTAATTGTTGGTCTGGACATTGATATCTACTCCCATGCAGTTCCAACGGTTTTTAAATGTTTCTGTGAGGGATGGTGATCAGCCTTTTCCTGATGACCAAGCCATACAGGTGGAGGGCATTACGCTGATCCAGGCGCCGAGTTGGACTCGGAGAGTGGACTCCAAAGCCACATTTAGGAAGGAAGGAATGCGGGAGAAGATGATAAACCGCGCATATATACGTATATATATATATACATAGTTGTATACACATACATATATATATATATATACATGTATATATATATACACATATATATATATATATATACAATATATATATATACAATATATATATATATATATATCCATATATATATATATCGATATATATATATATATATCCATATATATATATATTTCCATATATATATACATACAGAAATATATATATATACATATGTATAATATATATATATATGTATAATATATATATATATATGTATTATAATATATATATATGTATTATATATATATATATATTTTATATATTTATATTTATATATGTATATATATATATGTATTTAAAAAAGGAACCACAGTGTGGTAAAAACAACAACAAGAAACACACTCACACATTTAGCCAACAGAAAACATAGGATAGGACAAGGACATATTCGGATAAAGATGATCAAAATTGATAAAACCCCAGCAGAAGTGAGAGCAGCAAAACCATGTATTTGATCAATCACAAATTAGGGCACAATATGGCAAAAAAAAATCTAATCCGTGGTCCCTGAAAATTTGAACTTTGTAGCTTGTACAAAAAAGTGAATGTTTCATTTATCTCCATAGTTGAATGGGCTTATAAACCAACAAATGAACATAAGCGGTGGCCGCATTGAAGGGAAGAGGGCGACCATAATTGAGATACAAAACAAACAAATCAAAAGGCCTAGTATTCAGGTGAGCAGTGACTGCAAAACCACAGTTGCTTGATGATTAATATAGTATATATAGTTGATTTATTGGCTTGATGATCTAAGGATGTTTTGGTTATACCCTCCTGTAAGCAGTACACGTGGCTGGAAAATCTTCGGATTTTCTTCGATCACCGAGTCGCTGCAGGGTCCACCGGGCACGGGCAAGACGAGCACTGTACTGGCACTTCTGGCGGTGCTGCTGGCGTCCAGGAAAGCTAAGGCCGTGGCGCGCTGCGTTTAGTCATGGGGGTACCCCAAAATGATATGGAAACTCCTACTAAAAGGAAACCTCCATATGGTGGACATATGGGGACCCTGGAATGGAACACAAATTCCAGGAAACGTTTTTGTTTTGTCGAAGATCTTGTTTTTCCGGTGATTTAAGTTAGTCCCAACTTTTTTTCACGAGTTGGTTGTGCGGGGGTGTTGTCAACCAACCAACATGTGATGGAAACAACAAAATTCATGATTTTAAGATCATAAGCAACCCAAACCACCCAAAATAATAAGCAGATTTTTAGCCAGTTTCAAGCAAGGTTCGAAATGATTGGGGCCAGAAGCTTTGAAAGATTCAACCATCAGTCCTATTTTGTAGAGGTCCTGGTGAAGTGTCTGAAGGGGCCGTATCCTTCGGTCACGTTTTTCTATCATCTCAGATCCACCAAAGGACTGTCATGTGGTGGATGATAGTTCGGCCAAAGTACAGCAGATCGATGAAGACGGTGATGAATGATGAATGTGTGAAAATGTTTGTAATTACTACCATGGACAAGTGACGCTTTGTAATTTTTGCCAATGAACTTGGAGGGTGACTATCTGAATGACAGGCCAAATCAGACCTTCAGAATGATCAAGACTCGAAGTAAGTTGACCGTGCGGCAAAGGACTGGAAAAGTACAGTCTTATGATGTACGTACCGCTACAATCCGTCACATACCCATACTTCGAGAATTCTGCTATAGGTTGAATTCTCATGTCTGGTTGTCCTATCTACCACCAGTTTTCGGAACAACATCCCCTTGCTTACTAGGTCACTGATGTCGTTTAGGTGCTCCCGCAGTGTCTCTTTCTGCACCAACCACCGCATCGTGCCACAGGAAAAGAGGAGATCCGCTGGGTCCAGAGCTGTCAATGACTTCGGGGATTTTCCATTGCTATGTTTGATTAGTCTAGCGGGTAGCTCGACTTTGGTCGATTCTTCTTTTCTTGTTCATACCCATCACCGAATCACTATTGAAGCCTCCCTGTGACATATCTCTGTACTATTCTGTACTAATGCAGAAGTTTCGACGGTTTCCAAACGACATGAAACGACTATCGATATCAATGTCTGAGCAAAGTTCACCTGCAGGAAGAGTAGGAAGAGTGGTGCCTCCGAGGCCGGGAAAGCCGTTGAGGTGGATGTTTGCTCTTAAAAATATCCAGACCCTCCACAATTGTACCCATAAAAATTGTGTTTTACATGTGTTTTATCCACGATTTTTAGTACGTTTAGCATCTTTTAGCATCGTTTAGCACCTTTTAGTCCATTTATTTGGGGTGTTTGGAGGATCTAGGTAGACCTCATCCACGAGTCCCTGGAGGATGAAATTTGGACCACCCATATGCATGATTATGCATGTATATATAATATTATACACATATATATATATATATATGATCTTGAATGTCACCCCACCCCTTAGTATGCTTCCTGGAATCCTGTCTTACCCAAAATCAATGCAGCAGTTCCTCTTCGCAAAACATCAGCATCCGGTGATCAAGGGTGTCCTGAAACAGATTCTTTGAGCCCCAAGAAAATCCCTCAAAGACTGGAAAACGATAGGAACAAGTCATTGACATTCACCCAAATATCATGAAACATCTCTCAGAATTGGCTAACGTCTCCGAAGAGATTTTTGAAGTGCGGTGGTTTTGGGATGTTTTGGGATGTTTTGGGGACTGGTTGCTGGACCGCAGTTGAAAGATGCAGAGGTCCTGAGCCCAGCGTTGATGACTGCGCGGAATTCGACAGATGGCTGGTGATCAAAAATGATCCCTGTTGTACCATGCTTTGGAGTCCTTGGGAGGATGAACATAAGTCACATAATCATTAGTTCATTAAAATCCAGAAGATTCGCAACGATTGGAGGGCACCGGGGCCGCTGCGCCTTTGAGGTGAGCACAGTGGGTGAGGACGGGGTCTGGTGATGTTTGTCCGGGTGAACGGTGAAGGATTGTGAGGCAGAATTTCTTGGTCACCGGAAGTCTTCCGCCGAAGCTGCTTCATGTTGGATCAACTTCTCGGTATCAGATGTATCAGGTTCTCAGGGTGTGTCAGGATTCTGATGAAGAACAAGAGCGAGTGAAGAAGCTAAAGGCCGGGACATCTCCTGCAAGGCATCATTTGGGTACTGCAATTGAAGCGACCAAAACAGCATGGAAGTTTGAGTGCCCCCAGTTGGGTACCCCCCAAAAACTTCAGCAACAAAGGAAGTTGAAGTAGTAAGCCCTATTCGTAAAGGTTGCTGGGGTTAATGACTCCTTGAGAAGCCCAGTCAATGACCCGCAACTTTTGACTGACTCTGACGATGGTTGACCGGTACTTGTCTGAAAATGTGGGAATTACTCCAATTATTGACAGTCATGTCATGTTCATAGGAAAATTATGATATTGAACTGCCATGAACTGCCCATGTTTTCTGTTTTTATTCCCCCAAACCAAAGTCACATTACGCTGGGCCCATGCATTGCTTGATGCTGGAGTATCTCCAATGAATCTGCAGTTCCATTGTCAAAGCTTTAGAAATTCCAAGTAATGCTTTCAGTAGGATTATATAAAGTACGTACATATATTTGAATGGCAGTTTCAAGTACTTCAGACTTTTCCTTCCCCAAAACAACAGCCTTCCCCCCAAAAAATGAAGCTTGCTTCGCTGATGGTCGGAAAAATGCTGCGGACTCTTCGGCTCACCAGTCATAAATAGGCTGACTCAAGACCCATCAAGGGTAAATCCAGCCCCTCTTTGTGTTTCATTTGGTTCGAGTACTGTCAATTCTGATGTGTTCTCACGCGATTTGGCGGCGCAATCGACGTTTATTTACATGTACCATTCACCCAAATAGAGGGGTTGAAAACTACCCTTCCTCCAAGAGTTTGGCGCAACTCTCGGGGAAAAACTCGTTTGGGATGTTTTGGGGATAAGAAGAGGGCCAGAAACTTTATATAAGTTGGCTTTCCAACTAGACTGTTGGAGTTATGGTGGATATCTATCTATCAACATATGTTTATGATTGTTTATGTATATATATATATATACATAATTGGTTGGTGGTTGCAAAATGTTGCAAATAGGCTTTTGTTTTAAAGATATCCCATAGGATCCATGGTGCTGCTATATATGGTAACATGGATCCCATCAATATACCCCAGTCATGTTAGCATTACTATCCCAGCACCATGGATCCGTCATGGGTATGGGATCCATGGATCCCCGGTCGATCCCCGGTCACCATTCCCTGGTGAATTTCCGGTCGAGATCCTCAGGTGAGATGTCCTTGGCTGAGGGCCAACTTCGTTCCCTTCAGCGACCAGGAATGGCAAGAGGTGCCGCGGAGACAGCGGAGCAAGATGCCCCCCCCAAAAAAAAGCCGTGATCCATGGATCGCCTTTGGAAATTTAATGAAATTTATCTAATATGATATTAATATATATATATATATATTAATGGTGTTTGATAGTGTTCGTTTATATAAGACACCTATGGATCTATAGAGGTTTCATGAGGTTTCTGAAGTCATAGAGGATCCCCAAGTCGCCATGGTTGTTTCAATGCTAAGTCATGATTATCCATGACTTGGATGATTTGGGGATATCCCAATGTATTGGAAACCTCCCTGTGATTCTATGATTCATATCCTTTTTTGATGCCCTTGGTCTATACACAAACATGACAATTGCAATTATGCCAGGCCACTTTAGTATATATATATATATACATACACTATATATATATATATCTTCTCAGTACGTCTAGATCAAACCTCTGATCGGAACAAAAACTCGAAACCCATACGTCCGGATCACCGCGGCACGATTCCATCCCCGCTTTTCTAGCCAAGATTGGGGATTTCATCATCCATGATATGAGAATCCCTATGAATCAACCATGATTCAACCATTATAATTCAATGACAGACGGTTTTGAACATTCTTCGCATCTTTATGATGTGCATACAATGTGTATCACATCTAATATCTATACATGTGAATGTCATAGCAACATAATGCACATGTGTATGTTGCATATACTGCATATATGTATAGAATATTATAGAATATACATACAATAGTAGCCCATACTGCGTTTTTGTTTGGATAGCATGAATATCCAAAGTTTATTCCCAATGGTTCGTGGGGCAAAACTGAGAGAAATGGGTATACAGGATGTCCCATAAGAATCCATAAGATCTCATTGAGTAATGACACCTTCAACCCCTTTTTGTTGGGAAGTGCAGGGGTCCACGCTTTCCCCCAGGTGGTGCGGCCGGGTGATGCGCTGCGAAAGCCGTATACCAAGGTGCGCATGGCTGGCCCACGATGATGGGATGGCTGGTTTTGCATGCCGTTCGGCGAGGTGTTATGGGGAAAACTATGGAACACTATGCAGGTAATTCCAGTTTTTTTAGTTGGAAACTGAGTTATTTGCAAACCTCGGGCATGAACATTTTGACATTCTTGACATTCTGGACTCATACTCTGACTGCAGATGGTCAGTGAGCAAAACATTGTGAGAAATCCATTGTTCGTCCGGGTGTGCAGAAATGCCTGAGCATAGTGACAGATCGCGGCAAATGGCATCATGGCGTCGCTATGAAGTGCGTAGCAAAAGAGGGTCACTCAGGATACTGTATGGTATATGGTATACTACGGTATACTTCATGCATGTATCTTACAAAATATGTGTATAAGGTCATTTATGAACGTGAGAGGATCATCCCTTCACGCTCCAAGGTATGATCCTTGTATAAGAATATGAGAGCATATGATAGCAAACAGCCTGCAGGGTATATAGCATGTTTGTGTATCTAGGGAAGGCTCCACACTGTCGATGATTTTGGGAAGCTGACGTTCCTTACATATAGTTTCTCTTCACTGGTTTCAGTCATTTGTGGCACCCACAAAAAGAAACAAGTTGGTCAAACAAATCGCTGATTTTTTATTCTCGGCTGTTTGCGAAGTTCAAGGGTCATGAAACAATAAAACATGTGGGAAGCCGCACAGATCTGAAAGCACACGCTTGTGTCCCCAAGTGCTGCTGAACTTCCTACCCAAGTCCATGCTAGGAACTCGTCACGTCACATTCACCGCCAAAAAATTACAAATTGTGTTGTTTTTCCTTGAAATGCGATTATGTTGCATGATCCTTCCACTTGTATAGTCCTGGTCAGTTAGTGATTGCTCGGGGACTTACTGACCATGAGATCGCCATCCACGTATTGGTCCAAGTATCAACTGACCATGCGCCCCTACTTTTCCTCAATGGGGTTCTATCCCCAATTCTCACCAAGAAAAGAACCGAATTCTACCCCCTTGAAATCAGACACGACAATGGAAACTCCACTTTACAGATCTTTATAGATGACTATATATATTATAATATATATATATTTAATATATTATATTATATATATAATTTATATATATAATATATATATATATATTATATTATATTGAAAGAATTGCCAGGTTGGCCGCTGGTACATGTCCTATTTTCAGGGATCCCAGGTGATGTCCTTCGAAAGCCTGGGAACATTGTATTCACATGGGGCCCATTGTGGATAATGATGACAAATTGTGGATATCCAAGACTTTAACAGATTTTGGCAGTAGTCTCGGACATCCAGAAATTCTTAAAGCAAAATAAAGCAAACACGTATATATACAGTCTTTGAATGTCCAACATAATGCAGCAGTCCCCGAAAAGAGCAGTATCCAGTGCGCAATTGCTGGCATGTCACAGGAGCAAGTCACTCCGGTGCCGGGGGCCCCAAAGATCACTCTAGGGATGTACGTGATTTTGCCATGGGAAAGGAGCTCAGACTACACATCAGGATCTACAAAACATGTCAAACAAAAAAGGGGACTTTTCAAATCATGTCAACTCTGTACTGATTTCCGTCTCCTAACATTAGACAATGGAACTCTTAGAGACTTTTAGGTGCTTGGGGAACTTACGAGAACCACATCAAAACGATAGCGCCAAGCCTCCAGTTTTACCCGGTGTCAACTCGCTCCCGGAACTAGATGCAGGTTTGATGGAGGTTTAAATCATAGGAAGATCATCCAACTACTTAAGGATGTTTTACCCTCTGGTAAACAAACAGTTTGCGAACTTGAAAATGGTGATTTAGTGTGTTGAGAAAAACCCATTAAACATGTGGTGATTTTCCATAGTTATATTAGTTTACCAGAGGGTACCATGTTTTACCATGTTTAATCTCAGGGTAATACTTTTTGGATTTCTCCGGGCTAAGAAAACACCCGACATCATCAGCAGTCTTCCGGGGTGAGGTCGGACGAAGAAGACGGCCGGACGCCGCAAAAGGTGGGCCTTAATGATGCAGCCATGTTTGTGAGGCTTGAAACTTGAAACCACCCAGATAAAATATGATAAAATATGATAAAATATGATAAAATATTGAAGCAATAAACCTTACATAAGCATATCTTGCTCTTGGATGCTTGGTGCCAGCAACCCTGTGCACAACTACTTCCGTAAGTTTTTTCCTTTGACCGTTGCAGTGCAGATTCCGGGTCCTCACCATGGCAACAAGGCTTTAGCCAGTCAATATTTTGGCACCATGTGTGACACCAGCCATGTTGCTTTCAGCCACAACTCGTCACAATTCGTATTTTCTTGCAATACATTGGCCGGGAGGGAATCCAAGTCTGCTTGGCCTTCCCCATTTTTGCTGAAATCCAAGAATATTCCTGGTAGCATTCAGCTGTTGCTTTATAATCTACTGTATGTGTCTTGACTCGCACAGTCTCCTTTGCTTTCCAGCGTGGCCTATGTGTCTTTTTCCTAATTCCCGACAGTTATTGGATGTCAGGTCTATGTGAGGTTTCCTAAAATGGGACTACAGACCATGGTTGTTTCATGTTGTTTCATGTTGTTTCCATGTTTGATAAATGCTGATGAACATTTTGGATGATGCAACGGGTATATACCCCTATGACATCCTATGACAAAACGGACACCTCCATCTGTCTTGAACACCATGGTCATCCATGACTTGGATCCAGGTAGGCCATTCGATTATCATTGGATGCCATTATTATCCATTATTATCCATTATTAACCATTATTAACCATTAACCATTATTAACCGTTATTAAATGTTATTAACCATTATTAACCATTATTAATCATTATTATAAACACTATTAATCATTTTTAACCATTATTAACCATATGATTCTATATTATGATGATGATTAGATGATCGTCATTATTGTTATTAATTGTTATTAGTAAAAACATTTAACCATTATACATATCAATCGTTATTAACCGTTATTAATTATTATTAATCATTATTAATCATAATTTACCATTATTAACTATTCACCACTATGTGTCTTAACCTTGAACCATTAATCATTATATATCAACCATTATTCACCATTGTTAATCATTATCAACCATTAACTATTCACCACTATGTGTCTTGAAAACCAGTCAACTCCTCTTTCGTTGCCCACCTCCCCAGATCGCTCCTTCGGAGTCAGGTCTTAGTTTGCGCTCCGTCCAACGCAGCGGTGGACGAAGTTCTTCGCCGTGTCCATCGGGCGCCAGGGCGGTACCATGGGAATTTTTTAGGTCAAAGATCTATGAAATCTTGGGATAATGATAGATGGGGCCCCCAAGATATCTAAGTTAACAGAAGTGGCTGAATTCTATGGTGTATGGTAGATATAACATGATATAACGATATATAGTTAATGGGATTTATAAACCAGCTTATAATATTGGGATAATGATAGGGATAATATCTATGAAACGGTTCATGTCACAAAAGTCTGTGGGGTTTCATCCCGCGGATAACATTCTATAAAACATTCTATCTACACATCTAAGCCCAAGACAACAATCAATGTGGTTGTTTTCTGAGTCAAACATCTTCACACAGGTTCACACATTTGGATGATCACTATCACTGTGCTGATCGCTAACATCAAGATCCATGGAGATAAACTGGGAGAGTTGAAGTCAAGATATGTCAAGATCATGTCTGGTCCCTTGAGTCATTTTACGCTGCTTGATTGGTGAATTTGTCGGGACTTAATGGAACTTCTACTATCTTATTCGAGCTAATTTCATTGTGGATTATGATAAGCCATATATAGTAACAGGCCGGAGAATAACCTAAGTAACCCCCATTGATCTCCCTTTGTCCGCCACTTTTTAACGGAAGGACGGATTTCTGGGAGACGATGGCACGTTCTTCAAACCGGAAATGACCAGGCAGGGATGCCATCACTGGGAAAATCATCGAACTGAAGTTTTTGTTGGCTGGGAAAAGACACTTGAAATCATGTTGAAGATGCACATGATATACCAAAACTGGTGAACGTAACCGTAGTTATAAATGTCACCCTCATGTTTAGATGGAATACGCCACGAAACGCGGACAGGCCCGGGGACTTACGATCACCAGGGTTACCACTTTTGACTCCTGGGATGATCTTTGAAAGATGTCGAGGTGATATGGGTCGCTTTTTGGGTGCAACAAAAATGTCAACAACTCATGTCAACAGCTATATGAATAACAGCTATATTAAATTAACATCTTTTTTTTTGTCTGAAACTCGGATGGACCTCCGTTCTTCGGATTCTTCGGATTCTCGTTCTTTCAATGGCAGGAATCCAACCTATCCAAGGGACCTGGTGGGCCTGGTGGGCCTGGCCTGGCATGCCATAAACCTTCCATTTTGGGTTTCTGTTTCAATCACTGAAGAGTCCCATTTCTGGTATTAGGGACGGAATTTTCTGGGGTTCCTTCCATATTCATATTCGCATATCTTCGCCATGGTTTTCCGGCCATTGATCTCTCAACTCCATTGACATATTGAATCACGTGCCTGCCACAGGGTTGGTCCAGGCGCGCATTCGGACATCCGAAAGGCGAGCGGGGCAGAGAGGGAGATGGCAAGTGAACAAGGGATAACAAGGGTATGAAAGTACAACATGTACCAGGTACAGTACTTTGACAATCTTTGATGTATGATGATACATACTATTTATATAAACCTCTCCTATAATTCTGGCTATATAAAGCATGTCATTTTCCGCTCAAAACTGCCAATTCCCGTGACCTGCCTGGTGTTTTTTTTGAGTTCTGATGAGGACTGATCAATGTGTTGAAGCCCATTAAACTAACATAATGTGGTTAAAATATGTTTAAAAAAACCATCCATTTGGGAATGGTTTATACATGTTTATACCACCTATTCATGGTGAAATTGGGGATGGTTTATGGCATTGTTTTACCAACATGATAGTAAAATATAGTAAAATAACATCAGCATCAGTTTTTCATGTTTGGACCCGTTTCTTTGGGTGAATTTCTCACGACTTCCAGGCCTACGCCCTCCGTGAGCAAATCGACCGACGACTTGCTGGTTGCACTTCGGCTCTGGGACCGGGGAACGATGAAGAAATTGGGATTTCATGGCGATGTGGGTAAAACATGGTGAAACAATAAACCATCCCCCAGTCATCACCATGTTTATAGTTGGTATAGACCATTCCCCTGGTTTATATGTGTAATATGTGTATTTTTCCCACATTAGTAGGAAGTTCAAGAATTCTAGGATCTCTGCTTATTTAAAGTAGCTATGGAAAATGGATGAACATGGCCCATGTTGTGGAAAACACTTGACATATCTTGAAATCACGAACCAGTTGCCCTCTGGTTATTTAACATAGCTATATACGGAACATCACAATTTTTTACTATCTGGTTCATCATGAATCATCTATAAATGGCCCATGTTCCATAGCCATGTTAAAGAACCAGAGGGTAACTCGTTCGTGTGACAACATCATATTTTTTGCAGCGGTCAAACCAGAAACCTCTGAAGATGATGAACGATGCGACTCATGACAAGTGCTTGTTGTGTTTGTTTTGCGGTCCATCCTGTGGAAGTGAACACCAGCTCCACGGAAGTGCATGGGTTGGGGAAACCAAACCAACATCAAGTGGAATTGCCTGGTGATATTTTGCTCACAAACTCAACATGGAACAGAAACCCGGGGCACGCAATTTTTCCTTCGACATCCGGGTGTCTCTCGGTGCTGAGGTGATGCGCCAGACCACAACAAGCGGGACCGGGCGAATGGGGTGTCCAGGATCAAGATCATGTAATCAGTGGCCATTTAAGAGGTGCTGTACCATCTAAAGTTCATTAAAACTCCATTAAAGCCATACAGGCCATATTTTCGGGGACATATAATATGAAAACATCCCCTTACAGTTCCCTTACATAGACCCTACATGGAGCTTACATAGGTACCTCCAGTTTCGGTACTTGATACCAACTGTTGGTGGATGCCCGACGTTGATCCAGGCCAGGAGCTGAACGGAACTTACCCGACTTATTCTTGGGGGAAAATTGGGGACAAAGCAACAAATCCAGCTGTGATGCCGGAAAACACCAACCATTACCCTCCAGTAAATTAACATAGATTTTGGCAGATAGGGGTTGGAAGATTGGTTTCCACTAAACATGGGTTATTTTCCACCAACCATTATGTTGGGGATCTAAATGGGTTTTGGTTCCACAGCTAGGAAAATCCATGGAATTCCTGGAACGCGGGCGGCACGGCTAGATGCTTTGGAATATTCCATTCCAGGACATTCCATGGTAACTCGGATGACACACAATTCGCTGTTTCTTTTTGGATGAGGAACTCAACTACCGCATCATACCACATCTTGCTGATTATAACAGACCTAAAACATGTTTTACCGGTAATTTAACATAACTATAGAAAGATCCACCATTTTTAATGGGAAAATCCACTATTTCTATGGTCATTTTCCATAGTTTTTATCCCAATTTTTTCCAGTTTCGCCGGTGACACCAGGAGGAGGAAAAAGATGCCGTCCTCTCCCTCGCAAGGCCGGTGAACCAACCAACCATTGGGGCTCCCCCTAATATTTGTATAGATGTGTATAGATGATATATATAGATGATTATAGATGATTATAGATTATATATAGATATAGATTATAGATGATTATAGATTATAGATATAGATGATATATATAGATGATTATAGATGATTATAGATGATTATAGATGATTATAGATGATTGTAGATGATTATAGATGATTGTAGATGATTATAGATGATTATAGATGATTATAGATGATTATAGATGATTATAGATGATTATAGATGATTATAGATGATTATAGATGATTATAGATGATTATAGATGATTATAGATGATTATAGATGATTATGATTATAGATGACTGTAGATGATTATAGATGATTATAGATGATTATAGATGATTATAGATGATTATAGATGATTATAGATGATTATAGATGATTATAGATGATTATAGATGATTATAGATGATTATAGATTATAGATGATTATAGATTATAGATGATTATAGATGATTCTAGATGATTATAGATGATTCTAGATGATATAGATGATTATAGATTATAGATGATTATAGATGATTCTAGATGATTGTAGATGATTATAGATGATTATAGATGATTATAGATGATTATAGATGATTATAGATTATAGATGATTATAGATTATAGATGATTGTAGATGATTATAGATGATTATAGATGATTATAGATGATTATAGATGATTATAGATGATTAGATGATTATAGATGATTGTAGATGATTATAGATGATTATAGATGATTATAGATGATTGTAGATGATTATAGATTATAGATGATTATAGATGATTTATAGATGATTATAGATTATAGATGATTATAGATTATAGATGATTATAGATGATTATAGATGATTATAGATGATTATAGATGATTATAGATGATTATAGATGATTATAGATGATTATAGATGATTATAGATGATTATAGATGATTGTAGATGATTATAGATGATTATAGATGATTATAGATGATTATAGATGATTATAGATGATGATATAGATGATTATAGATGATTATAGATGATTATAGATGATTATAGATGATTATAGATGATTATAGATGATTATAGATGATTATAGATGATTATAGATTATAGATGATTATAGATTATAGATGATTATAGATGATTCTAGATGATTATAGATGATTGATTATAGATGATTATAGATTATAGATGATTGTAGATGATTATAGATGATTGTAGATGATTATAGATGATTATAGATGATTATAGATGATTGTAGATGATTATAGATTATAGATGATTATAGATGATGATTATAGATGATTATAGATTATAGATGATTATAGATTATAGATGATTGTATAGATGATTATAGTAGATGATTATAGATGATTATAGATGATTGTAGATGTGTATAGATGATTATAGATGATTATAGATTATAGATGATTATAGATGATTGATGATTGTAGATGATTATAGATTATAGATGATTATAGATGATTATAGATGATTGTAGATGATTATAGATGATTATAGATGATTATAGATGATTATAGATGATTATAGATGATTATAGATGATTATAGATTATAGATGATTATAGATGATTGTAGATGATTATAGATGATTAGAGATGATTGTAGATGTGTATAGATGATTATAGATGATTATAGATTATAGATGATTATAGATGATTATAGATGATTATGATTATAGATTATAGATGATTATAGATGATTGTAGATGATTATAGATGATTATAGATGATTATAGATGATTATAGATGATTATAGATTATAGATGATTATAGATTATAGATGATTGTAGATGATTATAGATGATTGTAGATGATTATAGATGATTATAGATGATTATAGATTATAGATGATTATAGATTATAGATGATTGTAGATGATTATAGATGATTGTAGATGATTATAGATGATTATAGATGATTATAGATGATTGTAGATGATTATAGATTATAGATGATTATAGATGATTGTAGATGATTATAGATTATAGATGATTATAGATGATTGTAGATGATTATAGATGATTATAGATGATTATAGATGATTATAGATGATTGTAGATGATTATAGATGATTGTAGATGATTATAGATGATTATAGATGATTGTAGATGATAGATGTGTGGAAAGACTGAGGCTCAATCAAATGCAGCGAGATGGTTAACCAGGCACCCATGGTAACAGGGATGATCCATTTTTTTGACTTTATCACAGTGTAACACGTGTTTTTTTTCTTCGTTTTCAACTACTTACTATCCCGTAGGATCCATGTATGCTATATATATATATGGTAACATTTACCATCAATATAATATACCCCCAATGTTAGCATCTATACCATACATGGATCCTATGGGTATTGGAGATGATTGTTTCGCTTGGCTCTGTTTTGTCCGGTGGGTCGCTCAACCACACTAACCACACCCAAGATTTTGGGCGAACAAGCTGTATCATAGTACACTCGGGCTTGAAATATGAGCGCCCGGTTCTCATCTGTTTTGAGGTATCAGGTATCCTGATTTGACATAATTTAACCATATTTGACATGAATGGATCCACAGCCAGAGATCTTTCATCAATGGATTGGTTTAAGGGAAAATCTACAGGAAACCATAGATTTTCCAATGGATTATGGGGCTTTCCTGTAAATTTTCCCTTAAACCAATCCATTGATTTCATGGTTTCGCCCTTACGGTTTTGTCGTCGAAACATAGCGAGTTGTGGCGACGTGAGGATCATCTTTTCGACCCTGGCAATGGCTGGATCACGAGACATGGTGGGAGAACCCGAGCCGCCTTCGGGCCCGACTTCGGGCGGATGGTTGCAGCAAGGTGGGTATCCAGGGCACCATAAAGATCCATAAAGGTAACAAAACATATGTTGATGTGCTACTGTTGATAAAGCTCAGATGGCCCCCCTTTGGGTTTGGATTTATGATGATTTATGATGGGGATTGCAGCTACCAGCCAGGCTGACATGATTTGCTGCTATAAATTAGCGTTGTTTAGACGTATCTTGCATTCCGTCATTCTTGTTGGATTTGCACAAAGATCTTCCAGCGAAAAAATCTGGCAAAGGATCTTCTTCCCAGGGATCCAATTCAGTATGATTGGCTTTTCCAATCACATCCAAAAATGCCAGAAATATGGTCATAATATTGGCATTGATATCTGAAAATGAGCTGAGATGATTGGATTTTGAAGGGATCTCAAAGATTCTCAGGGTATGTGTACCAACTTTTGCTCCATGTGAAGGTCTCCATGGGCAGACCACCTTAGACCACCTCGAGGTCGGCTGTCCTGAAGACTTCGACACCGTCCTGGTGGATGAGGTACCACCGAGAAACGGATCCGGTTGGACCCTGGCGGGTACCTCTTTGCACATATTTAAGGTAGATATTTGGAAAGAATGGGATATAATTGATATACTGACATAATGGTACATGATATTTAAATATATTTAATGCGGAATATTCCTATATGTTATATACAGATTCATGTTTCTCATACTTGTTAGCATTATCTTTTGGGATTCATGGGATTTTTTGATCCCAACGATGACTTTCCCATAGAAATATCTGGCTGAGCAGATTGGATGCCTCCATCTCCACTCCACTGGGCTCAGGCGTGTCAAGGGGTGGAACTTTCCACCTTGATCCCCTTGAAACTGGGCTGCAGGCGAGACGGCCTGAAGATGCTGGGCTTGAGTGTGGAATCCAACGGTGGAAGCATAACGTGGGACATCTCCCATGATCAATGAGTATGTCCACTTGGATTTTTTGGTGCTGATTGGTGCTGATTGGTGCGATTGTGTGTGTTGATCCATGATGGGTGGTTTCACCAATGTTGATCCATGATTCACTTTTCCATCACAAAAAAAACTAATCTGCTATCAATCCAATGCCATAAACCTTCGATTGGGCATTCACTGGCAATGCTATGATGGAAAACAACCCACCAAATGATGATGGAACATGTGTTCTATAACTTTTTCGACATTTCTTGACATGGAGGTTTCCTAAAATGATTTGAAATGGGGGTACCCCTTCAATCATCCAAGTCATCAGACCATTTTAGTATTGAGAGGTGACTTGGGGATCTCCCATTTCAAGAAACCCCTATAGATCCATAGTTGTCTTAGATCTCATGATATTTTTAGCAACTTTAGCACCATCAATATCTCATTGGATAGATATCATTATATCCCATTATAAACCAAATATATATACCAGTATAAACCCATATAAAGCCTATAAAACACCATATTCGTATCATATCCCCCCAACGGTATCCCTTAAGGGTTCAAACTCCCTCCGATTCCAGGCGTTTGATCCTCATTGGCGACCCAAATCAGCTCCCAGCCACCGTCTTCTCAGAGCTGCTTGGCATCTCACCATCATCAATTATGGAGATTTATAAATGGATACCCCAATATATGGGGATACCCCAATAGCTGGAGATATTGGATATACATATATATATATATATATATGTGCAATGATCAAAAGACGCTATGAAAGGCTTCAATTACGATCCGCCATCACTACTCAAAACATGTGATTTACTGTGTGTAGCGATAGGGGGCCTTGTGTAGCGATACCTCTTTTTAGACTTTGTTTATGATTGAGCCTTCCTGTTGGGCGCATGACTTTCCAATCTTTTGATGTCAGAGTGCGACACTGGAGCAGTCGCAGTGGGCTGGTCTTCCTGGGTAGTTGCAAGATGGCCTGTCGTCAAGTATATATGAGATAGTTACATTAAACAATGTTGATATATTGGGGTATGTTGATCTATAAGGTATGCAAGAAACTAATTCATAACGCATCATGAGCTTGATGATGGTGATGATGCTGATGATGATGGTGATGGTGATGATGTTGATTCAGATAGTGACAGTGCTGAGATATGTTGAAAAAGCATCCTTCTACGTCACGGACGCTTCTCCAAAGCCACTGTCCAGGAGTAGAATTGCAACATGGAGCTTGTCAGAATTTCGTGTCACTTGAAACTTACCCCTGAGATCACACATTTTCTGGTCCCCGTAGCGATGCCCGAAGCGATACCCCTCGATACCCAGAGCGATACCTGAAATCCATTAAATTAGGGAGTACCCCACATGGTCACTTGAAACTATACAACTTGTTTTCTATTTGCACACGTCAGTAGCTTCTAGAGTTATGCCGCGTTCCAAAGAGACGCTCACAGGCATTCGCAATTTGCTCAGCGATTTGTTCACATGTCTACCTGTTAGGGAGAAGTTGCCGATTCATTTTGGCGTGGTATTAGGTTGCAAAGGAGGCGGGGTGAAGAAAAAAAGGCGCCGGAAACAAGGCAGCACAGGCAAGACAAGCCAAGACAAGCCAACACAAGCCAAGGGCAGCCTCCGAGGTCAGATGACCTGCAGTGAGTCCGGCTGGTGTCTAGCTGAAGCTGTCGACGTCAGCCTTGGTGATCACGTAAAAGTTTGAATTTCCCTGGAGATACCATCGCAAGGGGAATAAGAATCCGATTCCTCATCTGGATCCTCCTAGCAGCGATTCTGCCTAGTTGGTGAAAAGGGTGCTGGGACTGTGTGTAGCGATAGGGGGCCTTGTGAAGCGATGCCATGACCTCACCACATGAATTGAGTTTTGACGGTCGCACATATGGTATCCCCATTTATATATGGTTGATTGGTGATTTAATGGAGACTTAAGCATCAAATATGCGTTTTAAGCAACAGTAATTTCGGAATATGATATAACTGAGAAGGCATGGTTGATTGGTTGTGAAATAGGGACTTTTACTACCTAATTTACTGGGGATTATGATAAGCCATAGCAGGGAAACCGTTTTCAACCAACTAGTATTTCATGAGGTGGGATAGGGGTATGTTTAATGGCTCAATTATCCCAGGAATAGATCTACCCTCTGGTAAACATAACGCAACATATGGAAAATAGCTCCAATAGCTAGAGTTTATAGCTAAGTTGGTCTATAGCTCCAATAGCTAGAGTTTATGGTAGATATACAGGGGAATTCCTGAAATGGAGGCACCCCTAGTTCTCATCCATTTGTTTAATTCGGATTTTCCATGAAATAAACCGTCCAGCTATTGGGGTATTCCCATTTATGGAAATCCCCATATCTACCCTCTGTTAAACATACAAGAAACTATGGAAAAAACACTATGCTATTAATGGGTAAATCAACTATTTCTATGGACCATGGCTTCAATAGCTATGTCAAATTACCAGAGGGTATCTGCAACAATATCCACACATATCAATAAATCACCTTAAGAATCACCTTCAGTTGATTTGTGTTAATGTTGGGTCTTGTTTTGGGGGGAACTTCGCCTTTTGAACACAGGTATGGTTTTGGGGTACCTTCAGTTCGTTTTATTTATCGTTTTTCTTTCGACTTGGGGGTGTTGTATTGTAGTGACTAATCATCACTGCATACTCAACGCCCAGTATTCATTCGTTTGTATTTGTGATGGTTAAACTACAATATTCACTAGCCACCAATCCCAATCATCACTTGTGTATATTTGAATATTTGGGATTGGTGGCTCAACATGGCTCAACGACCAGTTACTCATGGTCCTTCTGGTGGATGACCATAGACTTCCAGCGCTCACGTCGGGGATGACTGGTTGACAACCGACAAGGGACACCATGGGACATTGCCACGCGGAGTGTGTAGAAACGTGCCATGAATCTCAACATCACTATCTATGATTGGGGATCGATTTTGCGAAGGTTTTTCTTCTTTCAAAGTCCCTTTTCGCAGCGGGGACTTATGTTCGAGATCCATGGATCCATGTCCACTACTGTTCACTCAAAAACTCAGCAGAATTTTTCGGCGGAGCTCGACTTGACCCCTCAACGGATGTTGATTCTCTGATGATTTCAAACGTATGGCTTTGTGATGCTTTGTCTTACTGGTGCTTAGCAGGGAATGAGGGAGATCCATAATCACTAGTATTAATCATCCCATTCCCCCATTCCCATCCATTCCCTACTAAGCACCAGTAAGTTGTGTGAACATTTACTGGGACACCCCTAGAGTCCAGTTGTTAACCACATGTTCCCTATGATTGGCCACTGGAGTGGAGGCAAAGAGCCACCCATTTTCAGCTCACCCATCTTCAGTTGGTTAGATATCACATGAATATATATCCTTCATAAATATTCATAAATATTCAGATGATCTATGATAATCTTAGATACTTCTTATCTTCTTTGTCCTATCCCATAGCCCGTCCCCTGGGGAATATACTCCATTTTGGCCCCTAGGCTGGCGAAGGCGTGGCTGTTCTGCTGTGGTGTTAAACGCCCCATAATTTGAGTACGTTTAGCCCATTGGTTTGGAGTATTTGGAGGGTCGAGGTATTGATAATGGGAAGATGATGATCAACTATGTGATATCCAATAAAGACTTAGAATCTAAGATCTGCATTTGACACATTGTGAAACTATGATAGTCTATAGTCAATTCCAATCATCGAAGGTCATCCTTTTCTGGCAACTGATGGGCCGTGGGACAACTGATGCTCAACTGAATAGTTCTATCAAGTGCGACATCGGAACGGACAATCTTTCAATCGCGTCACGATTGGTGAAAGAATTCTCCACGCGACAATGTGCCATTTGACTGGAAAGCTGATGTTCCATCAAAAAGGATGCCCTCTGGATAGCCTCTGGATGAAATCCTCCATTTACTGTCGATGATTTTTCCAGCTACCATGGCTATGGCAATACCCAGCCCAGGACTACAGCAACTATGCGCGCAGTCTGTTTCAACGATTGCAGGTGACTCACTACAAGGCATGTTGCAGCTTTGAATCGGCCGGTTTTCTGAAAGGCTGAAAAAGATTGGACAGCAGCCGACAGCTGAAACTGTTTTTTATTCATGACTTCTGGAATTGTATCATCATAGTGATTATATGTGATGCTATGTGATGCTATGTGATGATATGTGATGCTATGTGATGATATGTGATGATATGTGATGCTATGTGATGATATGTGATGATATGTGTTGATGATTCTGATGCTGTTGCTGCTGCTGGTGATGATGAGGATGGCGATGGCGATGGCGATGATGATGATTTCCTGTGTTTGTTTAGTGATATCTTTCGTTTGCGAGGATCTTCATTTGGTAGGATGTCTCATGATCTCTCTGTTGATACATCCCTCGGCTGATCTGACCTGAATCCAAACCGATGTCACGCCTACAACTGCCGGTGTTTCTCACATTATCAATAAATCATAATAAATCCCATTGGATTCACAGTTTTTTGGCTATGACAATAACTGGGCTAAACTCATCTGCCAGGTATCAATACCCATGGCATTTGTCCATTGTCCCTGCGGCGTCAGCTGTGTCAGGTGAACATGCTCAATACGCAGTATCGGATGCATCCAGCGATTTCGCGCTTTCCATCGGAGAACTTCTACGATGGTCAGCGACTGAGCCATATATATAATATATTATAATATATACTGTGTATATATATATATGTATATGTAGATCATGCATGCATGTACTGTGTATATGTAATGTATATATACATATATATATATATATACAGAGTAGATTAGTAGGATGTAACATATAAAAAATATAATATATCATGATATCATATAATATGATATAATATGATATAATATAATATAATATAATATTATATAGATATAATGTAATATAATATAATATAATTTAGTACAATATAATATACTATACTATAATATAATATAATACAATATTATATAATACAATATAATATAATATACTATACTTTAATATAATATAATATAATATAATATGATATAATATGATATAATATAATATACGTTACTGTAATATCCCCTATGAAACTGCCACTTTACTGGAGGTAAATCCATGTAAATCTTCATCTCCAGGCACACCCAAGCATCATATTGTTGAAGTGGTGAAGTTTATCGCATAGTCCTATCCCGTAATGTGGTTATTCCAATAATAAACCATCCCATCAACCAACCATTTGGGCATCATTCCAAATAGAGGGTCGTTTTTTTTCCCGGTATACTCAATTTATCTAATTTCATAAACCACTCTTCGGGATCTTTTATTATTGTCATAGAATTGGATGATGGGAAAATTTACAGGCAAGCCCTATATTTGATGGTAAAAACCCATGGTTTCATGTTAAGATTTTCCCTTAAACCAATCCAGTGATATTGGGCTTACCACGTCGTCATGTCCCCTATTAAAAAAAAACACATGTTCGGATCTCAGCGGTATCGAGACCTCAGGCAGCCTTCTGGATCATCTGGACTGGAAGGCGGGGCTTGGGTTTTTCGGTGTACGGATGTGCACCTGAAAATGGGAGTAGCCATATGGCTGTTTAAATCTGTCTAAATCGGGGAAAAAGAGAATGAACCATGGAATTTTGAGGGTACCACATTGACCAATCCAATGAGATCTTTGTACCCAGGATAGTATCTGTGGGTTTGGATCAACAGTCCACCGGGCTGGAAGCCCATTTATTCGGAGAAAATGACCATAGTTGAAACCACCAACAACCATCCAATTGGGTATAACATCGGAGATAATGAGACTGATAATGCGATATAGAATGATTTCTGTGTGCGTGTATTGCTATTCGCTCGCAAAGTGGATTTGTTTGCAAAACAGGACTACCCGAAAATTGCACATTTATGAGGAAAATGATGGAACTTAATGATAAACCATGGGTTTTGGAGGTACCCTGTTTTCAGACAAACCAAATGACAAGTTGAACAGTTTCAGTTACCAAAAACGATCAGTCATGACTAGTCTCCCAATCTGGCCTAGAACGTCACCAGTTGACCAAGAGCCATGTCAGGCCTTTGAGGCAAAGAATCCCACAAAATGGTCACACATTCCGTGCTTCGCACCGGTGGCTTTCTTTAACATCGCAGGTGGGGGCACCAAGGTTGGGTTGGTTGGTGAAGGGAGTGGTCAAATAGTGGTGTTTTTGCACCCCTGGAATTCTGTGGAAGTCACTGAGATAGTTAAGGGAATGGAGAAGGCCCGAAATTGTCAGCTGAGCTGTTTCGCCAGTTCATGCTCATTTGCTCGGTGACTTCAAGTTTGTAATATGTCTCAGGCATCAAATTGTCATTCGGTTTCAGTGCAGGAGCTACAACTGTTTTCTACGCGTCGGGCGGATAGATACCCGCGCGTTATTTTAAGGGTCATGCATAGATCATCGTGGTATTTACAGTATTTTCATGTTTCATGGTTTTTTGAGGCCTTCACGAACTAACTTTGTTTTCCATCAAATGACAAAAGAGTTGTGGAAGTTCGAGTGTTTGGTGTGCATCCGTGTTATTGATATCCATGTGATAAGATCATTGAGGGACATGCTGCAGCACAAATGCCTCAAATCAGAAGATGTTTTGGTTGCGGTGCTAAAGGACATCGAAAAGAACGATGTCCGACGCGGGCAGGCGCTGAGATCAGGAAACTTCGAAAGCTGGTGAGAACTCAACAGGCCATTTCGAAACCTGACCATTACAAAAGACAACTCCGTGGAGTTGAAGCAGCTCTTGGAAGAGGAGCTGAGAAGAAATAGGCCGCAAGTTGAACAGAAGAGGTCGCAGCCTGAAGAAGCAAAAACGACTGTGAAGCTGGCAGGTCGGTGATGCGCCCTTCATGTGGTTGGTCTTATGTGGATTTGCTGAAAACTTTGCAGATGTTAGGTTGATGTTGATTTGTTGGATCAGAAACATTGTTTGTTTCATTTGAAGGACGGCACGGGATGGATGTTATTAGCCCCCCCAACTCCCCCACCCACCCCATATTAACGATGTCGTGCGGGTATCTACCCGCCCGACACCTTTTTCTACAGCCAATGATTTTGCTTTGGTACAAGATAACAGTTTTACGCTCAACATAATTATATATATATATATAACCAATATTACAAGTTATTACATAACTTAACTATAAATTCACTATGAATTAACTCTAACTAGTCTTACATAAAAAAACGAAGAACTGTGCGCAGTGAATCCGGTGCATCCAGTGGCCGCCAGGCAAAATGTCACAGGGCTCCAAATCCTATGCCAACGAGGAGGAGGTCGGACGAGATTCGGCTGTTAAAACCGGAGGTTTTTAAGGTGCTTTCCAGGTGGTTTCAAATATTAAGATATATTACTTAGTAGCATTTAGTAGCTATTCATTAAATCATGTATATGTTTAGATATATGTTATACTGTTATACTATATATATAATATAGTGTCTAATACAGGTGTATTATTGTATGTCTAGCAACTCCAAAATAAACAGAACAGATTTGAACCAGAAGCTACCTGTAGACCGATCGATGCTGCCAAGCTGTTGAAACGGAACCTGCATTAGGGCAACAAAAATCAGCAGCTGGAACATCGCACCTGTTTCTACCTGTTCCATCTTTGTGAGTAGCTGGTGATGGTGAGTATACACTGCACATTTTCGGAGAAAGACGTAGTTCACCGTTCACCGCCGTGGGGACCATCCTGGACCTATGGCAACGCGCTTTGTTCTGCTTGGCCCTGGGTTTTCTATCAGACCTTACACTAAGTCCATGTCGGGCAGCCTCCCCTGCAATTATGTTAAGAGTTATGGCTGATTGGTGGTTTGGAACATGTTTTTTTTCCCATATATTGGGAATAACAATCCCAACTGACTTTCATATTTTCCTGAGGGGTAGGTTGAAACCACCAACCAGATGGCATTTGGCATCAGACCCAGTTGGTCCGGTTGGTCCATGCCAGGCGGAGTTCATTGTGAACATGGTCTCTGTATTGCAAAGTCTCTTCCCCGATCAGGACCATGCGCAACGGCGGCGCGGCCACGGCGCCACGTCTTTCATGAAAGAACTGGGTTCTGAATCAGAAATTGACATCTAATTTCACTCGAATCTTGTAATGGTACTCCAAAAGTTTGGGCAATTTTTTTCACGGCTTTTTCTAACTTTCACAGCAGAAATTTAAAAATCAGGTGTATCTGAAAATACATCATGTTATCCCAATCATTCCCAAACTAAAACCATTTTCATCATACGGTGGTTTCCATAAATGGGGGGTACCCCAATCGCTGGATGGTTTATAATGGAAAATCCTATTGATTAAAATGGATGAGAACTGGCGGTACCCCTATTTTGGGAAACCAGGAAACCTCCATCTTTATTTATTAAAACCTCCATTATTAATCCATTATTAACCCATTATCCCATTATAATCCATTATTACAAGCTCCATCTTTTCCCTTCATGGAAACATCATTGAAAGAAAATGGTTGATCCTTGTCCTTCTCCTTCTCATGATCCTGATCCCGATTCTCTTCTGATGGTTAATCCCCAATGTCATCTGGATTCCCAGAATGGGTCATGGAAAAATGGCCGTTTTCACCATCTTTTCATGGATTTTTCATCAGGACTGGAGACGAAAGATCGGAGTCATCTCTCCATACGCCGAGCAGGTGGAAGCTGTGTAAGTTGCTAGGCCATGGATATGAATAGTATAGTACTTATAGTATGATTTGTATGGTTATCGAATTTATATGGATATGAAATGATATGAATAGGTATCGAGTTATTTCATGTTAGATCTAGTTTATATAGGTCAACTATGGCTTTATTTGGTAACTATGGATAGCTATGGCTATGGCCCATATATAATGTTCGTTATATCATTGTTATATCCCCATACCCCATAAACCCTAATTAGTTATCCAACTTGCAGGTCAGCTTAGTTATCGTTTGGGGGGGCCATCTTGTACTTCATATGCGCATTTTGCCAATCCAAGATATCAACTTCTACGTGTTCGTGTCTTTTTTTAGTTCCAAGTTGGTGACTCCATTGAATCCGGAACTCCAGAGAAGACTTGTAAATGGAAGGAACACCAAGTTAAAAAATGAAGGTAAAGCAAATGGTGCTGGGAAATAGGGCCGGCTTCAAATAGTTCTACTCATTGCTACTACTTTTCTATCCACAAAGATGGGATGACACTAGCCGCGCACGTGCAGATGTTTGTGGGGGGTGGCTATAGCCATTGGAGGTTCAGCTCAGTTAAGTCAGAGCCTAACATCTAACGTGATGGATAAACTCTGGCATCCAAAATACTAGATAGGAATGTCTAGGAAAGCAAGTCCTTACATCACTACCTACTTTGAATAGAAATTCAATGTGCGCAGAAATTGGGACCCCAAGGCAACCCCGGATCTAGATGTGGGGTGATCCATGGTGATCCCGTGCACAGAGTATTACCACCGTGAGGTGCGCTTGCTAAAGGCAATGTTCAAAGAAAAGTGCCCCGGGTCGGGGCTGACGATGAGTGATGGGTCTGGCCACCACCGGGATTGCTGGATCCCCGGGGAAAGTACATGCCTTGTTTTCCACGGAGCTGAAAGTGTTTTTGAAAGATCCTGATTCGGTAAAGATTGATGGTTAAAATTCCAGATATCGCATGTCGTGATGGATCATGAACGAGATATCTGATCGACTGGCTCCCAATCACTTGGTGGTTTTCAATGTCATGGATACGTTTTTGTCTACGTGTTTCTGATCGACTGTACTGGAGGTGTACCCTGCCTGTAATTCGAAATGATTTTATGAAACAAATTTCAGGAAATTTGACATTGCTAATGTCAAATGCTGTATACCATGTTGAGTTTTGCGGTCAAGACTTGTGGATATGATCTTCACCATGATGTTGGGCTTGGCGCCAGACGAGCGACTGCGAATGACCATGTCATTCTTAGGCAGGATGTGTCACTCCTGAACACCGCTTTAAGCTTTGATTCGTTTCAATAGTTTCCGAGGGCGTCATGGCTCCTGGCTCTGTACTGGATGAGTCTTGTTTTTTCCGATTTTCCCCTTATTACTTTCCCCCGAAATCAACCCTTTGACTTGTTTGCCAATTCACAAGTTGACAGCAAATCCTTTGCATGATCTGGAGTAGCCTGAAAGGTTGATATGCAAACATGCAAACTCATCCCTGCTGACTTGCGGGTCTTATGTGTATATATATATATCAGTTTTAAGATGTTTTAAGTGATTCTAAGCTGTCTCCGATTCTGAACTAAAACAGCATTAGCTACTTTAGCCAGGTTCAACCAACTTTATCCAATTTCTCAGTTGATGTCCATCCCAAATCCAAAGAAATCTCCAAGAAGGTGACTCGTTGGCCCTCCGCCGTCGGAGGTATGGCATCAAAAGCATCCACGACCCATGTCCCGTGGAGGTGACCGTGGGTAAACCCATGGTGACGACTGGGAATCCCCCATAGGAAACTCCCAAATTGCCATTGTTGTGGGGCCAAAAATTTCCCAACTATTGGAGGTTAAAATATGTTAAAATCCCATAGTACCCACAAGCCCAGTCGCACACCAAGTATCATGTGTTGGTTTCCATGCCTATGATCTCCACAGCAGCAGATACTCTGGCGTTCGATACATCTGGATGAATAAAATGGGACCGTCGTGACGTCACTCAAAGGATGGTATAACTATCCCAAAATAGCTTTACTGCGGGTTCCGAACTTATCCAGAGATACATGCACTTTCTATCACTTTATCTCACTTTAGAATATGTATGTAATATATATAATATCTGTAGATTTGATCTGTAGGATGCCTTCCCCCTGGTATCAAATATCCCCAATCGAAACCTTGGTTGAGTATTGTATGGTTTCATTTGTGGAGCCCACTCATAGGGGTATTCAATCTGAAATTACCCTTTGGGGTAAACCCACATACTGGGTAGATGTAGAAAACCATGGAAGACCCATGGTTTCCCGTTTTCAAAATGATCTACAACTGGTGGGTACATCCGTACATCCCCAAAATCATCAAGCTTTATCATAGTTGATCACCATTTTCCCCATATTTCCGTATATTTCCCCCATCAAAATCCCATAGTTCAAAGAAGGGATCCCTTGAGGTCCCAGCTGGTCCATGCCTTTAGGTGAACACCGTGGATGGATTTCAGGGAAACGAAAAGGCGCCGTTTTTGTGCACGCCGAAACGGCATTTTTGTCGGTTTGGGGGGTTGGAAGGGTTGGAAGTGCCGACCAAAAAATTATGGGGATTCGGCAGAGCGAATTGATTCATCTGGGTAAATTTCATCACGACCTCACTGCGACCGAGCCTGGAAATCATAGTTAGTAAGGGGAATCATCCCAAAATGGCCTTAATTCAGGTTAGTGAAATATTATAATTTACCCAGGGTCATGAGTGGATTCACTTGTGTTTATGATAGATATTGCTACAGTTGGATGAGTTGATCCTCCGAGAATTGCTGGCTAAGGCGGCTAAGGGGTCCTCCATGATGTCCCCTTAAAATGATAATGATCACAATCATCATTTTCCAATTACATTCCCATATTCTTGACGCCTAAGACCTGTTGGTGAAATCCAAACCTTCTTAGTAGCTAGATGTAGCTAGTCAACCAAGGTCTTCAAAGCTGCTTACGGTAATGGATAGGTTAAATTTATGGTAAAAGTTCATCAACATTTCCAATGAAACAGCAGCTTTTACCTCTACTACAAATGATGGTCGGTTAAATGGCCATGAAGCACCCTGAAAGCCTCCATAAATTTGGGTTAATTTACGTCCCTCAAAACCCTTCATAAATTGGCTTCAATGTCAATTAAATCCTTCCAAATTATCCATAAGTAGTCAAAATATCATTGATTTCCCTCAAACATCCTCAAGCACTTTCAAGAAAGCTTCAAAAAAGCTCAAAATGTCATAAAAACATCCTTCAAAACCTCCATGAATGATAGTGAAATCCCATGAAATCCCCATGTTTACGGGACCCTTTGTGAAGCTCCATGGCCAGGACTGCATCATCGTCTCCTTGGTCCGCGAAGCGATCCAACGCTCCAACTCCGTGGGCTTTCTGGCGGATCGGCGACGGATGAGCCTCGAAGAGTCCGAGGGATCAGGTCGCTTCGGATTTTTTTTTTTTAGATAGATAGATATTTTAGATAGATAGATAGATATTTTAGATAGATAGATAGATATTTTAGATAGATAGATAGATATTTTAGATAGATAGATAGATAGATTGATTGATAGATAGATAGATAGATAGATAGATAGATAGATAGATATTTTAGATAGATAGATAGATAGATAGATATTTTAGATAGATAGATAGATAGATAGATAGATAGATAGATAGATAGATAGATAGATAGATAGATAATATATATAACTTATACAATATATAATATGATTTAATATATATAAGGATTATATATATATATATACATGATATAATATAATGTACATACAATATACAATATATATATATATGGGTATGTCTTTTTTTAACGCGTGCAGTTTTTAGTAAAGGCAGGAAGTTCGATTTGTGCGAATCATACCCCCGAATCATACCCCGAATCATACCCCCGAATCATACCCCAACAAAATCACGACTATGAATGTTTCTTTTGGGATCGTTTGGGATTGCATTGGCCTCACTAGTTATAATGGACCTGACAAGCTAATTGACCAGCGTTGGCCAGACCCGATGATCCCTGGCTACCTTCACATACCTTCACGGAGTGGCGAATCTTCTCCACGCGCACAGAATCTCATCATTATCCCTAAGCTGGCTGGCTCTGGGTGGCTGGCTGGCTGGCTGGCTAGGTGGCTGGCTCAGTTGCTGCTGCTGGTTGGGTGGCTGGCTATAGGGCTGGCTAGTTGCAGCTGGCTGGCTGCGTGGCTGGCTGCTTGCTGTGTTGCTGTGTTGCTGATGAGGCTGATGAGGGGGATGACTCTGGCTGCGGCTGGCTGGCGACCAGAACATCCAGAAGAGACGCCGGCAGGCCGGCGGATATAAATCATAGATGTGCATTGAGATCTTCACATTCTTCATAGTCAGGTCCTGTCCAAGGTCGTCTGGCAGGTCGAGCCATTGCAGCCACTGACAAAGTAGCAATCGTAGTAGGTTGACGGTGGGAAAAAGAGACTCAAGCAACAAAGCTTCCTGAATTCAAAAAAAGATGGGTTTCCGAATCATACCCCGAATCATGCCCGAATCATACCTCAAACTTCCCAACTTCCCAATTCTGAACCTTGGTACATTTGCAAGATCAGAACTTGTGTTTTGTGAGCTCTTTTCTTTGCAACCATTCGCCACGGGCTACACTACGCCTCCTGCTGCTTCTGAGTTTCAGAGAAAATCCGACAACAGCGCCCTGCAGCGTGCAGCAGCACCCTTCACTAGCACCCTTGCAGCACGAGTTGGGTACAGTACGTACCCTCCTTGCAGCACCCTGAAGCATCACCCCTTGCAGCAGCACCAGCAGGCTAGCTCGACAGCACCCTCAAGTAGCACCTTCCACCCGCATCCGCTCACCAGCATGCCCGCTCCAAAGCAGGGTTTACAGCACACACCACTCTGACAGCAGCACCTTCAATCATCACCCTCAGGCAGCACCTGCACCCTGAGCGCCACCAGCATCGCTCCAAACTGCACACACCACTCTGACAGCAAGCAACACCCTGCACCAGCACCTTGCAGCGGCATTCCAACGGCACCACGATGCCCGCTCCAAAGCGCACACACACCACTCTGACAGCAGCACGCACAGCGTCAACAGCATGCCAGCTCCAAAGCGCTCCACGTATGGTATAATTGCCAACAGTTGAAACATTTTCGGGGTAAGTGTGGGTAAATAACCACGCGCGGAGGATGCAGGGAAACACTAAATCAAGGTCCGCGAATCATACCCACGAATCATACCCCGAATCACACCCACGAATCATACCCCCTAGTCAAATTTCCCGGGTTGGACACGGTATTTTGAGACATACCCATATATATGATCATATATATATATGTATATGAAAGTATATATATATATGGAGGTTTCCTAAAATCGGGGTACCCCAAACCATCCAAGATATCCAAGATATGAATGGCCATGACTCGATGTATTGAAACAACCATGGTGACTTTTGGGGATCCCCCCTGACTTAAGAAACCTCCACATAGATATTATCTGATAAAGTACTATGATATCCTAAGATTTACTTACGGAGATAGATGTTGTATAATTATTTTTTAATTATAAGTACTTAATATATGTACCTATTTAGATATCTCTTAAGGTACCCAATTATAATACTTAGGCAATGCTTAGGTTATAATACCACATAACCAAAGTATCGTAAATATGCAATAGTCTGGGTCTTGTCTTATATAGATAAGCAAATTTTCGAAACAATATTATATACAACGGATAACATATATATTTATAATATATATTTATAATATATATATACATACATATATATATATATTTATTATTCAACGTATTATAGGTATATTTCTCAATGGATATCAATGGATACATTCATATAGATATATCTTTGAACGAATATAGATATATCCTACTAATACTACCTTTATCAATGGCTAACACAACATATAGAGATTGACCAGTAGTTTGGTTTTCTGGACCATATAATCGTTAGACGGACAAGCGATAGACATTATCATAGTTTCATGGGTTTGTACACCAGCTCATTGCTCAATATAATCATTGCTCAACTTTTTGTAACGTTTCGTAAGTTGTTTGTTTTCAGTGGGGTTCTACAAGTGGGGTAGCCTACTGCCTATCAGAACAGTGGGGTGACAACCTACAAGTCGGGAACTTTTGATCACCTACTTCGGAGAGAAATACATTCGGTTTCTATAAGTGAAGCAGCTGAGAACATACGTAGTGTCGGGACTCATAATCAGCGACTTAGGGTTATACCACAGTTTTAAATGGGATTACTTGAGTGCCACGTTGGGCGCCTCTAACAGTGAATGAAAAGTTTCATCAAGTTTCTATGTATAGGCAAAAATGGAGAAGTACAAGCAAATTGGACTTCTGATCACCAGCGTACCCCGCGAACGGATCGAATTTGTTAGGTTCCGATTCTATGTAATGGTGGTGAATTGAACTGCTTTCATTTGTTTGATCGGGTTTCTACATATATATTTAATTATATTTAATTATATTTATATATACACAATACAGAACATCAATCTGTATATCTATATATATATAATTACTGTATATACATGTACGTATATGTAAGATATGTAACTTGTACATATATATATGTGTTATTTTATTTTATATATACATATATTAACATATATGTAACACACACACTATCTATGACATCAGTGTATATATATATATATATTTATTTAACGTGTGTATATATATATACGATACATATTTGTAAACAACTATACATTTAAAATTATATATATATATATTGATTATATGTAAAACTGGAGAATATAGCACATTCATTGCTGACTTGCAATATGCAGCTTAAGTTCTCCACTTAAGATGCCGGGTCTTTTTTTTCCCGCGCTTCCAGATGGAGATTTGGTGGCATTGGAATAAAGATGGGGTTAATATGGGAATGAAACAACCATTTATGGTATGTATGTATATATATATATATGTATATATATAATAGTAGGTCATGTGCAATAACTATATATCACTTGTCAGGTCATTGATTATAACATGAATATACAGCTATGTAGCATATAATATATAGAAATATATGATAAAATATAATATAATATGATATAGTGTGATATGATTTGATATATAGTATATAATGATAATTATCATGTGTCATGACTGACCTTAACAACTGATACGACATAGCTTGGGTCAGTTTGTTTCCTGAGGAATGTGGCCTTCACCCGTGCGCGGATGAATCTGTGGGTGCGAATTGTCGATGGAGTCGTTGACATCGCGCGTCTGGGTCCGATTTCCCATGTTCTAATTTAAATAATTTACCATTTATATGTTCAGATATATATATATATGATTATATGTATATATATACATATATATTAAAATTTCCGCATTTCCAATGATATGTCCAATTCTCCAGCTTATCATTGATATGTATTGTATGAGTCTAATTTTTGGTGATGTTTTTCTTCAGTTGCGTGCGGCTTGGGAGCTGATCAGTTGGTTGATGTTGGCAATCCGCCACCAGCGAAAATGGTGAATTCATCAGTGGCAACCATGATATCCCCTGCAGATCAAGATGCCATTGTCCATCAATGGGGTTACCCGCTGGTAAACTAACATAACTATGGAAAATCATCATTTTTAATGGGTAAATCCACTATAAATGGCCATTTTCAATAGCCATGTTAAATTACCAGACGGTATTTTCCCTGAAAACTGATATGGTTCCGAAGAAAAAAACGGCTAAGTCAGTTAAAACACTGAAGGCAATGACTTTCCTACTGCAACGCCATTTCTTGGAACCTTTCTGTTGAGAATCGGGGGTATACATTGGCATACAGTCTTCCCGCATGGCACTGGGGTGATCAATGATGGCCCATGCCGAGCATAAAACAAAACCGCATACTATATGAATATTCATGTCAACCCTGGATTAATAAACCCCTAGATTGTTTAATTGGGAGGGTGCCATTTAAGTATTAGATTATGACTATTGGAGGAGTACCCCTCTAATTAATAAACCATGGTTTATTAATCCGGGGTTGACATTATACCAATATTGATATGTACTTTGGTTGTAGACTGACCATTCTGTATTCATGGCGTAATATATTGTGAGTATATGTGACTGTATGTATATAGATGTATGTAATATATGATGCGTTGCAATTACCCTTTGAAAATTTAACATAGCAATGGAAAATGGATGAATCTGGTCCATTTATAGATGATTAACCTATTGAAGATGGTGATGTTCAATAACTATGTTGTATAAATTACCATAGGGCACACACTATATATATATATTTATATTTATTTATATTTATTTATATTTATTTATATTTATTTTTTATTATCTATACTTCCATATATATATGTACATTTATACAGAGCATCCTGCAGGTGGTTGGAAATGCCAACTTCCTCTCCGTCAATGCTGACTGGGAGGAGTCTTTCTGGGATATACATGGGGGTTTCCATAGTCATGGGGCTACCCCAAAAGCTGGATGGTTTATTTCATGGAAAATCCGAAAATAAAGTGGATGATAACTGGGAGTATCCCTATTTTAGGAAACTCCCACATATATCTGGGTAAGAAAAATAACGACCTCACTGCGACCTCACTTGAATGATGCTTAGTAAGCGGAACTATCCCAATGCCTTATTTCAGGTTAGTGAAATATTACAATTTGCACATATGCATATGTATATGTATTATTATTATTATTATTATATATATATGTGCATATTATGATGGGGACATGATTGTATATATATATACACGTAACGTTGGGATATGATATGATATGATATGGTATATACACATACTATAGTGGTCTTCAGCGATTCTGCTTTTCCAATGTTCCAGCTGGACATTTCTGCAGGGCATGAGACCCCTACCATCATCAGGAGACATTGGGGTCCCTTCTATCCCAAGTCCCTTATACAGTCCATATCCAGTTATATCCCAACATATCCCAGAATATCTTAAAATCATTATCCCACAACATCCCATACATACATACATACATACGTACGTACGTACATACATACATACATAGATCATACAGTAACATACATACAGACATACAGACATACAGACATACAGACATACAGACATACAGACATACATACATACATACATACATAGATCATACAGTAACAGACATACAGACATACAGACATACAGACATACATACATAGATCATACAGTAACATACAGTAACATACATACATACATACAGACATACAGACATACAGACATACAGACATACATACATACATACATACATACATAGATCATACAGTAACATACATACAGACATACAGACATACAGACATACAGACATACAGACATACAGACATACAGACATACAGACATACAGACATACAGACATACATACATACATACATACATACATAGATCATACAGTAACATACAGTAACATACATACAGACATACAGACATACAGACATACAGACATACATACATACATACATTACATTACATTACATTACATACATTAATACATACATACATACATACATACATACATGCATACATACATACAGACAGACATACATACATACATACATACAATATAATTATATGCAAACAAGATGTAGAACAGATCCCCACGTTCGCAGTCCCGAAACTTCCCAACTTCAGGATTTCATCGAGAAGGTCCAAGCCGAACCGCCCAAGGATCGCCCGCGCGACAGCTACGTGTCCGGACGCACGGTGGGATGGATAGAACTGGGGTACTATGGAAAATGGCCATTTACCTTAGAGATTGGTGGTAAAAATGGAGGGATGTTCCTACTTTGACGGGCAATGGGATTAGATAACTGGTTATTTTTTTTGTTTTTAACCCAGAAAATATCCTTATCCCAATGATAATCCGAATCCATGAATATTAACGAGTTAACTAACTCCATGGCCCCTCAGTAGGAATATCTTCGAATTCTTTAGGGAATAAACATTGGAACATATTGGAACTAAAGATGAGGAATATCTTCAAAATATCTTCATTTTGTTTAATGAATATATAGAAACATATAGAAACTTCTCCGTTGTAAACTATATTTAAATCCGAGAAAGGAGATATCAGATATCAGCGAGGCACAGCGCCATTGGTGCCAGAATAGAGCCATTTTTATTACTTTTGCGAGGTTTCAATGATAATTCCAGAGGCTTTTCAGATTTTCTGTACATCTGTTGATGATTGCTATTTTTCAGAGTTTTCAATATGTTTCAATGTTATTCTTGAGGTGAGCTGTGTGTTTTTTCCTGATTTTTTCCAGCGGTTCCTGTAGATTTGCCCGCACCAATCCATAGAGGTATGTTTTTTTTGTATTTGAAACCTCACTTTGAGGCAGGTTATTGATGATACTCTCAGCCAGGAACACGTTCAAAATGGCGATTCCGGTTTTAGCCCGTGGTTTATGAATCAGGATCCCGTGGTTTATCATCAGTGTTCTCGTTATTCAATGGCCATAGGCAATATCCCCTCGTGATTTCGCATAGCTATGGAAGATCAGAATTTTGCCAGGGCCATTTTCACCCATTTCCAGCACGCATTCCGTAGCAACGGGTGAGATCCCAAGAGGTAAACCGCAAGATTTCCATGGTCAAATCCATGGAGTACGTCCAGGGATTACCAATCGCCAGGCTTCGAGTGGTGAAGCCTTGTACGGGAGCCCACGCTTAGACAAAATGGTGGTATAATGGGGATATCATGGGGATATATATAATTCTATATATATAGTAATTAAACTACAAATTTATGATCAAAAACTCTGCAGGGAAATAGAACGATGGCATTTGGGTACGGTAAAACGGTATACTTCGGCTGAGTTGTAATTGGAATATTTCGACAAATTGCATCAACATGATGTTGGCAAAATTTCACATTTTTATACATTTTTTTTTGCTCAGGGTGCCATTGCCGCTGAGGAATATCGGAATACCAACCCCTAAACTCAAATGAAATGGTACCGTCTTGAAGCCATCAGTATATCTCAGGAAAATGATAGGAAGAAATGACAGCCTGACCGACAGACGTTCTGGGCCTTCAATTGATACTGTAGTCCCTTCCTAATCCTAATGTCTACTCCTATATAGAGGTTTCCCAAAATGGGGGTACCCCTAAATCATCAATTTTTGTTTGTTTGGTTTCCATGAAATAAACCAGCCATTTTGGGGTACACCCATTTTAGGAAACCCCCCTGGGCCGGAAACCCCCCATGGATGCAGCGAAACGTCCCCACATGACATGAAGCCTCCGAGTTGGTGATTGGCTGCAACGCTACTACAAAACCTGGAAAGCCAGGAGCCATCAGGGCGAGAGTTTTCGACACCCATCCGGGAGATTCTTGGAGATGAAGAATAATCCCTTCCCCCTAATACTCAACACCCCAAACGAAATCATCGTTTGGTAAGGGATTCAAAGGATTTTTTTTGGGGCACTTTTTGGGACCATGAAAATGGGGTGTTGAATATTAGGGAGAGGGGATTATCAGAATGCACGATAAGATTAAATAAAACCATCTTCAGAAGGAAAATCGTTTGACGCTTGATATTCAATGATATTCATTGATATCCTATCTACTCCAGGATGATTGAGAATTGTGCCCCCCGCAGGTTGCAACCCAGGGTCAAGCGGAGATCGCACTCGGACGCACTCATCTCTCAACAACAATGTTTTCAGCAAATGGTTTGGACATGCCTGGATTTTGTACATGGTATATCCAAGTTGGGTAGAGGTAGAATATTAGAAGTAGAATTGACTTTTATTGGTGACAATCTGAATATCCCTTTTTTGATTTGTAATTTTACCCAGGACATGTCCACTAGCGTGGGCTGAATCCCTGTCATGGTTGGTTTGTTGGTTACATCCCTATCAGTGGCTTCTTTGCTGGTTGGCGGTTTCAACATTTTTTGACTTGCATCAATGCTTTGGAGTGAATCTATAGTCGGGTCTTTTCTCCTTTCCACATAACAATCCTGTGACTTGGGCTTTGCCGAGGACTTACAGTACATAACCGGGCCTATGACGTTGAACTGACAGGGCCACATCATTGAGGTTAAAATGTAGCTGTTGCTTGTCCCCACATTGCATCGATGATGCCACCCATGTTGGCCCTCTCCCAAATGGGCTTTCCCAAAATTGGGGACCTCAAGTTATCGTCTCGAAATGTCCTATATCCCATGTTTCAATGTTCAACAATCTGTAATCAGTGGGGAAACCAAGGGTTTAGGGTCTCCTCCAATTTGGCAAACTTGATGAAATGTCCAAATCCACCCATGATCCACTCTGATGGCGTGTGGTTTTTCGTGCTTTCCGGTGGATCCAGGAATCAACCAGAGGCGTCGCAGGACGTGTTCTTGCTTCAACCGGCGTTGGGATTCATGTCTGCTGTGAAGGATGTGAACCTATGTGAACTCACAACAAAGCAGAATATTGACCAAGAATGAGTGGATGTAAGAGTATCCTCAATGTGCAATCATGTTCCACTTCACGCATTTCAAGCGCCATTTAGCCTCAAAGCGCCATTTATAGATTTTTCTTCATAAGGTTTCGCTTTGGGTTTTCCACATTTTCCACATCGACCCATGGTTACTTCCCAAAACCTTCACCGCCTGAGAGGACACTGATGCTTTCTTGGAGGCGTGCCAACGACATCGAACTCCGTTCATTTGGAGCTTTCCATATTGGGCTAAAGAGCTGGATGGTTTACTTCATGCAACCTCCGAAAGTAACATGGATAATACATGGATGATGAAAATCGGGGTACCCCGATTTTCGGACACCTCCATTTTAACCATATTTGTTCATTAAACCAGGCATTATTAACCCATTAACCCATTGAACCCATGTTAGTTTACCAGAGGGTAAGCATTTTGGTGAGACAAAAACGTCACGGAAAAAAAAAAACGGCGTTCGACTGATGCCTTGGGACAAAGAAATGCACCGAGGCTCAATCCTGAAGCTCCACTCAAGAAGGATATCCTGAAGCGACAATTGGAACTTCTAATGGGAAGGCGTTCAAGATATTAGTGAGTTTTATTGAGTTTATTATATATTTATATATAATATATATATATCATGCTGGACCCAAAATTATCATGCAAGTCGCATATTGGTCATTTTCATACCCCCGGTTTCTACGTGGCAGTGGAAATTACTCAATTTACAGATGATTACAGATGATCTTGCCAGCTATAGACTTTCATGGCTAGTTCATGAATTTCCCAGCTTGCCATGTTTGGCACTAAAACACCAGGGAAACCTGGCTGGGAATTTCCCAGCTTGCCCCATGGAAAAGAACCCCAGGAGTGGCGTACGCGACCAGCTTTCCAGGCTGCATCCAAGCCATTGTTGATCAACCATGAAGAGCTCGAGGAGTTGAGGATAAAGGAGGTGAGATCGGAGCACTGTTGGATTTCTTGATGTCAAACATGGTATATTTATGGTATGACATGGTAAACGATGTTGTTGTTTTTTTGTATGGTATTTTATGGTACATGGCATAGTGACATAGTGATGGTCCATTGGATATGTTCTGGCTGGATCTGGCTGGATCCGTAGGATTAGATGCCCAAAGGATCAAAATCATTGGGGTCTGGGGGGGCACCCGAGCCGTAAATGTCCATCGGTTTTTGCTGTGCATCCAGATGTTGTGTTTCCATGTGAGAAGTAAAAACATGTTTGAGTGAGTTTGTTGGGACAAGTTCTTCGTCTTTGCTCTCATATGCTGCTCGTTGGAACCAGCAACAATAGGGAATATGTTTGGGATCTATATGAATGAGCTGCACTAGGAGGGATACCAACGACAACGGGAAAGGCAACAATAACTAATTTGATAAAACCGACAAGAAGCTAGCTGCCTCGGCGTTCCAAAATGACTGTCCCATCCTCAAAATCGATCATGAGCAGCAATAGATGTTCAATTTGTTAGGGACGAAACATGTGCATTCTTATATATAATATTATATATACCCTCTGGTAAACTAACATAACTATGGAAAATCACCATTTTTAATGGGAAAATCCACTATTGTTAGTTTACCAGAGGGTATATTATATTTGTTGGGATCATCGGCCAAATTGTTGAACTTCTGCAATTGTTGATTTTATTTGAAGGAATTCAGTACTACTAATGAGGTCTTCAAATCTAAACGATGATATCAATCACAACATCCGTTTCAACATCCAGAACTACCTCCGGTCTTGAGCCGGAAATCCCCCTCATCCCCAAAATGATCTGTTTTTGTCAGTGGCTGATATCCGCATGACCCTTTGGTACAATACAAGTTTCTGTTCGGAAGGGAATTGGTGTTGCATTCCAATTTTTCAATGGTACACGGTACGCTTTAGATGGGCTCCTTTCGTCGTTTCAGGCGGAGCAGAGAAGGATTGCCAATGAGATTGAAGAGGACCCGAAATGTCCATGGCGAAATTTCAATGACCAAATGATCCAAATGGCCAAGCCAAAATTGACATTGGAACGAACATGAATACTTGGGTTCAAATTGAAGACCTGCCAGACCATGGGTAAACCTTTGATAGTTTAGTACATTAATCTGCATTAATCTAAGCCATACGGGCTTGACACATTATGTGACACGTCATTACACGTCTTCCCGAGCGAGGAATTAGAATGGATATGCATGGATATTCGAAATGGGCAAGCGCCTGAAAATAGGGAAGCCCCAAATCTAGTTAGATTTTCAGACACACCAAGGTTTCCTAGAATATGATCATATAATATAATATGGGTACCCCTTAAACATCCTATAAAAACCATTGCTTTTCCAATTCATAACCATAAAGTTTACCATGATGTTGGATGATTTTGGGGGTCCCCATTTCAGGAAACCTCCATAAAATTCACCACAACCGCCGGGACGTACGACCAGTTGGCAGACCATGGCCATGGTCGGCCCCAACTTGGGATGATGCACACGTGGTGCACATTGCTCTAGTATGTTGTTATGATGTTGTTATTGTAGCTATATTGTTCTTGTTATAGCTAAAATGTTGTTGTTATTGTTTATATATTTTTATTCTTATTATTCTTATTCGAATGTTCTTATTATCAATATTAGTAATCACGAGCGGATCACCAATTCCCCCCATCCTTTGGCACAATTTCACCGACGACATTTCACGCTTTCGCACCTGGCACCCGCGTAGGACCTGTCCGATGAGGAGGTCTGGGCCCGGTAAAGGGTGGATGCTCAGTGCATCCCAAAATATAAGGGTTGTAGTATGTTGCAGTCTACTGAATGTGATATTGCCATTTATAAGAATGATGAAATCCTGGAATCTGAAGAATGGCAGTGTCTTATCCGAGATTCGTGTTTAAAAAAACCATTCTTCTGACGTTCCCTCTTACGTATTGGTCTTCATGATGGACGTCAAATTAAGCTGAGCGGGTGGAACGACCATACCAAATCTCAGCTTGCCTTAAGGACCTTGACAGAGTCTTTTCCCTGTGATCTCATCACGAACCATGGGCCACATGACAGGAGTTTCGCCTCACGAGTGGCACATTGTATTCATAACAAGTACACGTAGAGGCATATGGTTCTATTGCTCTTCATTGCTTTTCCCTTAAAGCGTATGTACTTGTCCGTGTCTAGTTTTTTTGTTTGATATAATATGATATAAGCCACAGTATTGTTCTTCTGTTGTTATCGTAATGCTTGTGTTCTTCCTTCAATTAATGTATCCTTGTAGTTTTTGAAAGCATTGGTATTCTTTCTTTCTTTCTTAGGCAGACTTTACTATTCTAGTTGATCTTTCTTCCTCCTCCTTTTTCTGAAAAAAATGGGCTCCAAAAAGTGGTCCCGAAACCTGTCTGAGACTGGTCTGAAACCACGAAGGGTAAGGAATCGCTTAGGGTCATCCCTGGTGTCCATACCGCTTTCACAAGATATTTGAAAAGCTACAGAGGGAAAAGTAGAAACACACTTCCTTATTATACGCCTTTTTCCTAATCATTTGACAATGTGCTTTCTTTCTTCCGTTGGTAGACTTTGCTTTTCTAGTATGTTTTCTTCTTCGCCTTCCTTGATGCAATTTTAGTGTGCTCCAAAGCGTGGTGGAAACCTGTCTGAAAGTGGTCTGAGACATGTCTGAGTAAGGTGTCAGCAAGCTCATCATCCCCGGCGTCTATACCGCTGTCATTTCAAAAGGAAAAATATTGAACAGCTACACAAGAGAGAAAAGTAACGCACACCAGGGGTTGGACTTTTCTAGTGTTTGGGATTGCACCTGGCTTTGACTTACACCATTTTTTTGATGGCAAGTTTAATGTTTATTACCTTGCAGTGAGCCGAGTTTCATTGCAACGTTTCCTTTGGCACCACGGGCTTCAAACCAATTCGCGGCTTTTCCACAGGTCTGAAAGGCTGACTGAAGGCCATCCATCCATCCATCCAGCCATCCATCCATTCATCCATCCATCCATCCATCCAATCATCCATCCATCCATTCACTCATCCATTCATCCATCCATCCATCCACCCATCATCCATCCATTCATCCATCCATCCATCCATCCGTCCATCCATCCATTCAAACATGCATCCATCCATTCATCCATCCATCCATTCATCCATTCATCCATCGATCCATCCATTCATCCATCCATCCATTCATCCATCCATCCATCCATCCATTCATCCAATCATCCATTCATCCAATCATCCATCCATCCATCCATCCATTCATCCATCCATTCATCCATTCATCCATCCATCCATTCATCCATCCATCCATTCATCCATCCATCCATCCGTCCATCCATCCATCCATTCATCCATGCATCCATCCATTCATCCATCCATCCATCCATCCAGCCATCCATCCGGTCCATTCTTCTTCTATACTTGTCATCATTTCAGGCGGAAAGAAGTGCAACTATTGCATACTATTGCTATGTCCAGCTCTGACAACTCATCTCCCAGCAGTCAGAGCTATCATGATTATCATGAAGTCCAGCCTTTCAAGATGGAGATATGGCATTTTTCATCATTTTTCGCATCCCATGCACTGGTTCATCATCATTTTCACCATATGAAATTGCCATAAATTGGACCGATGGGATGATGATCTGTCGACAGGTCATGGACAGCCTCAAACGCAAGGTGCGCAGCAAATTCTTGGGGTTGCACTTGGGGGTGGAAAAAAATGGTTCATATGGGCTAAGAATGGTTTATATGTGTTTATAGATTAACCTAGATTAATAGTGGTTACTGTAGTAGTGCTTAATATTATGTTTTTATTGTTGTTAATGGGTTATAACATGGTACAACCATGGTTGTCTAACCCCAGTAAGTTGGGGTATGAGGGCCTATATCCAAGTGTGACTGGAACTACACTCCAAATACGGCCCCCAAATCTGTTTGGACATGGATTCTGTTTGACCATCTGCATTTCTTGTTCATAAATATGTGACATGCTCTTGACATGCTTCATACTGAGGATGGAAGAAATCCTGCACCACCTTGGATGGTTGAAACCCTATAAATAGTGGGATAAACTCCTCAACTGGTGCAGCATTTCTGCCACCCACCTTATTAGCGACATTAAGAACACAGATGAAGGATTCCTGTGAGCTCACGTTTTCTCATCGGCCACCTGCAAGATCGACAGGTTGAAGACCGAGGCGGAAATTTGGAATCGGTGGGTCCCGGAAAATGTGATGCCGTGATGCCATCAAAACATATCAAAACCAGAGATGACCTGATGACTTGCTCTTGAATTGGTGGTACCATCCTCCCAAACATCGGGACTGACCAGAATCACCCCAGGGTCAAGCCGATGATTGAGGTGGGATGACAATCATTTCGTTTTGGGAGCTCCAAGATCAGCATGTGCTACTTTTGTTTCTTAAGGGATGATAAAATTACCTTGATTATCCTCGACTTAGATGTTTCGGATGGTGAGTAGATGTTAGTAGTATCCGATTGTTTATGGTTGCTTTCCCCACGATAATTTACATCAATCAGTAATCAATGTCAGTCTACGGAATGGGTGTATTTGAAAATGGGCGGTAGACTGACATACATTGATGCCCACTATATAATATAATATAATAGAATAGAATAGAATAGACTAAAATAGAATAGAATAGAATAGAATACAATATAATATAATATAATATAAATATAATATAATATAATATATATGTAATATATATATATGTATGTAATATATATATATATGTAATATATATATATATATATATATATGTATGTAATATATATATATATGTATGTAGTATATATAATACATATGTATGTAATATGTTTAAGTAATATATATATATATGTAATTTATATATGTATATACATACATATATATATATATGTATGCAATAGATATACATATATATGTAATACATATATATATGTAATACATATATGTAATATGTATATGTAATATATATATACATGTAAGATATATATATATATATGTTATTTATATTTAGATATACATGTAATATATGTATATATATAGATAGATATACATGTAATATATATATATGACATCTAAACCCTGCTTTCTTGCCCCATATTTAGTAGAGAACACGACATCCGAATGGCCACTGCCGGGTTGAACTGCGGGAAGCAGCAAGGAGAAGACTTTGTGGACGAGACCGAGACGCCAGCGTTTCTTGACGATTAATCGTGTTGAATCATGTCGGTATTTTAAGCCGATTCCGAAGGGATATACAGTATATCTATGTATATCTTATAAGGATACCTCGAATCTGGTAACATCCATCAGCCTCGCTTTTGCGGTCGCTGAGATAAATCAAACCCCCTTCAAGTGTTGATCTATGAAGCAGTGGAGAAAATGTGCGCAACTCTGGCTTCCATCATTGCGGTTTTTAAAACATACCAGAACCGTAAACATTGGTGATGACTTGGGGATGGTCATCCCAGCTTGGTGCACACCCTGCAAGCCAGCACCATAAAATTTACTCACCAAGCCGTATAATGGGATGGGATAGGGGGGGTTTTAATGGCTCAAAGACATGCATGACTATTCATGATGATTCTTTACATTGCAGGAAACATCACATTCAGAAAATGCCCACGGTATGTCAGTCATAGCCATTGATATTCATATTGTTCCATAATTCTATCCCATTCTTGTTACTTTAAAACATGTTTGCCAGAGGCTCCTTGGCATTGGTTAAGTTATACGCTCTGGTGGTAAAACACGGCAAGTGAAAATCCAAGGGTTTGTTCCATGTTTTTCCCAGCTATAAACCTTTATTTTGATGACACCAGAGAGTATATATCCCATTTGCCGTTTAGTGTATGAATTTTGCCCAGAATTTTCCCATGGATTTTCCCATGGAAATCTCAGTATGGTGACCTCACTGTGAGCTCACTGGAATCAGAGGATTCGGATTCGGGGAAACATGCCCAAATGGTCTTATTTCAGGTTAGTGATGATCATTTACCCATGTGGGGATTATTATAGGAAACCATAGAAAACCATTACGTCCCATGGAATCATAGTTAGTGAAACATGCCTATATTACTATCATTGGATTGGTTTAAGGGAAAATATGCACGAAACCATGGTTTTTACCATTGAATATGGGGGTTTCCTGTAAATGTTCCCTTAAACCAATCCAATGATATTAGAATTTATCCAGAATGAAATCCCATGACAATCCCATGAAAAACCCACCTGCGGAAGCCGTCCCCAGGACCAAAAGGAGAAGCACAGAGGCTGAATGAGGCCATGGGAAGTTCGCATTGCGTTGCGTGACATGAAGTAAAGAAAGGGGCATCATTTATGGTAGTTTATGGGGTTTCAACAGTTCAAACCATCAAATACCAGGTGATATAGTTGATCATAGTTGATCAACGATTATTGGTTGATGATTTAATGGAATTAAGATTAGACCTTTACTTATAGGGTTTACATCTACTAACAAGTTTATTGGGGATGATCAATGACCCAGAATAGGGATACCTATGGGATATCTATTTACTAACCAGTATAGTGGGATGGGAGAGGGGATATGTTCATGGCTCTGATTATGTTCCTTGGGTTTGTTCTACTTTGTTTAAGTGTTTCATACAGTATTTTGAAGGGATTGTGGCACCCCTGCCAATCGAACATGCATATCATTTATCTTTTGCTGCATAATATATCCATTGCTTTTGATACGGAACCCAACAAGGGCAAGCAGTCAGATTCTTTCGGCAGCCAGCTTTTGGGATGATGGGACTGAGATTGGAGACTTCATCCCTCTCCTGATATGAACTACACCTGAAACGAAACTCCGGTCCAGCATTGGATCTATGAGTTGGGGGCCCAGTTTTGGTGGCTATTTATGGCTATTTCATATAAGGGTGATGGATGTCATGGGATTTTCGTAGCGATGATTGCATCTGGAGGTCACCCTTCAACTCGAGATGGCATGAAAAATCTCCACCAGATGGCAGGGCACAGAAGTGATAGAAAGATTATTCACTCCTTTCGAAAGACATGAGAAAAAGCATAGAGGGGTGCAGTTGAGGTTAGAAATGGACAGATCTATGGTTATAAGATCTTACCCCAAAAAGTTGGGATATGGGCCCTGGATCCATCCAGGTTTCAGAACTTGGCAGGTCCTGCCTGCGTGGCACCGAGATCCGCTCCGCCAACGGGAAAAGCCTCGGCGAATCGCGTCAAATGGTAACAAACTTGGAGAAATGCCAGGAAATATATACCACAAAAAGATAGAAGTTTGGATGGCTCAGACCTTTCTATGTCATAGTATGTAAGATACATATATGTACATATATATATATATACCACAATTAACTGTAGTATATAAATATACAGTATCGCACTATTGTGGACGCAAAACCCAAGAAGATTTGCGCAAAAAAACAGCTGGATTCCCATTGGCTTCAATCGAATTGCTGTTTGTGTTTGTCCTGACAATTTGGGGGAACCCCCCGATTCCAATAGATGAGATCATCATTTTTCCCATTCGAAAAATAGTCCATTTGGGGGTACGCCCATTGAAATCACCCACTTTCGGACCGTTTTTAATGCCACGGGTCGTGTCAGATTCCTAACGAATCGCTATGTTTCCGAAGTGACTTTCCGGAGAAATCGGGTCACTCAAGCGGCTTGCTGGTTCAAGCGAAGCGCTTAAGCGCTCAACAGCTGAAGATCACAGGGTGGTAAGATATTTTGATTGGTACTAGTACAACTAGCATGAACTCCAAAGGCCCACTGCTTGGACTTGAGTGCCCAAGTGCATAGTCACGTGTTGGTCGTTTTTTTATAGTGGAGTTTACTGATGATCACTAATACCAATCGATCATCCACGTCCCAAGCTTTCCCCAGAATTTCTTGGCCCCAATCGCCATGGTGTCTATCACCGATGCTGATCGAGAGAGCTTCCAAAGAGATGGTTTCTTGAAAGTGGAGCCCTGACCGCTGGGATGGCTGCCAGATGCTATCGGGCTATCGCTTGCCGGTGTTGCCCATTTCTAAAAAATGATTCGACACCTGTATCTGTATGCGTGGAAATGATGTTTTCGCATGGAAATGAGTATGGGAGTATGGACGGATGGCGTGGAAGGTCGATAATATTTGATCTACAACATTTGAAACGGTATCTCAGTAGTTTGTCTAATGGGGTACAGAGAGCCATGATCGAAGGCTTGCTCAGGGATTGAGGGTGGCATATGTCAGGAGGAACGGCAGAATTGGACCCGGGGGACATAGAGTTTCTTCGCGTTTCTTTTGAAGATACTCTCATCAAAAGTTCAAAAAGGTACCCTGTGGGGGCCCCAGTTTTATATACATGTTTGTGGAAATGCAGTACGATGTTAAAGTATGCATTTTGCCCGATTAGTTTAACAGTTTTGCATGTCCGGCAACATCTCAAAACACAATATGTTGGAACAGTGTTATTCAAACACATCGGTACTTAACGTGTGTAAAATTGCACTTAGTCTAATGGAAGAAGTTTTTTTGGTCAGTTTCCTTTCCACCTTCTCTAGAAGGTCATTCATCCTTCACTTTGACATAAAGTCTAGCACCATATTGGCACCAAATTGGCCGGTAAGAGGTTCTCTCTGTAGATTGCACAGTCTCTCCAGAGATCAAAAAAAGGGGTTTTGCACACGATTTTGGACCGCGAAGATGCCTTTCGTAGCTGCTTCTTTTCAGTGTGACTTGGGGTATGTATCAAGTTACCTATGAAATACATTGAAATACCACAGGTGGGGGTTATTCATTTCCATACCATTCCGTACCATTCCATACCATTCCATACCATTCCATACCATTCCATACCATTCCATACCGTTCCATACCACTCCATACCGTTCCATACCATTCCATACCTCTGCACAATCACCAGCTATGAAAATGGCGTGTTTTTTTCCCATGTCACCGGGTGAGGAGAATCTGATCACTGTGGAACTGGCCAAAGAGCTGCGTGACTCTTTCGATGATCTCTTCAGGGGGAAATTTCCAACAGGCACGTTGTGGTGGGCGCCGGAAGATGTCATGGGAAATCACGGAAATATGTCACAAATACCATCTGCTTATCTAACATAGCCATGGAAAATAACCATTTTAAATAGGTAAACCATCTATAAATGGGCCATTTTCCATGGCTATGTTAGATAACCAGATGGTTAAAAAAACAGTTGGTTTCTAGAAATGAAGTTGGCTGGTTGACTAATGGGTGACATGATTTGTGAGAACGCCAGACTAGGTAAGAAGATTCTGGTGTTGGTACGAGCAATGTTATTCAGGTTTGCTGTGGCATGCTGTGACACAAATCAAGAAGCCACCTTTGAACAGTAACGGCATGTCCCGATTCTATGTGAAGGTCACATGCCATCATGATGTTGCCCACAGCAGCTTCAATGGCAACTCCCGTGTTGGAACAAGCATCCCCGTCCAACTCTAAAAACATAATCTCTATAATATATATAATATAATATAATTATGTATGTATATATATTATATAATATATAATATATAATATATAGTATATAATATATAATATATAATATATAGTAAATAATATATAATATATAATATATAACATTTAAAAATATAATGTATATAATATATAACATAAATTAATATAATATATATATATATATATAATATAATATATATAATATATAATGTATAATATATAATATATAATATATAATATATAATATATAATATATAATATATAATATATAATATATAATATATAATATATGATATAGATAATATAGATAATATAGATAATATAGATAATATATGATATATGATATATATATATAATATATAATATATGATATATGATATAAGGTATATGATATATGATTTATAGTATATAATATATAATGTATGATATATAATATATAATATGATATATATATATATATATATTATATATATATATATATTATTGGTTTATAGGTTTCAATTGGGAGAACCACTCAAAATTGGACCAACATGTTTCCAAAAATCATGGAGAGTTTGCCGAACTGTGCCCATTTTTGGTGCCCCAGGCATCTATCCAGATGAATGGCATTGGCGCGAAGGCATCTCCAAACCCGAGAAATTTCGGGAAATCGTTAACGCTTGGCCACTCGGAGAGCTGCCCCCTTGACTGCAACAGGATGCTTAAATGCCTGAGATTATTCTAAATTGAAGGTTTCCATCAATGGGGTACCCCTTAATGGATGGTTTATAATGAAAAATCCGAAAATAACATGGACGATTTGGGGGTATCCCCATTTCAGGAAACCTCAAATTGTGGAGTATATGCTACTCCAGTTTATTGCTTATTGGGTATCTCGACCTTAAGCTGTCCACTTGACAGCTTATTGAATACATGATATCAATGTGGTATCTTAAAACGGGCGATCCCCATAAGACACCATAGGTTTCAATACGAATTCATGGTCATTCATGACTTGGATGATTTGGGGGTAACCCATTTTAGGACCCCCCCATGTAATAATTGGTATGGTCTTGTGTTTTCAAGTGTTTTCTACAGTCTGGCAGTGTGTATTAGTATTCATCTTGGATGATCGAGATATATCATCTGGACAAAACAACTTTGTACCCCTCAGGCATCCTATCAAAAATGGGTGGTTTCCCCAAAATGGATGGTTTATAATGAAAATCCAATGGAAATGGATGATTTGGTGGTACCTCATTTCAGGACATCTCCATTTGGTAGTAAAAGCCACCTGAGTGGCTCTGACATGACTTCTATGACACAAAACCTACCTCGTTTTATAGCATGTGTGCCATTCAAAATACTTCCATTCCAAGTTGTACTCAGCTTCCTTGCCAAGAAAGTGATAGGGGCATTTTCTTTACCAGGCATACCTCCAAACAATCCAGATTATTCTAGACCCATTGCATTTGGTTTAAATCCATTTACCACAAGACAAAATGGGTTCAATCCCCAAAAATGACCAGCCATGTTCATTCCGACTTCTCCTTCCTTCCCAGAATTGGATGAAGGGAACATCTGTAGGAACCCCCGGAGGGGCTGAAAAAACCCTTCAGGTTTCCTATAAATTGTCCTTCAGATTAATCCGGTGATCATCATTGTCACTGTATCATTTCCCATGTTTACTATGTTATCTATGTTTACATCACCATGGTTTCTCCATGTTTTTTGTCCAAAAAGGTCAGTCGTTAAATCAGCACTTTTCTCATCCCCAACCGACTGGATGGGTAGTTTAATCCTAAAGTGTCTTGCCATAAATGGAGAATGACCATCCATAACCCGCAACATATATCAACATATGGCAGTGTGTCAAAACCTTGTACCCCTGGTGAACATCAAAATAGCTGGTAAATGGATGTTCATCCCATTAAAAATGGTATTAATAGGTATTGACCCATACCCATATATCAACATATTATCTTTTTTGTGAACTATCAAATTGACTATGAACAATGAAATCGGCACTTTCCCATACTTTTCCATATATTTGTTCTGCATGTCTTGGTCAACTCCTGGTGTATCATTGCATTGGTTTAAAGGAACATTTACATGACACATATTTCATGGTAAAAACCCATGGGTTTCCCCATGATCTTCATGGTAAAAACCCATGGCTTTCCGGTCTCGATTTTCCCCAAACGAAGAATTCGTCACGTCGCGGCTCGAAAGTCGCCCAGGAAGTCCAGTGACCTGGTTGCCTCCGTGGCCTGTTCGGCCAACATTGCGGCAGTGGCTGCGAAGCTCATGGGGTGGTCGGGCGTACGCCTGGGGCAAGATGATGTGCTCTGGAAACCTCCAGGTGCCAAAATTGCTGGGTTTAGATGGAAAAATATCGAAAAATGCCACAGAAAATGGATTTAGGAGTAACAACAGGTCAGGAAAGCTCCAAATCTAGGTTCAATGTCTAGACATGTATATATCTTATGTGTAATTTTATGTAATATCTACAACATTCTACAACATTATAATGATGATGTATTGAAATCAAAACGATTGAATTCTGTGCTTTCATCTGATTGACTTCGACCGTCGACCGTCGGCCGTCTCCTACACCGCTCCTTGGCAGGTGCGAGCGGTGTGGGTTATCATCAGGATTCCACGTCACTTGCTGCATTTTTTCCGAAACTCTTGGGAAGAGGTTGAAAAATGATGAAAAAGGTGGTGCTCCTTCAATAAGTTCGATATATCGAAAAGCAGAGTTAAAGCTAGTTGTAAAGCAACTTAGTTACCGCAAGGGGGTCCCACCTTGTACCCTGTCAAGGAGTATTTGGGGTTTGGAACATGAATTTTATGAATTTCCATATAGTGGGAATGTCATCATCCCAAGTGACTTTCATATTTTTCAGAGGGGTAGGCATACCATCAACCAGATTTTTATTGGAGTCATAAACCAACTGAGATAACTTGGGGCGCCATCTTGTAGCTGCATGTCACGGGTCTTTGGAACTTGTTTGGGGATTTAAAATGGATGGAAGATTACAAGCAAATGTTTTCTCAAATATATCCTCATGGCATTGCATGTAGATGCACGTAGTATATATATATATGTATAGAGATGTAATTACAGTATATAATATACATATATATATATTTATATATATATCCCAACATTAGGGTGTGCCCAAATAGATGTGTGTTTCTATCGGATGACCATCCCCAATGTGGGTGTCAACCGTGCTTAATGTTCATCAAAATGGACGACGATACACAAGTTTTTTCTGCATGGCTCCACAACTACGATGTTTTCAGAAGGTAAGTGCTTGGGTTGCAACCCCTTGTAACTTACAACTGGGATGTTTTTTTTTTTGATATACCCCACTAAATCCACTAAGTCACTTAGTCACTTTGTTAATTCTAGCAACATCTGGCATCTAAGCAACGTTAATTCCGTATTTGGCCAGGCTCTTGGTCGCCCACTCCAGGTATATCTCCGAGAACTTCCGACCTCTGGAGAACAACTCTGTGACGGTTTGGATTGCCTTGGACGATGCCGACGAAGAAACTGGAGTGGTCACTGGGAAGCATAGCGGAACCATGTGCCCAGTGATCAACTGGTCAACATAGCCCCCATTAAATATAGAATATGTATAATATATGTATATAGGAGTATATTGTATATATATATATATAATAATCACTGTAATATAGACATATCTACCATAAACTGGAGTGAAATGTAAGTTACAAACCAACTTGGCTAACTATGGGACACCACCTTGTACCTGTCTTCTTGTACCTGTTTCTTGTACCTGTCTTCTTGTACCTGTCTTTTGTGGGTGGGTGGTAGTTGGTTACTTTCTTGCCATTCTCTGTCATAGGCTTGGAACCATGCTCTGGGAATTTCCTTTTGCAGTCGGCCCCTGAGGTGGTTGAAGCCGAGTGAGTATTATCCAGTATGATCCAATATGTACCTCTCGCTCTAGTGACTCTAGTCAAACATGGTTAGCGGGGAAATCCACCATAAATCGGCGTTTCAATGGGAAAACCCTCGACCATCGCCATGTGTAATTGCCAATCCCGCAAAATTGGTCGAAATTGCTGGCTCAACAGGTTGTGTAAAGTGAGCATGGGTGGGTGAGGAACACCAAAACCATATACCATCCTCTCTGTAGAAAACAAATGTGATGACTGACTTTACAAGGTACCAATTGTACAGGTTATTGAGGGGACATTGGTCGCTTGTGACCCTATTCACTGTTTCTACGTTTTGAAGTAAAAAAGATAGGGTCACAAGTGACCAAGTGTGCTTGGAGTCCCACACCTGTCACACAAAAATGGTGCGTCCCCTTTGTGGTCGCCTGTGACCCTATTCGTGCCCGAAGTATCATTTTTGAAGGAAGTCTCGCAGAAAAGCTTCGTTTTTGAGTTTCGCAGCTTCATTTTTGAAGGAAGTCTCGCAGAAAAGCTTCGTTTTAGAGCTTCGAAGCTTCATTTTTGAAGGAAGTTTCGCAGAAAAGCTTGGTTTTTGAGTTTGGAAGCTTCAGTTTTGAATGAAGTCTCGTAGAAAAGCTTCGTTTTAGAGCTTCGAAGCTTCATTTTTGAAGGAAGTCTCGCAGAAAAGTTTGGTTTTTGAGTTTCGAAGCTTCATTTTTGAAGGAAGTCTCGCAGAAAAGCTTCGTTTAAGGGCTTCGAAGCTACATGTTATTTATTTATCTATCTATCTATCTATCTATCTACCTACCGATCTATCTATCTTATCTTATCTTATCTTATCCTATCTTATCTTATCTTATCTATCTATCTATCTATCTTTCTTATCTATCTCTCTCTGTTCTCTCTATCTATCTATCTCTCTCTCTCTCTCTTTCTATCTTCTTATCTCTCTATCTCTCTATCTCATCTGGGCAGCTAGCTCCGCGCCCGCCGCTGTAGCGAGCTTACTTATGGTATGGTGGAACGCGGGGGGGGGAAGTTTAAATAAAGAAGTATAATGGTGACAATGGTTTAGTGGAACGCAGGGGGGGGGAAGTTTAAATAAAGAAGTAGAATGGAGACAATGGTTTAGTGGAACGCAGGGGGGGGGAAGTTTAAATAAAGAAGTATAATGGAGACGGTATAGTGGAACGCAGGGGGGGAAGTTTAAATAAAGAAGTAAAATGGAAGTTTAAATAAAGAAGTAGAATGGAGACAATGGTATAGTGGAACACGGGGGGTGAAGTTTAAATAAAGAAGTAGAATGGAGACAATGGTTTAGTGGAAGGCAGGGGGGGGAAGTTAAAATAAAGAAGTAGAATGGAGACAATGGTTTAGTGGAACGCAGGGGGAAGGAAGTTTAAATTAAGAAGTAGAAAGGAGACAATGGTTTAGTGGAACGCAGGGGGGGAAGTTTAAATAAAGAAGTAGAATGGAGACAATGGTATAGTGGAACGCAGGGGGGAGGAAGTTTAAATAAAGAAGTAGAATGGAGACAATGGTTCGTGGAACACAGGGGGGGGGTAAGTTTAAAGAAAGAAGTAGAATGGAGACAATGGTTTAGTGGAACGCAGGGGGGGGTAAGTTTAAATACAGAAGTAGAATGGAGAAAATGGTATAGTGGAACGCAGGGGGGGGTAAGTTTAAATAAAGAAGTAGAATGGAGACAATAGTATAGTGGAACGCAGGGGGGGGTAAGTTTAAAGAAAGAAGTAGAATGGTGACAATGGTTTAGTGGAACGCAGGGGGTGTAAGTTTAAATACAGAAGTAGAAAGGAGAAAATGGTATAGTGGAACGCAGGGGGGTGTAAGTTTAAATACAGAAGTAGAAAGGAGAAAATGGTATAGTGGAACGCAGGGGGGGGGTAAGTTTAAATAAAGAAGTAGAATGGAGACAATGGTATTGTGGAACGCAGGGGGGGGTAAGTTTAAATAAAGAAGTAGAATGGAGACAATGGTATAGTGGAACGCAGGGGGCGGGTAAGTTTAAATAAAGAAGTAGAATGGAGACAATGGTATAGTGGAACGCAGGGGGGGTGAAGTTTAAATGAAGAAATAGAATGGAGACAATGGTATAGTGGAACGCAGGGGGGGGGGAAGTTTAAATAAAGAAGTAGAATGGAGACAATGGTATAGTGGAACACGGGGGGGTGAAGTTTAAATAAAGAAGTAGAATGGAGACAATGGTTTAGTGGAACGCAGGGGGGGGAAGTTTAAATAAAGAAGTACAATGGAGACAATGGTTTAGTGGAACGCAGGGGTGGGAAGTTTAAATAAAGAAGTAAAATGGAGACAATGGTTTAGTGGAACGCAGGGGGGGGAAGTTTAAATAAAGAAGTAGAATGGAAGTTTAAATTAAGAAGTAGAATGGAGACAATGGTATAGTGGAACACGGGGGGGTGAAGTTTAAATAAAGAAGTAGAATGGAGACAATGGTTTAGTGGAAGGCAGGGGGGGGAAGTTTAAATAAAGAAGTATAATGGAGACAATGGTTTAGTGGAACGCAGGGGGAGGAAGTTTAAATAAAGAAGTACAATGGAGACAATGGTTTAGTGGAACGCAGGGGTGGGAAGTTTAAATAAAGAAGTAAAATGGAGACAATGGTTTAGTGGAACGCAGGGGGGGGAAGTTTAAATAAAGAAGTAGAATGGAGACAATGGTTTAGTGGAACGCAGGGGAGGGAAGTTTAAATAAAGAAATAGAATGGAGACAATGGTATAGTGGAACGCAGGGGGGGAAGTTTAAATGAAGAAGTAGAATGGAGACAATGGTTTAGTGGAACGCAGGGGGGGGAAGTTTAAATAAAGAAGTAGAATGGAAATAGTATTTGTGGAACGCAGGGGGGGGTAAGTTTAAATAAAGAAGCATAGAATGGAGACAATGGTTTTAGGTGGAACGCAAGGGGGGGGGAAGTTTAAAATAAAGAAGTATAATGACGCAGGAAAGAAAGTATTAATGGTGCAATGGTTTAAATGAACGGCTAGGGGGGGGAAGTTTAAATAAAGAAGTATAATGGTGACAATGGTTTAATGGAACGCAGGGGGGGGGAAGTTTAAATGAAGAAGTAGAATGGAGACAATGGTTTCGTGGAACGCAGGGGGGGGAAGTTTAAATGAAGAAGTAGAATGGAGACAATGGTATAGTGGAACGCAGGGGGGGGAAGTTTAAATACACCGGGGTGAAAGTACCAGGCGCAGAAGTCAGATTTCAGGGCCACTTAATAGATGGCGCGGACACCGGTATTTGGAACGGACGAAATCTGAGAAAATAACCGAATCTGCCCCAGTGAAAGTAGATGGCGCAACCCCGCTGGTGTTGCGCCATCTACTTATGCCGGATTCCACATAAATGTGCAAATGATGTGGCTGAAATTGGATGAAATTTGTGGAGTAGACTCCGCGCCGTTTTCCTTCCTTTTTCCCGGCAGTCTGTTGGTCCATATACTGCACAGTACCATATGCAGCAGTAGTACGCTTCGTGCACTTGAAAGTATTGAAAGGCATCTGGCTGACTGCATTGTCGAAACAGTACTGTAAATTGTCAGTTGCGCCATCTATTGTATTGAAGCATCACACAGGCGGTTCTTGTGGCCCAGTTGCGCCATCTACTGTGCATTCGATCTGGTGGAACATGCGCATGATTTTTGTGGGAGAGAACGCTCACATGAATACACCAGTGACATGTGAGTTGCGCCATCTATCTGGCTGCAATATGGGGAGGTTCCCCGTGTGCTTCTGGAGTTGCGCCATCTATGGCAGTGGCACGCATAACCAAACTGCACACACCCCGGTCGCGAAAACTCCACAGATTCAGCCATGTTCGCCGAATACTAAATATGTATTCGCGGTTTTGCGTGGGAAAAAGATGGCTCAGTATGGATCAAGTGCGCACGCTATATTAATGCGAGTTGCGCCATGTATGTTGGGCCCCCGGGGGGCAAAAGTACATGGCGCAACTAGTGTATTCGGCGCCTGGTACTTTCACCCCGGAGTAAAGAAGTATAATGGTGACAATGGTATAGTGGAACGCAGGGGAGGGTAAGTTTAAATAAAGAAGTAGGGGTAAGTTTAAATAAAGAAGTAGAATGGCGACAATGGTATAGTGGAACGCAGGGGGGGGTAAGTTTAAATAAAGAAGTAGAATGGAGAAAATGGTTTAGTGGAACGCAGGGGCCCACCCCACAAACTCGTGCGCGTGCGCGCGTGAGACTAACAACGCGTCTTGCGCGTGCGCGCGTGAGACCAAAAACGCGTGCTCAGGTGAGGCCTTCTTGCGCGTGCGCACGTGAGCCAAAAAACGCGTGCGCACGTGAGGCCCAGACCGTTGAAGCCACTTTGGAGACTTGTCATTGATGACTTTCGCTGAATCCACTTCATGCATCTTGATGCTTTCAAACCTTTATTTTCCCCAGCGAGAGGATGGACGATCCTTGAATCCTTGGCCCTTCCACATCCATTTAATCGCTAAGAAGTATTCGTCGTATCCCCCTCACCACCACCACCACCACCACCACCAGCACCAGCACCAGCACCAGCACCAGCACCAGCACCAGCACCAGCACCAGCACCAGCACCAGCACCAGCACCAGCACACCATCACAACCATCACAACCATCATCACCCTCATCACCCTCATCACCCTCATCACCCTCATCACCCTCATCACCCTCATCACCCTCATCATCCTCATCATCCTCATCATCCTCATCATCCTCATCCTCATCCTCATCCTCATCACCATCGCCATCACCATCACCATCATCATCATCATCATCACCACCATCATCATCATCATCACCATCATCATCCTCATCATCCTCATCATCCTCATCATCACCATCACAACCCTCATCACCCTCATCATCCTCATCATCCTCATCCTCATCCTCATCACCATCACCATCATCATCATCACCATCATCATCATTCTCATTCTCATTCTCATCGTCATCATCATCATCATCATCGTCATCGTCATCATCAGCAGCACCATCACAACCATCATCACCCTCATCACCCTCATCACCCTCATCACTCTCATCACCCTCATCACCCTCATCACCCTCATCACCCTCATCACCCTCATCATCCTCATCATCCTCATCATCCTCATCCTCATCCTCATCACCATCACCATCATCATCACCACCACCATCATCATCATCATCATCATGATCATGATCATCATCATCATCATCATCACCATCACCATCACAACCATCATCACCCTCATCACCCTCATCACCCTCATCACCCTCATCACCCTCATCACCCTCATCACCCTCATCACCCTCATCATCCTCATCATCCTCATCATCCTCATCATCCTTATCATCCTCATCATCCTCATCATCCTCATCACCATCACCATCACAACCATCATCACCCTCATCACCCTCATCACCCTCATCACCCTCATCACCCTCATCATCCTCATCATCCTCATCATCCTCATCCTCATCACCATCTCCATCATCATCACCATCATCATCACCATCATCATCATCATCATCACCCTCATCACCCTCATCACCCTCATCACCTTCATCACCCTCATCATCATCATCATCATCATCATCATCATCATCATCATCACCATCATCATCACCATCATCATCACCATCTTCATCTTCATCATCATCATCATCATCATTCTCATTCTTATTCTCATCGTCATCATCATCATCATCATCGTCATCGTCATCATCAGCAGCAGCAACACCACCACCACCAGCAACTCACCATCCATCCTGGTCATTCCTTAGATCATTCCCTATCGATTACCAGGAAGCCTTGGGTCTTCGCGATCTGCATCTGGGCGACATGGCACGGAAGAGCTTGGCCGAGGGCCTGCAGGGCCTCAGGCGCCAGCGTCTAAGCGCCGTGGCCGAAGCGGGGCAGCTGCTGCAGGATCAGAACCACAAGGCGCAGCAGCGGTGCAGATTCATCCGATGGATTTTGATGGATTTTTGGGAACAATTGGTACTGTAAAACTCTGCTGAACTTCAAGATCAAAGAATGGAGATTGGTCAAACTTGGATGTGGACTTTGGGAAATGTCGTGAATTTTTGGTCCTTCAGGATTCAACCCTCTGATTTTCAGCTCCTTTGGAAACTCTTGGGAAAACGGGCACTCTTGGGTGCCCAAGGTTGAACCATACTAAGCGTTACTAACCATACCCATCTGTCACAAGAAGCGGCATCATGACTAATTAGTCAGGATTCCTTGAGGGCAGACTTTGTGGCACTTCAGCAAGTTGACAGTTGTGCAAACACAGGATAGGATGAGACAGGATGTGACAGGATGAGGTTTCCTAGAATGGGAGCCCCCAAAATCATCCAGTCGTCATGGATGACCATGACTTAGTATTGCAACAACCATGGTGACCCAAAGGTTGATGACCCAAAGCAACTTGCTGCAGGTGAGGCAGTGCATGCTGCGCGCCTTGAGCACCGCTGGGCCATCTGCTGCTTCACCATGTACAGAGGCCATGGCTCCACGGCAGCACGGCGCTGCTAGGGTTGGCTCCTTGTGAGATGACAAAAATGCAGCTAGTTGCAGATAATTTGAAGATAATTAGTTAAAGTAGAATCAGGATCTCTTGGTGTTGGTGGAGGTGTTGAGGCATGTTGAGGCAGAATGTTAACACGAGGTGAATCACATTTCAGACTTGGGAATTCAGAAAGAGAATGACATGGATATGTGGATTCATCCTGCATGCCACTCAAAAGACAAGAGAATACGCCTAGCAGAGCAAGATATGAGTGGAAACATCATGGTATAGAATGATACTTTGTTGAGATCCCAGCGTCAACGTACAGATTTTGGGGTGGCAAATGATGTTGACAATGGCTCAGGTGCTGTGTCTCGAGGACCAAGAGCCAGATGTCCGTGGCGAAGCGGTAAGGTCCCTTTGCCAACTCTCTGCTGAAGATGGCGTTGATGGCCTTAACCCTGAAAGGATAGCAACTTGACACGAATATGCTTTAAACTTTAAACATCTTCAAAAGTTGATCCATGATGATCCATGTACCATACTTGTACCATGTTCTTGTGACGATCCTAGTCGACTTCTCACACAGGGCTGTTTGTGATGTCAATGACTTATAGTGTACCTCTTAGAGGCCCACATTATCCAAACAATTGATTGCCTCTTGTGTTTTGCTCAAGGCGAAGGTGGTGGCGCCTCTGATTTCACAGCAAAGTCAGCGCGTCATTGACCATGCCGCTGAAGGCCTAGCTGCTTTGGGAGATGTGGCAGCTCCTCTGGTGCTTCCCTATCTCATCCATGGCGAGAAATCTGAGCGACAAGCAGCGGTTCAGGTCTTGAGAAGACTGCGTGAGGCTCAGGGTGCCAAAAGATGTTGGTAAAGCACAGGAAATCCATGAACTGGTTAGTTTACAAGATGGTTTTGTATACAGCGTCATCTAGAGCTCATTTGACCTGTGTTTAGATGCTCCTAGCACTTTGCCTTTGATTCCACGTGCAACTTTACGTGCACACTTGGGACTGCTTCATCTGACAGGGCTGGACCCTGCTGAAGGCTGGTCTCAGTCATGTTGCTGGACTGTTGGCCCACCAAGACGCCGACGTGCGCCGAGCAGCGTTGCGAGTCTTCCAGGGATCCGACAGCTCAGGTCAGGAGGTGATGAGGTTCATCCCAGGAATTGCTGAGGACATCGGTCAGTTGCTCCAAGATCCTGAACCAAAGGTTCGGGGTGTGGCCGCCTTGGCTTTATGTCGTTTGGGTTCCAAAGCTTCGAAGCCCTTTGCGGAGCAGTTGATCTTCATGCTGCAAAATCCCTCTGCAGATGGCGCTGAGCTGCGGGATGTGTTGGCCGCGCTGGCCTCGCTGGGAAGCTCCGGGGATTGGGCGGCCGAGGCGGTGGCAGGCTGTTTGTGGCTGGAGCACTGGTCTGTTCGAAGGGCGGCTGCAGAGACCTATGGCCAGATTGTGGGACCGAGGTCCAGATGTGGGAGTTCTGTGTAGTTCAGGGGGTAAGCTGTGGACATGTCAAGTATGACTATGCCAAGTTTGAGTGATGAGAAAATTCAGATGTAGGGGAATTGATTGGAATTGTATTCTCTTGGTTTTGTAGCAGGACTGCACTCGCTGAAAGTCAGTTTGCAAATTGGTTTAAACTTTGAAGATTTTTGTGGGATGGAGTCATTTGCAAACCATGGGCCTTGCCCAACATCCCGCTGAAATGGGGGTACCCCCAAAAAATATCCAAGTCATTAGACTGTTTTAGTAAGTTTTAGTATTGACACATTTTGAAACCCATGGTGACTTGGATCCCCCATAAGAAACCTCCGAATCTGTCCAGGCGATTCGATCCTTTCACCGAAATGAATGATGATGAGCTGGATGATGCCATGGCCGCGCCGGTGGACCGAGAGGCTGCTGCCTTGCAATTGTCTAAGCTGCTCAAGGACTGGGATAATGTAATACATGGCGTGGCAGTTGGATCCATAATAGATGCTGTCATTTCAATGTCATTTCAATGTCATTTCAATGTCATTTCATGTCATGTCATTCCATTTTGACCAGATGTGCTCCATTTTGGCGCCACCGGCGCCACCTTCAGGTAGCAGGTGTGAGGTCAAAACCATGCAGCGACCCACAGCTGGGCACAGGACCATGTTGTGGAAGTGGCTGAAAGTGAACCTTGGCAGAGCTGGGACTATTGTCTGTTTGTGTTTCAAGTCCTACTATCTATATATATATATATAATAATATTATATATATAATTATATATATCATTTATATAATATATTATATATAGTTATATTATATTATATTATGCAATGATCCCCCTGTGAATTAGGGGGTGTCTCAGGGCCCAAACTTTGTAGCTTTTTCAGGCTATAAATCAAACAATGGTCCCCAGACCACTGGCGTTGAGCCTCGATAAAGATCTATAAAGTTGAAGCTGGGTTCAGTCCAGGACATGCCTTGGAAAAAGGCAAAATGAATTTTCACCTCATTTCTCCGATGAATTTTGGACGAAATTTGGAGAACCCCCTGAACTTGATAGATTTTATAGAGACGGCCTCTCTCTGTTCAAGTCAATCCCAAAATGTTACCAAATGATTCCAAATGTGCCCTCAAACTCTCTGATTTGATACGGCATCACTCTTGGGCGAAAAACAACAAACGACATGGGCTGCTATAAAGTGGAACCCCTTTCACAACATGACAGCATGCAACCCTACAAACTTGAGATGGTTTCCTATAATACAAGCTGTCCCCAGCACAAAATGCGCTTTCATCAGGTTGCTTTTTGATGAGAAGAAACAAGGAAACAAAAACAGCACCTTTGAAATACTTTTTTAAAGTTCAAGCACTTCAAGCACCATGGTATACAAAAACACCTTCTTAAATATCCCCTTATTCTTGGCTACCGTGAATTTTATAGAGAAATTAACATCTAGAGATTTCTGGGTGTCAAGAACCACATTTGAGGAAATAGGCGGGGGGATGTAATGCGGGTAGATTTTTTATTCTCTTTCGCCTTACACTCATATCACATAGCCCACAGCGAATTATGCGAGACTAAGCGGAATCCTAGAGCAGTCCTTTGGACAAGAAATGCGGACATCAAGATCATTCTGCAGAAGCTTCAAACATAAAATCCGTTTTCTTCTTGCACCTCTCACTTATACAAACAGCCCACGACTAGTTTGGATTGGAGCGTTTTGTTCTTTTAGCAGATTGAAGGTCGGAATCTTGACATGCTCGTGGAGGATTTGCCAACTCCCCGGTCAGGCAGCAAAAGCTTTGGCAAATCTGGGCTTGGAGGGGGCACGCGAGGCGGTGCAGATTGCACGATGCCTGGATGACGATTATGGTTTATCCCAAGCAGCCTTAGATTCTTGGCGAAACAGAGGTAGGAGCACAGCTTCAGGGTGGAGCATGGGGAGCATAATCCACAATAAATTGAAAGGTGAACTTGATGGAGTTTATCTGCTATGCACATGTCGAAAGGTCTCAGATGGGGAGTTTTTGTTGAAGCTCCAAGGATGCTCTTGTGAAGCTGCTAAGCCATGAATGCTTTGCCACCAAAGAAGCAGCTGCAGCTGGTGTGGCCATGTATTTCAATCAAGGAGGGCAGGTGGGCCTACTGAGAAGTCGTTGCTTTTCCACGCTGTGGTTGGCCAACCCAATGTATGTTGCTAGACATGTCCCACTTCAAGGGCAATGGTCACAGCTGGAGTGTAGACATTGCAGTGTTTCGCAGGTACTGGTACGTGCCATGATATTCAACCTGGACATCTTATACTAACTGCACATTCATCAGCTCAGCAATGTATCTGTCCCCTATGTACATAATATTACATAACTCGTGCTTTTCCGTTTTTCAGATTAACATATGATACACACAAGTTTGCACCGCATCCTTTACATTGCAGCCAGGCGCCCAAGACTGCCCGCGGGCTTCTGGTTGAAGCACTGCTCAGGGAGGCCAGGTGTGAAGAAAGGCCGCGGGGAGCGAGAAATGTTTGGAGGGAACTGGAAGTATCTCCTTCAGCAGCAAAAACAAATCTGAAGTCAAGCGCACAGGGTCAGTCAAGATGGGTTTGATCACATTTCGATATACTCCCTGCAAGGCGCCAGACCTATGTCATGCTGCATTAGTATATTGAATTCTTACTGAGAAGCAAGGACATTAGTTTTGTTTGCCTTGCCATGTATTACGATTGCTGCTTGCCTTCCCTGATGACAGGAACGTGCGAGAAGAATGTGTAGCTTGCCTCCATTTGCTTGTAAGGTCTTGTAAGGTCTTGTAAGAACTATTGTGAGAACTGTTGATGCTATGCAGTGGCGCTGTCAAGTCTGCAGCCAGCAAACAAATGTCTTTGACAACCGGTGCTTGAAGCACATGCGTACATCTAGGGGGCCAACACTGGGTGGAGCACATGAGAACAGTTGAAGGGAGAATTGAAACTCTTGAACCACTTACTCTACGCGGCACTTGGTCAAAACATGTTTTCTAAGAGGTCGTTTCTGCATGGAAAACTTTACTAGTCCTCATGGCTGCTGTGGGCATACACCTGTCATCCTGAGATCCGTGCATTGGGTGGCCTGGCACATCAAGAACAAAGGCGCCTTTGTTGCGCTGTGTCAATGCTCAATGTCAACCAAAAGCACAGGATTTGTTCATGTGATCATGGGCCAGTGACTCAACGAGTGGATACCCAATATCAACCCGCAGTCACCCCACCACTAGGTCCAAATGGCAGCAGAGGATCCTCAAAGAAGTGTCCTGGTGAGACAGTACCTTCTGCGGTTGCTCCACCAGTTGGGATATTCAAGACAGCGCTGATATGCGCTGATAAGCATCCTCCAAGACAGCAGGCAATTGAGGCTCATGACATCTCACGACTTTTTCCATGACTTATCCATTTGCAACTACCAGAGATCATTGACAAAACTTGGGGGGTGAAGCGGTGAAGCCTCAGGTGACCCAGACGGCCTTGGACGATGTTCAGATGAGCGTCAAGCGTTGCGCCATCGAAGTTCTTGGCAAGCTGAACTTGCCACCCGAGGACAGGTTTGGGGGCATGAAGATATACCAAAATGATGTGCTTTGGTCAGTGACTTGGAAGAAATCTTGTATCACCTGGATACATCCGGCCACCCCGAAGGACCTTTTGGCAAACTGACTAGCAATCTACATGAACCATGCATTGATCGGAGTCTTTCAGTAGTGCTTGGGCATGCTGGGGCATGCTTGGGCTATAGTTATTGAACTCCCAACTTGAAGACTGTTGTAATATACAGAAAGCTTTGAAGCCTTGTCATTCTCAGTGAATATGTCAGAGTAGCACCAAACCAGTTTGCAGTGATAGAGAGTTTTGTGGCTGAAATTGAATTCCGAATTGGCGCGCGCCATAGGCTGCAGATCAGCGCGAATCAGTGCTGAACATGTTGGGGCTCCCGGCACTTCTGCCTCCGGGGTCAGTCTGACTGTTTTCTTTTGGTCTCATCCGGGGCTTCTTTTTTGGCAAGTTGCTCTTAGTGCCTTTGTTTGCCATGGGTGTTTTGACATGGCTCTGGGGATCCACCAAGCTGTTCTTGAAACAATCTGTCTTGTGTTTTAACACTACAAGGTAGTACAATTAGTTGGCATGTAGTTCTGTCTTGTTTGATCCGCACGTGGATTGAAGAAGCGACACAACCTCAAAGCAGCTTTTGCTGCAGTCCTGAAGCGGAACTTTGCTGTACGGGTGCAGATGTCCTTCAGATCCTACGCACTAAGCCTCCAAAATCCCTTGACAATTATTTGTGCACGAAATAGAGGCATCTACATCCGAAAATGTGAAGATGTACCAAGGCAAGATAGGCAATCAACTTGTAACATCTTGTAAGAAATGATAGCATATGATAGCATCTCGTAAGAAATGTAACAACTTGTAACAACTTGTAACGAGTTCACTGAGCTCACCGAGATGGGCACCAAGGCTGGCCAAATCCAGTCCCTCCCGGCAGCTGCGACGATATGCCTCACAGGCCTTGGAGATCTCCCGGCCGAGGCTGGGAGATCCTTTCCATCAACGGTATCAACGGTGCCCCAGGGCCAAGTGGACAACAAAAAAGAAACACAGTGATGATGGCATAATTGCATAGTAACATGATGTAGTAGTTAATATATGTTAATATGATCAGAATTTAACATAATCTATGATCATTGAGATGATCTGAATTTTCGGCGAATTATGGCATACGTTCTCAGATTCCATCATGATCACGTGATGGCATCGTTATGTTTTTTTTGGGGGACCTCCTCGATGCCTGCACATCCACCTTAAGGACATCGATTGACATAGAGGAGGAAGTGCTGCGGGCCCATGGGTGGAAAAAGGACAATGGTTCTTTTGCAGCTCTTGCAACCATAGCAGGTCAGTATTATTGAAACTATTGAATGATAGCAGAAGCTGTTGAATATGCCTGAAATGAATTGAAATGATTTGACTGTAGATTGGTGCATCTGAAACCGATTCACTTAAGATACCCTGCGGGATCCCCCCTGCTATTATTGCGATTTGCAACTGCATAGTTTGTTGTGATGGTGGCTTTGTCCAACAGATGGGCTATGCTGCACTGGTCTAAGGACCAGAATCACTACCACCTCCATGCGCGAGACCCGTGTGGGTGCGCCGATGAAGGAGATCCCTTTCTGGACAGTGGCCTGCCGGCCTGCCATTGCTGGTGACATTCTGTCAGTTTTAGCCAACTTAGGGCCAACTTGGCATGCATATTATGATTTATATATTATATATATATATATTATGTGAAGATATGTGAAGATTCTGATTCCAATTGCATTGGAGACTGAAGACTGGACTGTGGTCTGTTTGCTTTGTTTGATCTTTGAGCCAGAAATTATCAGCTAAGACCTGGTAAGACCTGTCACTCACCAAATGCGAAGGAGCTCTCAAAACTGGTCGGATCGTTGCGGACCACGCTGGATCAGGCCGGAGATGTTGGTCTCAGCCGCATGGTGCCCAAAAAACTTTGCCAAGTGAAGCTACAAAAGGCCTTCTGCTACAAAAGTGCATGCTCTGTAGTTAATAAATAAATGTTAATAATCATACTTCTGAACATAAGCACATTTTCATGTTTTTTTTTGTAACTTAGCCCTTTCTACTTCCATCTACTTCCGAGGCCGAAGCCTCAGAGCGTTTGTTGGATGAGTTAGCCTCTGCAGACTCATCTCGTGCATGGCATTTGGAGCGGCTGTTGTCTGAACCTCAGAGTTGGAACAGATGGCTACTCCATGGTGCTCCAAATTCATTGGTGATTTAACCAGCACAAATCAGGATTGAATCATGAAAAAAGGTGTTTAACCAGCAAAAAATGCAATTTAGGTGGCATTGGTGAATCAATGTCAATCATCATTTTTCCGGATTCAAATTTGGCCATTTGGGATATTTGGGGGGGCTACTAGACATGCTATTTTCAGAAAAAAGGCATCCCGGTTGGTATGTGTCTCGACATGGTAAAGGCATGTCGCAGGATAGAGCAACGTAGACAGCATTTCTCATGGATTGTTCCATGTTTTGCATTTTTGTTTGCTGGGTTTGTCCGACATTGAAACATCGGAAATTGCTATTTCAATGGGTAAGATGAAGTGTTGAGCCCCGGAATCAGTGGGTTTCCCCAACATTTTCAAACAAGGAGCCCTGGTGATGCAGGTGGCAGACGTGGTATTTCCATGAGAACCCGGTGGCTATGACGTTGTTGTCGGAGGGCTCCAACCTAATGGATGAGGGTGATCTGGAATTAGCCAAGCAATGTGTCTTGGCCTGGGACGACTCACAGTGTTTTGCCACTTTCTGAGTGTTTTCTGTGTGTGGGTGGACCTATTGTTCGTTCTGTTTTGCATTATTTCAATTATTTCATATTATTTCGCATTGTGTTTCCCGATTTCGAAGGCAGTTCCCTTGAGACATCCAGATGGATGAGGCTTCCTACATGCAGCGACTCTAGAGCCCTCTTGGGCTGAAGCCTGGAACCGCTTGGCGACGGTGCGGGCCGCAGTGAGCAAAACGGTGGGTTTGATATGGCGAAATGATGCAAAATGCAACAGGTGCGAAGTCATCACTGCGGGATTGGTCTTTCTTGGAATGTAGCCATGGAAGTCGTAGAATCATGGCCAAGCAGCTGGCAGAGCTTCAGGATCCTGCTCCAGAGCTAATCTTGACTCGAAGAGTTGCTTCATGTTGCTGTTTGGACTCTGCCACCATCGGGTGAGGTGGACTATTTGCTGGGGAACTACAATTATTCATTGAAAGAAATCGACAAGGCGTGCTGCAAATTGCTGGAGATTTGGCATGAGTCAGAAGCTTTTGACAATGTAACATCATCTTATATACATGTTACATCATGTTACCATAATTTCAGACGCTTCAAACAGAAGCATCATAATTTTCACATCTAGTTCTATATGTAATATGAAATTCTCGACTAGTACACTATAATCCTATTTTAGTGAGAACTTCACAATTATTTGTTTATTTATTTTTAAACAAAATATAGTTACCTATCACCCTGGGCCGGCGTTCAGACCTTGGAGCTGCAACCGCGTCACTTTGGCGCCTTGTCCGGCAAAGGCCGGGACCGGTTTTCCGAGAGCCGAGTTTTTTTTTTGGGACGTGGCTTCAAAACCACATTATGGATCAACAAATTATGGACTACAAGAGTAAATATGGATATTATGGCTTAAGAATGATTAATGATTAATGATTAGTTTAGCCAATATGGATTGAACTTTTAAACGGAGATGAAACGTGATGAAAAGGTGAAATTTGGGATGTCCGGAAGCTGCGCGAGATAAGGGCAGCCTCTTTGCAGGTTTAGTGTACTTGAAGTTGGAGCGCTTCCAAAACGCGATCGAAGCACCTTGGATGGTGGCGGCTTCCCCTATTGCTGTTTCATGACGTGATGGTCTTCCTGTGGCTGTGGAGTGCGAGAGTCTGCCTTTGTGAGATGGAGCTGAAACAACAGTGAAACACATCTGAGCAAATGAAAAGGATTGAAAAGGCCTCCAAGTACAGGAGCAGAACGAACAGAACAGTCATACTTCATACTGCATCTCTGATTCTGCGCATATTTACATCTCTCCTTGCAGATTCGCTCATCAATACGAGAGAGAGGGAGAGATAGTGTAGATCTGCAAGCCCTAAGTCAATTCTCGGTTCCTTTTCTGGTTCTATCTGGTTATATTGTAAAAAGAACCTTCATGTTGGATGTCTTCCAACCTGGTTTAATCGATTTCGTGACTGGTGGTTCTACATCTTCACAGCAAGTGCTTGGTCCTAGGCATTTCAGGATGCGCAAGAGGTGGTTCCTACAAGCGAGTCTCTAAAGCACAACATTGAATACACCGAAGCCTTGCAAAAAGAGGCGCTGTTGTCACGGGGTTGTCATTGTTGGAGTACCGGCTTGTGCCAGCCAGCTCTCCAGCTCTCTCGTTCTGGTCACTTACGTCTGACTATAGGAGGTTGTTCAGAGGTTGGATTGGGACGGCACGGTGATTCAAAGTCTCTCCCTTTGCTGTTGAATGGAACAAAGGGATTTACATAACTTTGCACTTTTACTGAACAAGAATGCCTTCTTGCAGAAATGGAAGTCAGAGTGATATGGAGATTGATGCTTTGTGTAGTACTGTATCTCTTCTCGTAATGAGAGCTGCTATATCGACTTGTTGACCCAAAGGCTGACTGCTTCCACCAGTCTTGGCACCAGGCAGCCATGATGATGCACTTCTGAGTGCAGAAACTCCAGTGAAACGGAGCCCATGGCAATGGCGCAACATGGCGCAATGCTTCTTGCTGCCAAGGCCCTGCTGCAGGTTCCTAGTCCTGTAGTCCGGTGGCCTAGCCGCAGCCTGTCAGTGACAGCAACCTTTCCATTAGAATTTCATGTACATTGTGTGGAAACTATGTGTGTGTCCAACGTCGGCTACACATGTAGAAATATGTAGAAGGTTGATGAAGATTGGTCGCAGTTTCCTACTCCAGCAGACCACTTGTCCCAGCAATGCATTGATGAAGGGCTAGGCGTGGAAACACCAGCAGAGACTGCGACCTTGCCGAGAGAATCTCGCTCTTCTTCCAGCGGGGTTGGCCGGATGGTCTGCCGTGATGCCAAGCCATTGCTTGTAGCTAAAAAATGACATTAGGCGAATATAAAATCCAGGCATCTACATCCATTTGAAATGACATTCATATATTGTGCCTCTATGTGCCTATACTGTACAATAGTTAATGTACACACACCCACACGGATCTCAACCCTAAGTGCCAAAAAGGGGTGCGTGCATTACAACGATGAAGACCAGGACAAGAAAACGCAGCTGCAGCTGATGGCACCACGGTACCAACAAGACATCTCCGCGAGCGATGCCGGATGTCCTTGGCGATTCGCTGGAAAATTGTTGAAAGGGGCGCGAGATGACGCGAGCTTCGGAACATGTTTGAAATGGGCAGGATATGGCGGGATATCCTTTGACACTACGATGAGTGTAGTCTTGATAGAGGCAGATTGTGTATTTGAAAACACAACTGAAGACCGGCAGTGATCGCAACAGGGACTCGACAACTTTGCAGGCAAGTCTGAAAGGTCATCCAACAGCAATTCCCTGCAGCAATCCCCTGTTGTAGTTTCGGTGTCATTCTTTGTTTTTTTGGTAATAAGTAGAGCTCGGATATACTAGTAAGAGGCTGGTAAACCTTGTGCGCCTTAGTTATGTCATGTTCTTTCAATGCGATCCTATCGTTTGTCTCCCTTTTGATTCATGCACCTGGAGGATCTGGAGGTAGAAAAACCACGAAAATCCCAAGATCCCAAGATGTCCAGATGTCACAAGTCACATCCATGCAGGAAGCACATCTTCGAGTTGCCGCCGAACTGGAAAATGGCCAGGGGCCCGTGCCTCTTAGTATCCAGAAGAATCCAGAACAGTGCTATTTTTATTATGCTCTTGGTTGAGATACACAAACTAAGAACATCTAAGAACAATAAATGCCGAAACCGTCTTGGTTCCAGACAGCTATATGCAACTATAAAGCCCAGCAACTGTCAGCTGATGTAAGCTGCATATGGGTGTCTTTTCATCCCTCAAAGCAGACCTGCACCCTCCTGATGGGCATCTGAATGTTTTGCTGAATGCTTGCACTTGGAGGTGATCACACGCAAGTTCATTTCCATGGATTGTGGGCCATGCGCCTTGCAGCCTTGCGACCAAATGACAGCACCGGGGTGCAGCTGTGATGAGTGTGTGCATTGTACCCCACAGACGGGCATGATGATGATGATGATGATGATGGAAAATACAACACGTGGGGTGGAATTCTTGAACTCGGGCAGTGTCCACCTGCCCCAAAAATGAATTGACATCACGAGGTATGAAATGAAAATGATTTGACAAGAACTAACTTCTCACTCCGTTTGAATCAGGATGCAACAATGCCAGACATTGCTGAACGGACTTAACGTTTCACATACGGTGTCAAATCATTGTCCCTGGGCACAGGATGGTGCAGGTGTCCATTTCCTTTGATTTCCTAACCTCCAGAATCAAAAGAGGCAAAATAGAGCTCGCGTCATCTCGTGTCCAACTTTTTTTCCCACACATTTACCATCATTTACCAGTTGATGGTTTGTCTCAGTAACTCAGTATGGAAAAAAACATGATTGTATGGGCATGAAGGATACTTACATAATATAATATATATACACACCTACACGTATATATGTATATACACATATGCACGTGTATATATATATATATATACGTATATATATATACGTATATTATTTTATATGTATATATACACATATATACACATGTTATATATATAATATATATCTTACCCCGAAAATCCCAACTGTTCTTTTAACAATAGCATACCATAATCCAGCTGCAGCTTGGTCCATGGCCTCCCAGCGCGCCTTGGAGATCCAGGACTTGGTGGAAATCCCACGACCGCGGAGGCGACGCTTGGTGGAGAGCAATGTGGAGTGTATTTATGTGGACCATACCACTGTCCCGGCCTCGGCTTAGGTGGCTTCAAATGCTGAGTTTAGGTGAGTTTAGATGATTTGTTGCAGGTGACTTTAGATGTTTCTGGATGATTTTCGATGACATTGGATGATTTTAGGTGACCTGAAGGGATTTGAGATGATTTACACTGCAAATTTGAAATTTGATAGCTCAAGAGGGGAAAAACAATTTAATTTGCTATAGTAATAACTGTGAGTGATACCTTTTGCGCTCAGCAATAGCTGAGTTGCATCCCTCCAATCAAGACTATTGGAACATGCGGCCAGCATAAAAACATCCGGCAAGTAAATGTGCTTGGAGTTGGCACCTTCCCTGGTCGTCAAACAGGAGATACTGTGATATTATGGATTTCAGCACAACGCACTTGCTGCATTGACAGCTTCAACTGCAAGATCATTGGTGTTTGGAGCTTGCGTGGGGCAGTTAGTTTCCATCAAGCAAATTGTGGGCTCAAAGATAAAGCTTTCACCTCAGCATGTTTAGTAGATCTCTAGAAATCTCTAGACTCTGGACGTAGAGGTGTCAGTTGGGTATCCTTTTTGAGTGTCTCTCAACTTGGAGACCTGAAAAGGATTGAATTTCACTGTCATTGAATCCTGGGGCTTCCACTTTGAACTCGATGCATTGGTGCTGATCCGTTGAGTAGATACAAGCATAGGTATCTGTTTTTTTGATATATTGATATGATATCTCTCTAAGCACAGAGTTTGATACCCAACCATAGTCAGAATCATTCAGAATCATCATTCTCCGCCAAAATTGCCTTCCAAGGGAGGTACCCTGATACTTTTGAAACCTTTTTTCAACCATTTTGAACCTATTTTCAGCCTATTTTCAGATTTTTTGGAGACACCCAGATGTATCACCCATCACCTGGATGTGGTCGCCGCTTCCGCGTGCGGCGTACGCCGCCGTTCCGGCGGCTTTCCTGCTGACCGGCGCATGGAGAAGTGGTCGCCTCACTTGGAGACCTCGACCTGGTGAAAGGTTGGAGATGTCCAAGTTTCTGATTTTGTATGCAGGATCATATTGGATCATGTTGGACTGTTGGATCATATTAGATCTAACAACTGTCGAATTTGAATTGATTCACAGTGATTCACAGTGATTCACCACGTTTTGAGACAATTTCACTTCAATGCTTCAGCCACCAGGCGCCGGGTTGCGGCTGTGGATGTTGATGGCAAACCTTGTGGTCCACAAAGCGCGAGCGCAGGCAAAGTCACCATCGTCTCACAGAAGCTTTGCAAGAAGCAAGCGGATACTATTGATTGCATGCCGAATGTTGTTCACCAGCTCCATTCAGAACACAGCAATCATCATGCTCCATGCACAGATACTGGAATTGAACAGCAATACTGTCAGTAGCAATGCTAAGACTTGGAGCATATTGGAGCACCCTGTCAAGAGCTCAATCTCCAAGTCTTGTGCACGACTTCTAGAGTCTATCAACGTTCCAATGCCATTTGGGTTTGTGTCATAGGATACCCTGAAAATCCAGTGGTGTATCCCTATCAATGTCTATCATCATTTTCTTGAGAAATGTGGCAATAAATGTGGCACAAAATAAATGTGGCAATTTGGTATGCTCATCCCAATTTCAGGAGCCCATCCCAATAGCATCTCAGCATCCCAAGGAACATGTGGAACTCGTTCTATGCCGGTGGGCCTCAGAGGGAAAAACGCTTGGAGGCCTTCAGAAAGCTCCTGGAGACCCAGGGAAAAGCTGTGGAGATTCTGGTGCTGCAAGAGATGTGCCTTGGTCCTTGGTGTTTTTGGGGATGGACGGGGTCTGCAAATTCTTTTGGATATGAATACAATGTATATATATATATATGATTTATATATTATATGTATATACAGAATATATATATATATGTATATATAAATTATATATATATAGATATAATATGAATCTGCTAAACCCAACAATAAACCATCCCTAATATTGCCATAAATGGGTGGTAACTATGGACCCCAAATGGTAGCTTTATCACTTGTGTTTACCTCATGATTTATATGATATACTGAATTGGTGTACACTAAAATAAACAACTATGATATGCAGTATGTGATGCACAAATACGTGCAGTAGTTGCTCAGAAATGTGTTCCCCATATGTGGTGTGAATCGTTGACGTTGTTTCACATCAGGTTTTGTATCTCAGCTACCGTACGATAGCCATTAACTCTCCAGCTGCAAATCACCATAAAATGTAAGATGTGATGGACATGAGCCAAATTTCCATCCACCAGTGGTGGGAATCTTTGCCCTGGGGCTGGAATCAACTGTTTGTGTGTGTGTGTTGGACAGAATATTTGCATTGTGCATTTAGCATGCTAAATTTGATTGAGGATCAACCGGCAATCCACAGCACCCTGAACCAGCTGTTGACTTGGTAAGGTTTGCCTTCGGTTTGGGACCATTCTGCGACAAGAGCGAAGTTGAGTTACTACAAGAATGGACGACCGACTTGGGTTTTGTGCATCAGACATCGCCTCTAGCCACTTGACTTCAGCGAACTAAAGGCAACAGTTTTACCGTGTAGAGAACATGAATGGCTACTTATCGAGCTCCGATACTGGAATGAGTTTCGCAGTACTTTGGATGAAGCAGCAGACCCTCAATGTTGCGAGTTCCCGGAGTCCCTGAATTCATTTTCTCTAAAGTGAACAGCTTGTGCTTGACCAAATCTGAGGTGACGATGCCTTGGTTGGGCCAGAGCTCTGGGCTTCTGATTTGCTCCAAAGAACCCATCCTCTCAGAGCAGCACCACGTCTTCCAGCAGCGGAGGAGAGTCACTTCAAAGGGCTGGTTGGAAGTGGAGGCCGAACGCTTGGGAAATGTGGATGGGGCAACGGGCAAAGGAGAGGTGAACGGAGTAAGACGAAGCGGTAAGGAAAAAGAATGAAAAACACGCAGAGTCGCATTGTCAGCTGACACTTAGACTATTGGACTTGTAGGGAGAAGAGGCCTTGCACTCTAGCATTTGCGCAACAGGTTTGCATTTGATGATTTGATGTCGGTTCGAATTTAGTCCAAGATTTGAGTATTTTTTCCAAAAAGGGGGGGGTCACCTTGTCCAAGCTTTGAATGCTTCCAGAGCAGCCTGTGGGAGGTACAATTGGCTTCCATGAAACTGGTGATTATCACGACCCACTTGGAACATGCGCACAGTCCACACTGGCGTCGTATCCGAGAAAGCCAGTGGCGTGAAATTGCTGAACGCCTCAAGGCTTGGGACATGATGACACCATGGGATTGTGGGATACCAGGATGCCTCAGGATGTTTTTTTTTGGCCAATTTTCCGACAGACCCAAATTGAAGCCTGGTGGTTGCCGGATTGCACCAACAATGACAGGTGCTCAAAGATGACTATGTGATTCTGCTAGGATGCTGGCCAGTGAGTAGTCAAAGGTTTCGCTGGTTGTTTTCCCAACTATTGGTAGTGCATGTTTTTTGATCGTAGAAGCATGTTACAGCACGTCCACTAAGGAGACTTCAACGTTTGCGGAGAAGACTTTGGTCGAGTTGCTTGGTCAGTGGTTTCATGTTGCAGACTTCCTGCTTATCAACATGAGTGCATTGCATTAGTTGCACACTAAGTCAGCAAGAATGAAGTGCTGGCAATTTACGTTGCCTGTTTGATTGTTGTCGGATTGGTTTTGTGAGAACCGAATTCCCAGGAAGCAACAACAAGAACACCAAGAACGACAGAAAGAGGAACAATGATCAGCCACCAAAAAGAAGAAATACATGAGCAAGATGGAACAAGAAGGAACAAGAAGTTGTCGGAGCAACGCCAAGAAGAAAGAAAAGCAGAAGAAACACAGGAAGAAGAACAGCAGCAATTGCTGCTCTCGTCGTCGTCGTTGTAGCTGTTGTTGTTTTTTCATGTTTTTTCTTTATTGTTTGTTGTTGAATGTTGTTGATACTGTACGCACTGCAAGGCCTTAGATGGCGCAGAGGAATACCATGCGCTGCTATCCAGCATGGCGAGGGCTGGATTCAGCCATGAGGGTTTCCCTCGCAGCAGCGGTTCAGAAATGCCAACTCTTCGACCCCAAAACGATGCACCTTGGCAAAAGGTACTAGTGCATTTTTCAGCGTTCAAAACGATTCTAACATATTCTAACACATATGATTTTATTCTATTTTCTTGACACTTGCTGTCAACCTGTCAGACGATGCTGAACTTTGAGCGAGACTAAAATTGCACAACATTTTCAGAAACTGATGTACAATCAAGAGAGTGACACGCACATTGCCAGTTGAGCAAAAAATACTACCATTGGCCCCAATAGGGGGCAATCAGCATGGGTCTGTCTGAAAATGAGGGATACATGGGGATTTCAGGATACCTTAAAAGTGCGATTTTAATGGGAAAAGGATAATTCTTGGGCCCTATTTTCAGACAAACCCTAAGACTTATTTCAAAACAACCATCAATGCCTCTTGGATCAGAAAAGGACCCACAGAAATTATCACAAGCTAGATATCGATGGCGATCATCAAGGCTTGCACACTGGTCCCAGGGACACTGTTCCGTAGAGGTTTGTGGTGGAAACTCTTTGTTTCATGACTATTGTTTGTGAAACTATATAATGCTAAGACATACTAGGACCCATTCAGAACTTCAAGTTGTTGCAATTTTGTTTGAGACCTCCACTAGCCGAGCGCTTTGATGCCAAACAAATGGATCTCTTTGCACGCTCAGGGCAGTGTCTTCATTTTCAGTTTACACATAGATACTTCTTTGAAGCCTTGTTCAGTGGGCTGACAACATGCCTGGGCTCATCCACTATTCATCCACTTAGATGTTTAAGTTGCCAGCGATTCGCTGAAGGTTTCGCTTCGATCTTCACCGGATCACATTTTTGTGTCTCCCAAGCTGAAGCATCGCTCCTTGACGGTTGCCCTTTGGGATATGGACCACCTGGAGCAGATCCATTCTGACCACCGGGCGATCATGGCAACATTCAACGGGTCGAACGCGACTTAGTGCAGAACGGACCTTGCCTGCCGGTCGTTGAAAGACACAGCTGGTGCTTCACCTTTCCACGGAACGAGTCTTGACGGCAAAAACAGCAGCAGTTCATGAAGTCATCGCGTGTCCAAGTGCTCCTGGAAGAATTGAGGAGGTCAGTGTGATCAGGTAGACTGTTTGTTTCCCTGATTGCGGGTGTCAACACAGTTTCACTATATCCTTTGCACGTGGCAAACCTTGAAGATATTAGATTGTTGAGAACATCATACATGTTGCCTGTGCTCATCGATTTTGCAGAGATACAATTTGACGACCGTACTACTATTTGCGTTTATGCCTGCGGCTGACTGCGCTTGAGCAAGCTGTGGCTGAAATGGTTAAAAAGAGCTGTGGGTGCCAATCCTTCCTAAAGGATTCTTGGACTTTGTTTGATCAGGATCATTGCAACATGTTTTTTTTTTTCAGTACACCTCTTGCAAATTCTAGACTCTAGGCTCTAGACATTTCCAAAAATCACTGAATCACAATACATATATATTATATATATATATTATACATATAAAGTGCGATTGCTGATCAACATGGCTTGTCGCAATGACGGCAACTTGGATAGACAGTCTAGCTTCAATAAGCTTTTATTTCAGAGTAGATGCTGTGCTATATTGTGGTATTAATTCCAATTCATCCAATTCATCCAATTCAAATTCCATGATTCTCCAGAAAGTTGCGGAGAAAAAACACCCCACCAAGGCTTGGGTGAACATCGGGCGCAACGGTGTGTGGAAGCCAAATGAAACCGTTGCGATTTAACGAGTTCTGCCAAGACAAAGATGAAGTACAGCCCGTACCTGAATTCGCTGGTGTGTTCCAGATATTGGGTATGGATCAAAACCTAAGGCCTAGGGGACCACGGATTTTGGTCAGTTTTTGTACCATCCAACATTCAGGACGTAGCCAATTTTGACCCATATCCATATTTCCACATTGAGATCTTTGCTCTTGATGTGTTTCCGCTGGTGTAAATTGTAGCTGTCATATGATAGAAAATGTACACCACTGGTACTACAGGGCCAAGGTGATGTGTGTTTCCTGGTGGAACCGCTGGATCCAGTGAGTTTAGCTTGGGATATCTTGGGATATCTTGGAATCCTGATTTGAGAAGAAACTAGACTCGTTGTGCATTCAAAGCTCCAACTTAAACCGCAGCCTTTTCATGGCTTTTAATCTCCTACTCTTGGTGTCGTTGGAGTGTAGCTACCAATAAGTGCTGTGGACCCTGCTCACAGGTAAAGTACATAACAAGGTACATGTCCGTGAATTTGTTGCTCGTTCCAAGGTGCCAGCGGAGGAGGCAAGTCTTGTGCAACATGCTGAAGTTTTTTCTGGGGGTGGTTCAGTAGAACCAGGAAAGTGGTGGATACTTGTTCTTGTGGTGCTGGTGCAGCGGCGGCAATGGCTCTCTTGCCTCAAGATACAGTATTCACGAATGATCACAGATGTAGGATGTAGAAATGACACTCGAGATCATAGATTGAAGCAATAGCCACTGAGTGCGCATTGGATTGATGTACACACACACAGACTTTCCTCATTTTAGATCACTCAAGATAATCATGGATAATCCATCTCCAGGATATGGCCAGATGTGTATCTATAACATCCGTGTTTAGTCTTTCTCACCAGCGCGTCACTTGGCAGATTCACATTTCATATGACGAGCTGACTGGATCCTTGGGTTGGTCGCATGCTCGGCAACATTGCTCTGGCCAAAAACATGGTCAAACCTTAACCGTTCTTTGAGTATGGTTTGGACATCATTCCTGGCAATCAAGCAGAAAGCTAGATCAGCCAGGCTTTCTGGGACAGATACTCAAACTTCAGTAGCATAGGTATGGTCAAGTTGCTTTGTAATTTCTCTCAACTCTTTCACAAAAAAACTTGAAGCTCCGGCCACAGTGTAGCAATTTCCTGTTTGCCGTTTCAATCCATATTTTCACTTCCCATCCCGACCCGCGGGGTCATCCCCAATTCCCCAGTAGCGTGGATCCCTCGCCATTGTGCCGCAATCGCTTAGGTTGGATCTTCCAGAGAGTGATCGTCAGATCCGAGGTCAATACCCCTATTGGTGGGGATGACTCAGAGGTCCTGGACGTTGTTGCGTAGTATCGGAGAATTGCCTGGATACCCAGGCGCATTAGCTCAGTTCCTCCTCGGAAGTCGGTAAACGTGGGGGAACTCAGAATCTAAGAACCAGACATGACACGAATTTGTGATAATTTTTGCTGTTTTAGCATGGACACATCTAGAGGTTTTGAGCTACTTACTGGCTGCTTCCACAAAGACTCTTCACCGATACAGGATACACGTGTTTCTATCTCTTGGCTTGAGGCCTTTTCTGGTTCTTGTTGTCAATCCTCTGTGGCGGTTACATTCAGGTTGAGACTTCCACATGGGCTACCACCAAAAAGGTCTATGTAAGGGATATGTATTGGAATGGAATATAGCTCAAAACCTGCAAAAAACGAAGGTGACCCTTTAAAACGAAGGCAAACCTTACAACTAAAGTTTGTTGATAGATTTCCATTTGAGCAGCGAACGTCAAGAATGGATAAGAATGGTGTATCATGGAGTTATTGTCGTTTGGTCTCTACCTGTTTTCCCTTGTCTTCCTTTTGTTTCCTTTCTTGCTTTCATGCCTTTCCTGTGACAGTTTCTGTTGGCTTCCTTTCCGCCTTCGTTTCTTTCTGTTGGTCCCGTTTGTTTTTTCCTATCTTGTTTTTCCTCCTCCTGCATTTACATTTTGTCAAGTTTCTGCTTTCCGCCTGCAAGTATTCTTTTCATCCGGCGGTTTTGTTTTCCCGTCTGGTTTTGCGTTCTGGAACGAAGCCAAAACGAAGGCATGTCATGGCAAAGCTATACGGGAGTGCTTTCTTTGCACATGGCATGACATGGGTGCATAGTATCGAGTACTGTAATCACACGGAACATCCTAAACATATCTTGAAATATCTTGAAATATTTCAATCATTGTGACAGCTGACGCCTTAAGATTGGTTCCGAACGAGGTTTACACCATCTTTTGGGACTATGCCAAACCAGGCATCGTTGCGCAGAGGCCATCCCTGCCCAGCATTTTCTGTCTGAGCAAGAAATTTGTCAAACTTGGAATGATTCTGGAATTATTTTGGATGATTTTGGCAACACTTAGAATTGCTACCAATTCTGATTTGCGCAACTAGAATCAAACGGGGATGCCAGCTACACTCCAGCGATCTGCAGGGCTGATCTCGATTTCTCGGAACTATAGAGGACGTAAACATGGTTTTCCATTGTTTTCTGATGTCTTGCAATCACAAGTGCTTTGTCAAGTTAGAATAACCTAAGAGGCCTAAGAGGTTTGGCTACCAACATAGCAAGATGTGTGTCGATTTGGCAATACATATTCATGAGGCTCAAAATTTCGCTGATCTCTATGTTCAAACATTCTCACCCTGTAGGTATGTGAGGCAGACTTCAAGTAACACCAAAGGACAAACTTTTTGCTTCTTGTGTGTTGCTCATTTTTTAATCCTGAGAGGCCATACTCAGGCTACGCTACAGATACTTATTGCCTGAGCCTTCTGGTAGTTGACCTATCTGTTGGAGCCCTGCCTTGCCTGCAACTCAGCTTTGCTGCAACGCCAGCATATGATATTCTGGGCCTACTGGGTCCCCTTGCTTGCAACTTTTCATCGGTAAGGAATATGAATGAAATGCCTGCATCATCCTGAATCGTTTGCCCTCGAACTGAGGTGCAGATTGGAATTCTGAAGCATTACTCCCCTATTGTTCGGTGCAGGCATGGAAAATGTGACATGGCCCTTGACCACGGTCTTACCATTCGTGAAGTAAACATGTTTGAAAGGGTTGATAACCCAGCATACGAGGGACTCTCCAAGCTTCAGAGCGAATTCAAGCGGCCTTTGGCAGCTCGTTCTATGGCACAATGGCAGACATCCCTCATACTGTCAAATTCAACTGTTGGTTTGCGGATGAACTCATTTTTGCTGAACATCACTCGACGCTGTTCGACGATGCTCCTACAGTGATTGGTGTCGCAGGTGAAAGTAAGGCAAAGTCCTCCTGGAGCCTTGGTGAACATGCTGGGACCTCATGTTTCGGTCTCATTGTCCACCAACTGGCCAGCAGGCCCCTTGCTGGTGCAGTGGCCCAGTTGTGCCCTGTTGCATTGATCGGTTGGAAATTCTGCCGTTTCTTGTGGCTAAAACCCCTGCTGTGCCTGGTGTGCAGGGTAGGGATCATTGGAGATCCGTGCCAAAGGGGCAAGCACGCTCTAGACCGAGGCCCTTTCTGAAGGTTGGAGATATTGTGTCCGGGTCCCAGCTGATCTCAGAGTTTGCATTCATTATTGGGGAATTGAGCGACGGAGTGTTTGGTCTGACTTATGGCCAGCTTTTCATCAGTCTCTTAGCAAAATGCTGAGAGACAGGAAGCTGTCAAAGAAACATGACAAGGAAAAATCCGGTTTCAGCTTCATATTGGGCATGCCATTTGTAGCTTCTCCGGGTCCAAAGGTAAACCGAGACCGAGTTCGCCTAGATATGAACTGCCACGGGGTGAGGCGTGCACACCGGTTCAGCGCACAGAGAAAGAAGGAGCGCTTTCTCAATCTTTGGTGGAGGACTGCCCGCAGCGTCGCACTTGCCCAGGGTTTCCATTGGGAGTGACCCGATGTTAAAAGGAAATTTCTGGCTTTTCAGAGTTGCTCATTTAATCAAGGTAACCACTACATAGTAAGTCCTATAGAAGTCTTGGCATACTGCTGGGAAACCATTTCTCCAGTTTCAATCATGTTCAATGTACTTTATTCTTAGGCATGCCAGTTGAAGGAAGGGTCTTATATGAGTCTTATGACACCTCGACATGCCTTGAGAGGAGACACTCGAGTATTGCAGTAGCAAACTCTGATCAGCAGGCCACAGATTTTGGATTTTGGATGAAATGCCGGGAGGGTGAATGGACAATGGCATGCTACTGATCCGAACTTTCGATTTTTGCCCCTTAGGATACCTGTTGTGGTCCCAAGGAATTCCATTTCTTTAGGATAGTACAATTATCTTTAGGTGAGTGCAGCAATATTCATATTTCAACATATTTTTCCATCATTGGCAAGCCAAAGAGTCAAGATTCCCAAGATGATGCGGGCAGCTCAAGCCGCAGACTCCCTCTTTGCACTGGATTACTACTGTACATGACCATTGTGGCGTTACGTTATATATGTTTTTTTTTTTCCACTATGGATGAAAGCCGCAATGAACCAATATGCTGATCCATTTTTATCCCTCCCAGAATGTTCTGAGAACATCTTAGAACTGTTTGTGGGAGGCAGACTGTTGACTAGACATGGTGCCGTTGCTCAGGCTCACCTAAAAGGCTCAATCTCTAGAGACATGGCAAAACAGTCGTTGCTGATCCACAATCTTTTATGGCATGTCCTCATAATTCCGCGGGATAAGAATTCACCATCCAGTCTTTTCATCCATCATATGGCACATTATTATTATTATCATCACCAGTAGTACCGCACAAGGCGGTGGCGGAAGTTTCAAAAATAGGAAAACTATAGGAGAGGTTGGTTGTTGTGAATCACGGATGGCAGAGCGAATCCCCTGATGAATCGAAAGGTGGTTGGAGTTGTGTTTTTAGAGTGGTTGCAATGGTTGCAGTGGTCACCTCACAAACAACTGCTGGATGTAGTGTGGTGTAGTGCAGTTGTAGCTGTAGTGTAGTGGAGTTGTAATTGTAGTGTAATGTAATTAGTGTAGTAGTAGTTGTAGTTGTAGTTGTAAAGTAGTGTAGTGTAATGTAGTGTAGTGTACTGTCGTTTTGTGTACTCTAGTGTGGTATAGTATAGCGTAGTGTAGTCTAGTGTAGTGTGTGTGTGAAGTAGTGTAGTGTCGTGTGGTTGTAGTTGTGGTGTAGTGTAGTGTGGTGTAGTGTAGTGTTGTGTAACGTAATAGTCGTAGTAGTCGTAGTAGTATAGTAGTAGTAGGAGGAGGAGTAGTATAGTAGTCGTAGTAGTCGTAGTCGTAGTCGTGGTCGTAGTTGTAGTCGTCGTCGCCGTCGTCGTCGTCGTCGTCGTAGTAGTAGTCGTCGTCGTCAAAGTAGTAGTAGGAGGAGGAGGAGGAGTAGTAGTAGTAGTTTTTGTTGTTGTAGTTGTCGTTGTCGTAGTTGTAATGTATTTTACTGTAATTAGCATAGTGTAGTGTAATGTAGTTGCAGTTGTATTTGTATTTGTAGTGTAGTGGTAGTAACTATCTATCTATCTCTCTCTCTCTCTATCTCTCTCTATCTCTCTCTATCTCTCTCTATCTCTCTCTATCTATCTATCTATCTCTCTCTCTCTCTATCTCTCTCTCTATCTCTCTCTATCTCTCTCTATCTCTCTCTATCTCTCTCTATCTCTCTCTATCTCTCTCTATCTCTCTCTATCTCTCTCTCTCTCTCTATCTCTCTCTATATCTCTCTATCTCTCTCTATCTCTCTCTCTCTCTATCTATCTATCTATCTATCTATCTGCAAGCTTGAAAACGAAGCTATTCTTCTGCGAGACTTCCTCCATTTTCGAAGGTGACAACATGAAAAACGAAGCAAGTCTGCGAGACTTCCTCAACTTTTGAACTTGATAGCGTCAAAAACGAAGCAATTCTGCGAGACTTCCTCAATTTTCGAAGTTGGCAACATCAAAAACGAAGTAATTCTGCGAGACTTCTTTTAATAATGGAAAGTTGAGTGCAGCGCTGATGGCCTCGTGCCAATGCGTTTTGCGATTTTTCCACTCCATCTGTCTAAAGTGCTACGCCTGCCAGGCAAAAGTGGTGCCAGGTCATACGAAGTGCTGCACCTGTCACGCAAAATCATCTTAGCAAACCTGAAGATCTGATGCTCCAAAATGCAACCTCTCTCAGGAAATCAGCGGCCTGACTTCCTAACATCTCTGATGAACATGTCTCTTGTACTGCGCCTGCCACGGAAAATGTATCTTTACAGATCCTCTTCACATGTTCCACTCCTGCCAACGCTTTTGAAACTGCTGCAAAACCCTCACGTTTTGCTCATTTTTGACAAGGTGCACAATCCCCTGCGCCTGCCACGCAAAACGACATCTGAACATCCAAAAGTGCCCCGTACCCCTCAGTTTTTTCGCACTTTTGATTTGGAAATGTGCTTCGCACCACCACGGCGTGCACTTTTCCAACAGCGCAACTTCCAAAAGTGCTCCGACACTGTACATTTTGACTTCCAAATTTGCACGCCGCCACGACGGCGTGCACTTTTTCGACATCTCAAGTTCCAAAAGTGGTCCGACAGAGGTTTGTTTTATGCATTTTGACTTGGACATGTGCTTCGCGCCACAACGGCGTGCACTTTTCCATCTCTCATCTGGCCACATGTCTCCGCACCCGCCGCTTTAGCGAGTCTACTTTTCGACCCTCCGGAGCCACAAATCACTGGAAAAACACATTGTTTCGCGACTTTCCTACCTTTTCGCGCACCTGCATCTTCTTTCTTCTCACTCTTTCTCTTCTCTGATCTTCACTCTTTCGGCTCTTCTCCTCTCTGACTCTTCCCACCTCTGCTTTTCCATGTGTCCTTATTGTCGGAAGTTTGACTTCCAAACTTCCTTCGACTATTTCTTTACTTTTTTTTGCCACTATATAGTGCCGGACTGGAACTTAGAATGAGGCGCCCGGGTTCCAAACGACGATACCCCGAACTTAGAATGACTGAAAAAAGGCCCCCCCGAGTAGCAACTTAGAATGACTCCGCAGTTAGAATGACTGAAAACCAAAAAAACATGGAAAAACACAGTGTTTTGGGAGATTTCGGACATCTTATGGAAATGCTTTGGATTCCACTGATTAGCCAAATTGGCAGAAATCATCAAAACATGTGGAAAAAAACAAAAAACGAAAAAAACAAAAACAGTGGGGTTTTGCATTATACAATATATGCATGTATCTATTTTTATATTTAGATATTTACCTGCAATCACCTGCAGTCATTTTAAGTTCAGACCCTCCCCAATCCATTGACCTACTGTCTGCCTACCTATTTATCTATATGTATATATGTATGCATATTTGATTTTATATTTATATGTTTACCTGCAATCACCTGCAGCCATTTCAAGTTCAGACCCTCCCCAACCTATTGACCTACTGTTTGCCTACCTATTTATCTATATGTATATATTTATATATATGTATGTATGTATGTATGTATGTGTTATTATATTTATATATTTACCTGCAATCACCTGCAGTCATTTAAGTTCAGACCCTCCCCAACCTATTGACCTACTGTTTGCCTACCTATTTATCTATATGTATATATATATGTATGTATTTATTTGTATATTTATATATTTACCTGCAATCACCTGCAGTCATTCTAAGTTCAGACCCTCCCCAACCTATTGACCTACTGTCTGCTACCTATTTATCTATTTATATATATATATGTATGTATTTATTTTTATATTCATATATTACCTGCAACCACCTGCAGTCATTCTAAGTTCAGACCCTCCCCAACCTATTGACCTACTGTCTGCCTACCTATTTATCTATATGTATATATTTATATATGTATGAATTTATTTATATTTATTTAGGTACCTGCAATCACCTGCAGTCATTTTAAGTTCAGGCCCTCCCCAACCTATTGACCTACTGTCTGCCTTCCTATTTATCTATATGTATGTATATACATATGCATGCATTTATTTTCATATTTATATATTCACCTGCAATCACCTGCAGTCATTTTAAGTTCAGACCCTCCCCAACCTATTGACCTACTGTCTGCCTACCTATTTATCTATGTATATATATATAATTATATATTTTTATATTTATATATTTACCTGCAATCACCTGCAGTCATTCTAAGTTCAGACCCTCCCCAACCTATTGACCTACTGTCTGCCTACCTATTTATCTATATGTATGTATATATATATATATGTATGTATGTATTTATTTTTATATTTATATATTTACCTGCAATCACCTGCAGTCATTCTAAGTTCAGACCCTCCCCAACCTATTGTCCTACTGTCTGTCTGCCTACCTATTTATCTATATATATATAATATTTAGGTTCGAAACCACATACTGTCTGCTCGTAGCATGTTGGTTGTTGGTTATTGTTTAGTTTCTTATATATGAACGCGCAGATAAGTCAGATTGATTATTACTGATGTTGTTTATATTGGATTCGAAATAATGAAAGGTGCTCGTTTTTTTTTTTTTTTAATATACTCAAAAGCGTATCATGTCGGCTGAAATTTGGAAAATTTTTGAAGACGCTGACTAACTATTATCACAGGGGTGTATGGAGCTCAAAGGGGCGCCTAGGTTTGTTACATGAAAGTGTGCTGCAACGAATGATTCAGAAATAGAAGAAGTCAAAATTACTGGATTATAAATGGAGGAAAGCATAACAAGAGCAAAAATTGATGAACACCGATGATGAAACATGAAAAATGGATGGAAATGGATAAAAAAATGGATGAAATATGGATGAATAATGGATGACAGTGGATGAAATTGGGTAAACATTGATGCAGAAAAGAAAAAAGGATGAAAAATGGATGAAAACTGGATGGAAATGGAAATATAGAGCATGCGTGAAATGATTTTATAAGAATTGATGAGCAGGGATTAAACAGAATTAAACTTGATGGGGGAAAACAATGAATAATGAATGGGAAGTGGATAGAGATTATGGATGAAGCATGGATGAAGAACAGATGACAATGGATCAATATGGCTGGAAATTAGTGCAGAATGGATGAAGAATGGATGAAAAACGGCTGGAAAAATGCGTGGAAATGAAAAACAAATGAAAAAAAATGGATAGAAGATGTTCAAAAAAATCATTTTCGAAGGATTTTGGACTACCTTCCACAAAAAACAGCACTTGGGAGCCAAACTTGGAATGACGGGTACTTTTGCTATTGTGGCCAAATTGTTTTTGAAAATCAGCTGTGTGTCAGCTGTGCGCGAAAACCCATTCTATGTTCCGTGTCCCAGACCTGTTTTGACTGACAGGCGCGGTGTTTCGTAACATTTCAGTTACTCATTCTAAGTTTTCCAAACGAAAAAAAAGTTCAAAAACGTGGGATTTTGGCCCCGCGCGTCGAAACGGCAACTTTTCGGATACCCCCGGCGATTTCCAAAAGGTCATTCTATGTTCCAGTCCGGCACTATATGCCACATCGATATAAGCATATGATCCAACCACAGATTACCCGCTGCATAGGCTGCTCCGACGGTCAGAGATTTGCAGAGTGTCACAGCGGACCGAAACGCAAGAGCTGGGCCAATGATATGTTGGTGTTCAAACCGATTTGTTTTGAACCGGTTTTTTGTTGCCGGGTCTATTCATTTCTACAACATCTATACTGTGGCATTTCTAGTTGTTGGTGTATCGGTGATATTTCTAATTTCTGGGAGCCAGCCAGAAAAGGGGCATGAGGTGCTTGGTGTAGCTTTGGTTCAACGATGTTCAATGCACATTGGGAGAGTAGAAGACAAGTTGCCGGTTGTGGCCATGATCGATTATATACCTCTTCTGTGTATTGTATATACATATGCGCATTGCTATACACATCTATTCAGGACCGGAACGATCGCGAACTGTAGCGATTCCCTAATTATCCAAGTCCTTGTCAAGTCACTAGAATCGTTGTCGTAGCCGTGACTTTGATTTATTTCTGGCAACGAGAATGGTTTCCCATTTCTTACCGCAGACGAACATAATTTTCCCAGAGAAGCAAACAACAATAGACAACTCTATGGCAAAAGGATTCGTGGAAACTGCAGTTTTTTGAGTTCGTGAAATCCACAGAAACCGTGATCACAATGAAACGTATGAAGTATATCTGCCTACATGTATGCACTATATATAATATAACATAATATAATATAATAATATAATATGATATGATATGATATATATATTATTTTATGTCATGTTATGTTATGGCATATTATGATTATGTATATTTGCGGCTTCCAGTTCCAGGCTGTTTCACCCAGTCCACTCCAGGACGAACAGCCAACAGCAGTGGCTTCGGACAATACCACCATGTCAGAGCTTTGGAACTTCATTAGGAGCTGCGTGGTATGGCGACCCAGTCATTTTCAGGGGGGAAATGCGGCTTTAAACCACGGGGCGGAATAGGGTAAGCTGTTCTAGATTGACTTCGAGTAAACTGGAACACCAAGGCTCTATTTGAAGAAATAACATGCAAACGCTTGTGTCACGACTGCTGAGTTGTGTGTTTTCTGCTTTTTATGTTGTAAACCCCTTGGCATCAGATCTAACTTTGATCCGGGATGGCAGGACAGCGCTCCAGGACCCGGCCCAGACCATCTCCAACTATTTGCAGGGAACCCAAGTGTCATCGTCTGATATCGTCTGTAGATCTGTGGCCGCAGTGAAAATATAACCAGATGACAAATGAAATTGAAGTCAGAGAAGAGGCCAATCAAGTCGCAGAATATGAATATCAACAATTGTAGACAGATTTAGGCTATTGCGCACGGTTTGTGAGGGAGTTTTGGTGATTTGATGTTTACGAGAACTGCTATCCATGTTCGATCTAACAAAAGTTGAAGTCTTTGGGCTAACTATAAAGAGTCAAGTTCTTGATCGACATCAGGAACTCCTTTCGAAATGTTTGGCTGATCTGATTGATCTTGTTGCCTGCTCAGCATCACAGGACCACGAGTGATCAGCTCACCTTTCAAACGACCGAAGACATGGTGGTGCAGGTGCTGAATCGGAATCCCATGGGTTTTGTTTGAAACCATGGGGCTGATGAAATCGAGACCCACACAGATGAAAATCCATTGGAAAGGAAAAAACGTATTATTTAATTAACAACTCATGATGAAACATGCAGAAACAGATTCCATTGTCATGCATTGTCGCTTGGATCTCAGAATATCTCAGGGTCTCCTGGAGCAGGTTTTGGCCCTGGATCCCTCTCAGAAGGACATCTTGGTCAGCGACTGGTGCGATGCTTCAGCTCGCTTCATCCTGGGATCTGCCGAATCCACAAATCTATGACATGATGAAATGTATCGAAGTGTTCACTTGGAAATGATCTTCACCCGTGACCCATAATGCCATATGTTCAATCTTTATGTCAGATACATTCAGATACATTCAGATATATTCAGATACTTTACCTATTTTTATCTGAAGATGCCTTTTTTGTGGTCCTTGCCACCGACCCACCGGCCACCAGAGAGTGGTCATGGATCCCATTGCCCACTCCAAATTGGAGGTTTGGTCCGCCTCTGCGTGTGCGGGCCAAGACACCCCGGCTGCACTCCTCGTGGCTCTTCCAGCGACTGCAGCGGCTTAGTTGGAATCGAATGGGTGATTCGACATGATGAATTTGATTTGCATGGTATGTCTAAGCATATTATATTAGCATATAAGCAGCATATATTAGCTTTTTATTTAGTGATATTCATTATAGATATGATGGGTAAGAGAGTGTTCCATGTAGAGAGAACAAACTTTTCCAAAGGCCGCCCTTCCAATGAATGTTGTTGCAGATTAATCACGCTCCTTCACAGGTTGTGGAAGCCAGTATTGACTTGGAAGTCACAAACTTGCTGTAATGTTGCCCTCGTCACTGCGTCTTTTTCAGTCACAGCAGCAACCAAGGAAGAATCAATGGTTGAAACTGCGATGGGTCTTCCTGCCGAATTGGGAAAATCTTCATTCTTCGGAATCCCCGCGCAGAAAAACCATTGGCCAGGTGAGCAATCAGCCCAAGACCGACGAGGAGCTGATTTTTTCATGAAAAAACGATGCCACCACAAGAGTTACGGCCCGTAGGGGGTAACAATATGTGACAGTCCGGCCCTCTTTTAGGTCGGTGAATTCAAGAGAAAATATACCCAGAATGTTGTAAGGGATTGCAATTTCAGCTTCTAGAATGCCCTGTTGGATGCCTCTGATGCGTCCGCGTATCTACAATTCTGTTATCTGAAGCAGCAGTTTTGCATGCGGGCGGACGTGGTGCCACATCAACAACTGCTCTGGTTGGTTGTTCTTAGCCATTGCGTGAACATACAACATCATACAACCTGTTTCATGCTCGATTGCAGATCTTTGCTTCATCCAAAGTGCACGCTCTTGTCGAATTTCCATCATGTAAGTACTCTATGCTTTTGGTATTTGCCGGATGATCGGCTTTAGTGGTTGTGGCATGTTGTGGCTGTGAATCCCATTCAATGGGCATGAAATTGGCCAAGGAACGGTTTTGCGGTAGAGGGAAATATGAGTAGGGACCTTGCGGAGCAGCGGTGTACAGCAGACATGACACAGACGAAAGGAGGAGGACGAGGAAACTCAGCAGGATTCGCTAGAAGGCTTCGGCAATGGTGTACACTTTCGATACTCTGGATCTAGAGTCTGAATCAAGCTGATACTGTACATTGGTTTGAATTTCTTTCTGTACAAGATATCGCTCTGCAACTTTCTCCGGAATGTGTGCAGCAAGACGTGCCAATTGTAGATAGCTTCCCCTGCAGACGGTGGCGTGGACCTCTATGTCTTGGCTTCTCAGGCAGGAGTGGAAGCAAGCTATGGCTAGATCCCTTTTCTTGTGTCATTTTGTTTCCAAACAAACCTCCCTGAATTCACGGACGCACAAAATCACACAAAGGCGAAGATTATCGAAGATTAGCCATCAGCGCTAGATGATTTTCTTAGCTCAGTTGACTCAGTTGATTGGCAATGCTGGCAGTTATTAGGTACAGCGTGGGGCAGGATTGGGTGTCTGTGCTGGGATTCAGTAGCGCCACAATTCTAACGTTATCCAAGCTTGGATTCGTCCCAAGTACATACAGTTTGTACCGCACAACTAATATACATCATCAGTTGTCAGTTCTTATCGATTTTACCTTGACACCATGTTGCCTGCAGATCACTGCGCTGCCATCGTGGTCGATCTCTCAGTATATCTGTGGACACTGCTTTGGCATTTGTTTGGCATTGACCAGTCAGAGCTTGCACCGGAGGACCCAAAGCGCATGCAATTTTTTAAACTGAATTTTATCCTGGCCTTCCAAGACCAGAGAAAGAATGACTCAACTTAGCAGTTGACATTAGTTGACAATCAATCAGACATTTAGGACAGCCAAAAAGACAATGCTGCTTCCATCAAAAAACCACTCACTGGTAGATTTTTCCTCAGAAGCTCCTGCAGGTGCAACGATGTGGAAATTCGAGCCGCAAGGTGTCGCAGTGATCCTGACCAGGAGGTGCCAAGGGAGGTTAACCGGGGCGTTGGCACAGAAGTGGCGACCTTATTTCGGGGTGTCGAAAGAGAATCCGCACGAATCCACAGAATTTTCACCATTTGACCAGTCAAATTGCATGCAATATCATGATTATCATGCAATTCAATTGCACTTCTTCATACTTGTTCAGGGGTGGCCATGTATTCGAGTCAGTGTCGGATCTACTTGGAGGAATGTTTTTGATTTGTTTGCTGCGGGCCCAACAGTGTAGCAGCAAAATGGTATGTGCGGCTTGCGGTGGAATGAATACAGTATCCATCTTTTTCAGATCTCCATTGATGAGAGTGCTCTCATCTGGCCGATGTGTTGGGTTTCTTTCTGTTTGCAGAAGACGTGCAACATGTGACGAGCCAGAAGATATTTCTTTGGATCACGAAGCAAACCTTGGAGTGGGACCTTTTTATCTCCAGAATAATTGGGTCACATCCAGAAAGTCCTCCAGGGTGGCATTGCCCATCCCACCCAGGATGCAGCGCACGACATGGCTGACCGGTTTGAAGCTGAACGCGGTGTGGCGGCTGTGCCCCCACGGCCGCGGCCCAGCGCAGTGCCAGCAGCGCCTGCAGCGCCTGCAGCGCCTGCGGCCCCAGCAGCACCTGCGGCGCCCGCTGCAGGGGCTGCAAGGCCAGCCCCGTCAGCAGCACCGAGCTATGGGAATCCGTGGGGATACCCAGTACTGTACCATACTGTACCCAGATTGGGAGCTCCATGGACATTTTGACATATTTTGACCTGGGAAAGTTGATGTTTTCCGATCTGTTCTGGTTTCACTCCTTTTGGACTGTGACAGCTGACAATGGAATACCATGAGAGTGATTTTTTCTGACGCGATGACAGAGGGGCAAGAACATGGCACATATAATGCCAATGTCCTGCAGCCAAGGATGCAGGAGGTTTGAAGCTCAGACAATCTTGATTGCTGGCTGGGCGAGAAGAAAGTAGTGGGAAGCTCCAAATGCGGCAAAGCAAACTGAAGTGACCTCTTTCTGTTTGACCCCTGGCATCATGGAAAATCACATAACGCCTTTATATCATATCCATAGTGACTATAGTGGCAAATATCTTTTTCCATGCTGGCACGCTTGACCGCCCAAAGATTCAGAGCACAGCGGAGCGCTGAGGTTGGAGATCAACAGGTCATCAACTGGAGCAGCCGCTGGGCGCAGGAGTTGCAGAAGGCAGTGAGGAACAAACAGCGGAGGGGCCTGAGATACCAGATCACTAACATCAGAGGAGAAGAGTTACTTGGCAGCAGATGAGCCACGACCGGTGCTATCATGTGCACCTCATGGCTGCGGGCAGTTGCCAACAGCTTTCGTTGAACAAGTCATGCCCAGGCTCCGTGAGGTTGGTGATCCACCTGGTGAGCTGGTAGACGTGCCACTAAGAGGAGACTTTCCGCTTTGCGTTGCAGTGCGTCGCCCAAGTGAGGTGCTGTGAGATGGCCTGAAAACAGCTGAATAGTAGATGCTAAAATACTAAAGAGACGCCAACAACACGTCAAACCAATCATCACATCACACCTTTTGCTGTGATTCGTCTCCCTGAACTGCGATTTTCATGATGAGGGCTCGTAGATGAGGATTTTCAGCCCTTGAAAGCATTCGCAGAATCAAGGTATCAAGAAGTTACTGATGGTATTTGCTGCCCTGATATTTGCTACGCGGCAGGTGTCAGAGATTTTCAAACTTCAAAACACTGTAATGAACCCCAACTTGAGATCACACTGGTAAACCTTTCGCAGGCTGCTTCGCTCACTTCGCCCAGAAGGAGACGGGAAGCGCGAGCAGCACCCTCCCCATCCGCAGCCCTTTGCTCAGCATGACTTGCAGTAATTCTTTGATGTTTTGGTTTTTCTCAGAATACGCTATGCGGATCTATGCGGGATGCAAAAGAATGGACATGAGAATCATTAAAGACTTAAAGAGAATGACATTGTTTTGATGATGGATATGGCATTAATATGCATTAATTATAATATCCAATTATATCCAATTAATATCCATTATCCATGGCATTATAATCAGGATTTTTTGCCATGGATATTATAATGCCATGTTTCCACGGGGACGAGGATGATCGGATGGCACTGCCTCCCCCCGGGATTCGTGATTCACTGAGGCCCCTGTCGATCCCAGGACAGTCCAAAGAGCAACTTGGGCAGCACACGGCAGCACGCTTTTGACGGCGCCCAAAGCTGTGGAAATCCATGGAAATCCATGGGAAATCCGTGGGAAATCCATGGATAATATGGATAAATCATCATGATATGATATCTCGCGATTATATCAAAGTGGCAATTTTGGAAGTGTACCTCATTTCAGCTACACTCGGATGAACCATGACATAGATCAGCTCGTGGTCCACTTGGTAGGCACATTGAGTTGACGTTGAATGACGTTGATAGGTTTGCTATCATGTGCTGTCTCTGTCGTTCTGCTGTCGTTGTTTTTTTTCTTCTAAATTGATGAACAAACATGAACAAACAATCTCAAAGAGTTTATCACTTGCCATCCTGGTCTAACCTCTTGTCGTCATGTCTAGATTCAGTTCCATCCTCTTCATCCTCTTCCCGATGACCATGGCAGATCAAGCAATGAAACGTGATGTTTTATCATTATCGCCTCTCATGGTGCCTTGACAGCTTTCCACATTTGAAAGGTAACATTCGCAAACTTGATTTGAGGAACAAAATATGTACAGGAAACATCTTATTTGATATATTTGATGGTTGAAACCATGGTATCCAGTGGATTTTCCTATGATTCTCCATAAACCAACCAGATGATCTCCAGAATTGGCAACGCCTGCATTTCTCCACAGGCTGCCAAACTCAAGAGTGATTTTGGCGACGAGGCGCCATTTTTAGTAGATGATCATATCCTATATCATTTTTTTTGGGTGTCTGAAAATGGGGATGCCCATATTTTACCATTTTTTATAGTACCCTCTGGTAAACGTTTACATAACTGATGGAAAGATCCACCATGTTCAATGGGAAAATCCACTATTATTATAAATGGCCATTTTCAATAGCGATGTTAAATTACCAGAGGGTAATTGAATGGGGAACCTGATGATAAATCATGGGATTTGGGGGACCCATGGGGACCCGATCCTCTTAACTAGCCGCTTCGCGGCTAGGAACTAGCCCGCACTTAAGGGGAGACACGTGTGTTTGGGATGTGCCACGAACTGTGGCAGACATCTTTTTCCAAGAAACTTTGGTCGGTGCCAGGGAGGACGAATCTCTTTCTCTGATCCTTCTCTTTCTTCTCGACATCTTCTGACCATTGTTTGACAGACTTCAGTTCTGATACTCTGCATTTTCAACCCTCAAACAACTTTATTCTCTTCTCTTGCGCTCGGCGACTTTGTAGCAGTCATGCACTTTCTCCTGCGATAAGCAAGGCATTCGACTGGCCGGCACAGCCCCAACTTGGCAACACACGGATGTGAGTCAAAATCTAAGGCCCAAGGCGTCACAGGTGATACAGTTTTGGTTACCTTTGGAATTCAACGATCCATTTTTAGGTACCCCAATTTCGACCCACCTCAAACTTAGTACCTGGGAATCTTTAAGGGAAGCTTTGAAAAGGGGGACCGTCAATTTTAGCTGGGAATCTCTGGTGATTCGTGGTTAGTAGGTCGGAAAAATGGGTGAATCTCTTCTTGGCAAGCCCATTATGAATGACCGCAATACCCATAGTTTAACTAGCCAGCTTATGAACCAAATGTGCTGGGAAATTCTAGAACGATCTCACACCCCAATATTTACTTTGCATGCACTGTCACATTTTTTTTGAGATTCTAGTATATTATATATAATATATATATATATATTCATATATTCATGAAATTCAGCCACCTAGAAGTGTAGCCCTAGGAGAGGTGAAATATTTTTCCTTGTCAAGACAAGACTACACAGGCTAAGTATGACCAGCCCCTTCGCGAACAACAGGTATAGATATAAGAATATTATAAATTAAAATTTCCTTGCAAACAAGGGTTGAACTATTTCCAAGGGTCAAGAGATCATGGGTATTCATGGGTTATGGGTAGAAATTTCATTTTTGAACATCTTTTGACAAAAAATATTTTGAAAAAAAAATATATTTTTTTTATTCCAATACCTTGAGAATGAACCACTGAATGTTTTAAACCTGATTTTGGACATAATTTATGGGTCGAAATTTCATTGTTGAACATCTTTTGACAAAAAAAATGCAAAAAAAATATTTTAAATTTTTATTCCAATACCTTGAGAATGAACCACTGAATGTTTTAAACCTGATTTTGGACATAATTTATGGGTAGAAATTTCATTTTTGAACATCTTCTGACAAAAAATATTTTGCAAAAAAAAATTCTAAATTTTTATTCCAATACCTTGAAAATGACCCACTGAATGTTTTAGAACTGATTGTGGACATAATTTGTTGATAGAAATCTATTTTTAAAAAAATATTAAAAATATAAAAGTGACATTTCTCATTTTGCATCATTTTCCCCGTTGTGGTTCTCCCGTTGTGTCTCCCTGTTGTAACACCCCAGGGCTCAGCCATGGCTCCCCAGCTCCGTGCCCTCCCCATTTTGGATCCCCGTTGAGGTTTCCAGCTCTGAGCGCTGAACCCACAACGGGAAAAACACTTTTTTTTTCCCATTTCCAAGCTTCAAAGGCATGTCGCCTTGCTGCTATGCACACTCTCTAATTAGAAAAATTCGGCACAGGGTTGCCTGAAAATTGTTTCGGCTTGTCAGATCATCTGGGTTGATAGTCGCGGCGTTGGGCGATCAGTTGAGGACTGACTTGAGGGCGGGCCGAGTAGTTCCAGCGATGCCATGGGACCAGATCCATGAAGGTCAGTCTCTAAGGGGATGGATCAGGGAGGCAGCCGAAGCGGGCTCCGAAATTAGGGAAAAACACAACGGGAGACAACAACGGGAAGAACAAAAAATGCAAAGACAATGGGTGAAACAGTACATGTTACAATGGCTGAACTCAACTCAAAATGAGAAACTTTTAAGAAGAACATTTTCATAAATAGGCATATCTTATTATTTTGGGCCGAGAGCTCGGGGTCTCCCCCTTGTGTCTTCCCGTTGTTTAAAGCATTCAGTGGTTCATAAATATCTCCATCTATTTCTTAGACTTGTTCATCATTTTTTTGAGTGTTTCATGGCCACCCTCTGGTCAACTAACATAACTGTGGAAAATCACCATGCTATTCATGGCTCCTACTTTGTCCAAAGACTTTTTGCGATGGATCCTACTTTGTCCAACATTAGTTTGCGATGGATCCTACTTTGTCCAAACACTTTTTGCGATGGATCCTACTTTGTCCAAACACTTTTTGCGATGGATACTACTTTGTCCAACATTAGTTTGCGATGGCTCCTACTTTGTCCAAAGACTTTTTGCGATGGGTCCTACTTTGTCCAAACACTTTTTGCGATGGATCCTACTTTGTCCAAACACTTTTTGCGATGGGACCTACCCAAATCCATCTCAAAATGCTTCAAGTGAGACTGATAGGAAACCAAGGACTTGTCTCAAACAATTTGGGGGATTTTGTGCCATCTGTCTCAAATGGATATGGTAGAGATGCTTTTTTGAAATTCAATTTTGAGATGGATTTGGGTGAGACTTATCTCAAAAGCATTGCTTTGGACTGGCAAGCCTTTTCAGACACATGTCCACTACCAATACCCCTAGTACTGGCAGGCTGTGTTTGAGATGGGGCCTACCCAAATCCATCTCAAAACCAAACTGTTGCCTAACACTCAAAACCCTAGAGTTTTGAGACAAATCATGTTAAACCTTGCTAGCACATACCATGGCCATAGTTAGATTTGGCATCATTTTGAGATGGATTTGGGTAGGTCCCATCGCAAACTAATGTTGGACAAAGTAGGATCCATCGCAAACTAATGTTGGACAAAGTAGGATCCATCGCAAAAAGTGTTTGGACAAAGTAGGATCCATCGCAAAAAGTCTTTGGACAAAGTAGGATCCATCGCAAAAAGTGTTTGGACAAAGTAGGATCCATCGCAAAAAGTGTTTGGACAAAGTAGGATCCATCGCAAACTAATGTTGGACAAAGTAGGATCCATCGCAAAAAGTGTTTGGACAAAGTAGGACCCATCGCAAAAAGTCTTTGGACAAAGTAGGAGCCATCGCAAACTAATGTTGGACAAAGTAGGATCCATCGCAAAAAGTGTTTGGACAAAGTAGGATCCATCGCAAAAAGTCTTTGGACAAAGTAGGAGCCATGAATAGCATGGTGATTTTCCACAGTTATGTTAGTTGACCAGAGGTGGCCATGAAACACTCAAAAAAATGATGAATAAGTCTAAGAAATAGATGGAGATATTTATGAACCACTGAATGCTTTAAACAACGGGAAGACACAAGGGGGAGACCCCGAGCTCTCGGCCCAAAATAATAAGATATGCCTATTTATGAAAATTTTCTTCTTAAAAGTTTCTCATTTTGAGTTGAGTTCAGCCATTGTAACATGTACTGTTTCACCCATTGTCTTTGCATTTTTTGTTCTTCCCGTTGTTGTCTCCCGTTGTGTTTTTCCCTAATTTCGGAGCCCGCTTCGGCTGCCTCCCTGATCCATCCCCTTAGAGACTGACCTTCATGGATCTGGTCCCATGGCATCGCTGGAACTACTCGGCCCGCCCTCAAGTCAGTCCTCAACTGATCGCCCAACGCCGCGACTATCAACCCAGATGATCTGACAAGCCGAAACAATTTTCAGGCACCCTGTGCCGAATTTTTCTAATTAGAGAGTGTGCATAGCAGCAAGGCGACATGCCTTTGAAGCTTGGAAATGGGAAAAAAAAAGTGTTTTTCCCGTTGTGGGTTCAGCGCTCAGAGCTGGAAACCTCAACGGGGATCCAAAACGGGGAGGGCACGGAGCTGGGGAGCCATGGCTGAGCCCTGGGGTGTTACAACAGGGAGACACAACGGGAGAACCACAACGGGGAAAATGATGCAAAATGAGAAATGTCACTTTTATATTTTTAATATTTTTTTAAAAATAGATTTCTATCAACAAATTATGTCCACAATCAGTTTTAAAACATTCAGTGGGTCATTTTCAAGGTATTGGAATAAAAATTTAGTTTTTTTTTGCAAAATATTTTTTGTCAGAAGATGTTCAAAAATGAAATTTCTACCCATAAATTATGTCCAAAATCAGGTTTAAAACATTCAGTGGTTCATTCTCAAGGTATTGGAATAAAAAAATAAAATATTTTTTTTGGCATTTTTTTTGGTCAAAAGATGTTCAACAATGAAATTTCGACCCATAACCCATGAATACCCATGATCTCTTGACCCTTGGAAATAGTTCAACCCTTGTTTGCAAGGAAATTTTATTATAATACAGAATACATATGTAATAATATTGTTTAAATATATATTATAATTGTGTATATAATTATGTGTTAATATTATAAGAATAGAATATTGTAATATTTAATAATAATGGTAATATATAATAATAATGATTGTAATATATAATAATAATTGTAATATATAATAATAATAGTAATAATAATGATAATCATACTAACAACAATAATATAATAACAACAACAATAATAATCATAGCAATAATAATAATAATGTCAACAATAATAGTGATAATAATAATAACAACAATAATAATCATAGCCATAATAATAATAATGTGAATAATAATAGGGATAATAATAATATTAATAATAATAATTAATAATAATAATAGTAATATATATATATATAACAGATTTGGATGCGTTTTTGCAACATTATTTTTTTGGCACGGAATGATATCATCCCCTGTGGTCCGCTTCCACTTTCAGGCCAATTTGCAACCCATCAGTTCTGCCTTGGCGCCAGATGCAGGGGCCTTGGGGGTCATACCTTTGATATTGCAGCGTTGGAACATGAGATCAGAATTCGTCGGAAATTGTCAGATTGCAAAGGTGTAAACAAGAGGTTAGTCTTTATCTGTTTTTCTTACACTACATTCATGCAGTGAACATCGAAGAGATGTTGTTGCTCACACACCCATGCATATCTTGACTAGTTGACACTTGCTTAGCTAGCTTGGATAGAAACTCCTGCAGAATTTGTGAGGACGAAGCATTTTTTTTAGAATCTTTTTCTGATACCCAAGAGAACACAGTATCCTTATTCAGAAATAGAATCGCTGTAAGCCATGTTTGACCACGTCACCCAATGGCAGGCTCCAGCGAATCTGCTGCTTGGAGGATTCCGACTTGACTGGATCTGTGGCCCTGACCCACGACACACCTCGGGCCAACCTCCCCATGCGGAGGTGCCGCGGTGCAAAGGTGGACCACTTTCATTCAGTTCCACAGCATAACATATACTTGGATAGACTTGGTAGATATATGTAGATATTAAAACACATCGAACATCAACAATTACCGAGCTTATTGTTTTTTTTGAACAATGGGGAGGATGTCATGACTCATGGCCGCCATCCTTTGGGGATTTGACACTTTCCAGTTTGACACTTTCCAGATATTCCTATTTTTAATCATGTTTCCTCCTTCGCCAATCTTTATCACTTTTTTCATATTGAAAAGCTGAAGCAAACTCACAGCGATCAGCTGGACATGGGTTGAACCTTTGGTTTGCCGGACGCCTTCAGATCAGGACCTGATCTCTGTGACGTGTCGAACCTGTGGAAGTCGATTTAGCTGCGAAGAGGGACGACGCATTGCAGCAGGTCGGATGTAGCTCTGGACTTTTCTTGGGGGTTGGAAGTTCATAGAAATCTATAGAAATCTCAGAAGCTGATTTTCAAAATGTTGGTTGCTTCCAGATTCTGCCAAGCCTGCTATCGCTATGATGGGGAAGTTGTTGCACTCTTTGAGAGCCCCTTAGATGGGGCTTCAAATTTGTTGATGTGCTGTGAGGCTGTGAGGGTTGTTCTCTTGGAATCACAGAACCGCATTGCGCATGTTTAGCAGTATGTCATACTTCTTGCCTGTTTTAGTTCAGAATGTCCAAAACGCCTCTAAATAAGTCTAAAGAACTCAGTGGCTGGCATGAGACGAAGAATTTGGATTGCAAGCACATCCATAGTTTGGACATAAAGTTCCAGTCTGTCCTATTGCTATGCCAATGTAAAAAGGCACGGAATAGCACATATGTACTTCTGGAGGTGTTGCAGACATTTCACTTGTAGTGCGCTTCCACAAGGGGCCTGTTTGCAATAGCATGCCTAGCTTGATTTTCCGTACAGTCGACGTGAAGCACAATGGTTTTATCAACAGTATCCATTATGAGTGTGTCTCAAGATTGTGCCCTACTTGACGGCAACTTTGGGCTTAGTATATCTTGACAATATATGTTAATATATACAATTATATATATAATTGGTTACAGTATATAATTATCCTATATAGATGGATAATTTGATTTGTTTCGGATATAAGATGCTGTAAGATTTATGGCTGGACAGACCTTGCCCTCAGAGGTGAGCCACAGCGATCTCGACGTCGCACAGAGGCACGGGGCACCATTCTGGAGACGAAACCCTTGGATCGCTTGGACTCAACAGAGGATGAAGGATGGATGACTGGATGAGGAAGGATTTCTTGTGATCCAAAATGGTTGACCCAAAGACCGACAATGCCTTGGATTGTGTACTTTTGCATCTTTTGCATACTTTTGTAATTTGACACGGCTGTTTGTGAAATAGACTCTGCCCAGACATGCGAGGTCGCTGTTGAAAAGGCAACGATTCCTTTGACTCCAAATTGGCCGAGTGAAGTGGAACGCTGGCTTGAGGACGGATGGAGTTGCATTGTCACATAGCTCTTGCTCTCCAGGGTCCGATTCGGGGTGCTCGTCCACTGGGCTTTCAACGGCAGGAGGACGGGATCTTGATCCGCACGCGGCGAAATACTCCACTTCCAGAACAGCCAGAAGTGGCGGATTTTCCCCTGAGCGTGAAACAGCGACAGGTCAGGGTGTTGTGACGGACACAAGTGTTGCTAGGAAGGGAGCATCTCCACTCCACTGTCATGTTACTTTCTTTGTTGAGCATCCCAGCAAATCATTTGTTTTCAGTGTCTTAACCCCTGCCGCTAGCAAGTTGCCTCACGTGCTGGAGCATATAAGCTTCAGAAAAGCAACGTGTCACGTTGAACTGTTCTATTGAGTCCCACTGTGTGGCGGCTTCAGGTGCGAAGTGAGCATCAGATGCCTTGTGGACACACGATTCCGGTTTGGAAGTATCAGGCAGCGACTTGTGAACGTTGCGCTGATACCCTGAGAAATTTCAATGCAGGAGATCTCAATGGACTCAAGTACAGTAGTATGATAGGGATGATCGGGATGATCGGGATGATGATGCGGATGAGGATGAGGATGATGATGACGATACTTATACTTTTTGCTTTGGCAGGACAGAGTGTTTGGAACGTGGAAATCACAGAGAGACATACACGTCCTGGCAGCTGTTTGCTGGTCAGGACCAAGAAAATCGTTTTCGGGGATTTTCTTTCTGTCGTTTTCATGTATGTAGCAATCCAGTATTGTTTGTTTGCATCCAGTCATTCTTTTATCAGCGTCGAAAGTCAATTTACTTGGGTTTTGGGGCCCTGCAAAAAACTGTCCAAAGCAAGAACTTGAACTTAAGCGCCAGTTTCAGTTGTTTGTCGCAATGTGCAGTGTGTTTTTTTGCATATACTGGTATTCTACAGTACCTCCATGACCACGCACCGTGATATGTCAGGAGTCAGGAGTCAAGCAGTTTGACTACCAAGATTCTTTTGCATTTCTGACAAAAACTACTTAAATCTACCAGTCTTTTCAAACTAGAAGTTTATTCTGTTCTTACTTGGAAGAACCTGAAAGACGAATCTTATCAACGTAGAGACCAAGCTTTTCCGTTGTACTCAGAGCTAGGAAACTTCAAGATTTCCAGACTGAGCACCGGGAGCACTGGCAGGGATTGATTAAACTTTCTGATCCCCGCAACGCCGAAACCTTGGCGCTGGCCTTGGCGAAAAGCCATAGGAAACACAGTGGACTGTGGATACGTTTTGTTTAAAACCATGTTTAATCTACACATGCTCACTATATCTCACTATAATCACTATATCTCACTATAATCACTATAATCACTATAATCACTATAACAAACACCGAGTTTGAAGCAAACAGATCGCCATCGCCAACTGTCTGCTCAGGTTGTGCTCTTCGAAACGCGCGAACAACTCTTTGGCATGCATCCAGGCCAGCACCCTTACCCTTCACCCGAATCTGTGACATCACAAGATATCACAAGGATCGTCAACGTCAAAAGAGAAGTCTGAATAGAGAATTTCTTGGCAAATTTCGATTGATCTTAAATGATCTTAAATGATCTTAAATGATCTTAAACCGTAGAAAAAAGTGGAATCTCCTGCATTCTCAAAGTCTCTATGAGTCTCTATGAGTCTCTATGAGGAGCATGAGTTCAGCGTCAGTTTTCCGTGGTGTATGGTAGTCGTGAAGTTCAGGTCTATTTTGCAAATTATACATTATTTATACAGATTATACTCAGATTATAATCAGATTATAATCAGATTATAATCAGATTATACATTATTTTTGGTTGAAAAGCATGTCAGCTAGGACTTTGGCTCCAGATATGTGAATCTTGGAAACCGAAGTCCAAGGTCAAGCAGCACTTGACGAGACCTACAACCGCGAGTTCCAGGACGCCATAGATGTTGGATAGGCTCTTCTAGACAGGAAGTGGTGGGAATGGGCTTCTGTTAGATCTCAGTTTGAACATGGAGAACGTTGGAGATGTCAAAAGGTCACTTGGAACAATCCAACAGCTCGGCTCTGCGGCGAAGGAGAAACTGATCGGACTCTTTAGGGAGCTACCGGAAGGACAGCCAGGGTCTTGGAAGTGTTACTGTGGATCACCATTCCTCTATGTATATATATATAAGATCCTCCACCCACATAGAATATGGAATTGAAATTTTGACTTCCCCGGGCATCCCAGGAATTGAACTTGAAAAACGATACTTAGAATATCTTAGAATACAGTTGACGTCAAAAAACCTATACTTAGAATACCGTTGGACCTTTCTTTCACTTTTCCAGACGAATTCTTCATTTTTTCCATATATGTTTCATTGTTCTTTAAAAATCCTTCACATTTCCATGCAAATTCTTCACATTTCCATATTTTTTCCATACAAATTCTTTCCCTTTTTCAGTCAAATTCATCATTTTTCCATATGTTTTTCATTTTGTTTTTCAAAATCCTTCGCATTCCCATACAAATTCTTCACTTTTCCAGATTTTTTCCATATAGATTCTTTCATGTTTCCAGACAAATAGATAGGTATGTTTTTCACAAGGTGTTTGGTGACAAAAATCAAAAACTGGCAGGGTCCCCAAATTGACCGATTTCTTATTACTTTGTGTACTAAAAATAGCATTTGTATGAGCACAAAGTTATCAATCAGTTGTGGAGACTCCCACACTTAGAACATCCCAAGACATTACAACCTATAATATATATATATGTAAATATTGAAACTGATCTATTGACGCAACTATATTTATTTGAACACAAAGTTATCAATCAGCTGTGGAGACCCCCACACTTAGAACATCCCAAGACACTACAACATATATATATATATATGTATATATATACACATATTTTTATAATGATCTATTGACATAACTATATTTATATGAACACAAAGTTATCAATCAGCTGTGGAGACCCCCACACTTAGAACACCCCAAGATATTACACCATATATATTTTTATAATGATCTACTGGCATAACTATTTTTTTTGGAACACAAAGTTATCAATCAGCTGTGGAGACCCCCACACTTAGAACATCCCAAGACACTACAGCATATATATATATATATGTATATATATACACATACTTTTATAATGGTCTATTGACATAACTATATTGATTTGAACACAATGTTATCAATCAGCTGTGGAGACCCCCACACTTAGAACATCCCAAGACATTACACATCTAACTGATTTGGCCTCATTATGTTCTAAGTGTGGGGTTTCTTGATGTTCTAAGTGTGAGAGTCCAAAATTTTGGAAAACATGACGTTCTAAGCGACAGTCCGGCACTATATTCCGATTGTATCCTATAGTGTCATTTAATTTTTGATTAGACCCTGATTCTTGGACATCATACACCAATGTTTACAAATGTTGTTTGGGAAGTTCAGCTATTGCGATAATGCGAGTGTCATTTGTTCCCTTCAACCGAGTGTTTTTTAGTGATTAGTGACCACATAACACAGCTGGAACATGGCCATGTTGATCCCCATGATTTCCCCATGGTATCCGCATCAGCGGCTAAGGTTTCATGTTCTGGCGATGAGACGACAAGGAAGTGGAGCTGGCGGTGGTGATGTGAGTGGAGGCAGCCAAGACTGTCACAGAAATATACAGAAATGAAATTTGATTTATTGGATGAGACAAGCTGGTGAAATCACTGGATTCTGGACCTAGCATCCTTAGCATCCCATGAGTGAAGAACATGTGAGAAGTTGGCGGAAGCAGCCAGTTTACATATTAGTTGCGCTGACACCAAGTACTGTAGGACAGAGACATCAGAGTATCAGAGGATGCGTTGTAAAATCTGTTGCATTCGGATGTGGATTCATGTCATCGCCCATCGTTCTGGGTTGTGTCTGCAGGCTGGATCTTGGAAGGAACTTCAGTGCAATGGTGTGATGCCTAAGATGTGTCAGGACAGGTCAACGTGTTTCTTTTAATGTCCTCCAGTCATTGAAGAAGGTTCACTGAATATGGAAATCAAACAAGAGCATTCTCATTCAATCTCAAATCTTTCAAGGCTTCCATTCTATCGCATGTGCATGAAGACAGTTGCACAGCTCGCAATTCTGCCTTGCGCTCAATCTGCAGGAGCATAGCTTCATAGAGATGAGGGGATCTGCATAATTTGCCCCATATGCTGTGTGCCAAGGGATATGATTATGCGCTGCTTGTCTATCGCGACAGGAAAACAATTCTTAGATTGCAGTGCAACTTCACTCGGAGTCGCAGGGCAACGGAATTTCCTGATCGATTGCCTTTTCTGTGTACCATATTTTAAATGGGGACAGGTCCAGGTGGGTGCAAACAGCACCATCGCGACAAAAAATGAGAGGCCTCGGCAGGCTTGGCATGTGAAACCTCCTTAACTCGTTGAGTGGAGGTGAGCAAGGCAGTGCTCTATGATTTTCTCATGCTGAATCCATCTGAATCCAGGCTTTAGTACAGCATTCGTTTGAATTGTGCCTGTGGGGGTGCACTCCGAACATGGCAGTGGACTGTCAAACATGACCTTCACATGCCCAGTGAAAATCATCGAAACACGCATGTCAGAGAGTTTTGTTGTTATTCTGTGGCCCAAGCTGGAATGCTAGGTTAGTAACGGTTAGTAGGTCGGAAAGACATGGAAAGACAGCCGGCATGTCAAACACTCACATTTGGCCGTAAAACTAGACGCAGCTTCATGAAAGGGTGATCTTTTGCCAAGGTGCTGGTGAGAATAGAGCTTGCACTGAAACAAAGCTTACAAGGATTTTCAAGGGTACTTTTGACATGTTTTGTCTGACTGTTAATGGGTCGTAAAAATCATCCCACATGGTAGGTTTATCATTGGGTTTACTACATTATTGAAATTCCACCAGAATTGCTTCCCTTGCACTGTTATCTGGCTTCAAGAAGCTGCTGAAACTTGCTGCAATGGCGGGTCCTGATGCCACTCAGGCTCGTGCGACGGCAACCATTGGATGTTTGATGCTGCAAATCCGAGAGGCTTCAAGAATATTCTTGACGAATTTATAAATACTGCATGTTGAGCAATTATTTCTCACCAGATGTTTTGAACTGGTTTGTAATATATCATAATAATTGATAATATATCTACTCTCACCATTGCTTTGGAGTTTCCAAGAACACTGTGGATCACTGACGCCTTCGGCCTTTGTTGAATCTGGTTGAGCTACATAGAATCCAGCCTGGAGATCCAAGGAGTCAAAGCGGATGGTTTGGCGTTGTGTTTACAACGCCGCCGTTTCCTGCACGATGAAACTCGTAGAACTTCCCACTGCACGATGCAATTCTGATCATCTATAATTTGTTTTGTACACCAATCAACTAGCTGTCTGACTACTGTACTCCGTATTACTACATGTTGACATATGTGCCCATATGTTATCGATTTTCCTGGTGATTTCGCATTGGTTTCACATGGCATCTTGGGCGAGCTGTGTGAGGCAGAGGAATTGAAACGCCAGGGCACAGCAGCATATGCTCAGCAGGACGGGTAAATGCGTTCAACTGATTCAACAGGATTCAACAGGATTCAACTGGGCAGTGCTGCGCCAAATGCATTGAAGCGATTGAAGCAATATGTCGGCTGACGATCACCCAGGGTGCTGTGTTGAAATCCACCTTCTGCTATGGTTTTCCTTGTCAGTTTCTGCCAGTTCCAGGGACTGACCTCCTAGAAGTATTTGTCTTTGGTCAACGTTCGAGTTTATCATAGTTGAATTCCGTAATATTCCGTATAGTCAATGGATTGGTTTAAGGGAAAATTTACAGGAAAGCCCCATATTTAATGGGAAAATCTATAGTTTCCTGTAGATTTTCCCTTAAACCAATCCATTGATATAGCAAAAACAGATTTACTGTTTCAGCACCCCTTCCGAGGCATACCCTGTCAGCATATTGTCCACATGGCTTGGAGGATTGGGCAGCTGCAGCTGAACACTACACAGCTGCGCTTGAGTTGGTAGCTCAGAATGCTCAGAAGAGGAATCCAGTTGCTGCAAGTGAGGAGATGACCCATCTGTCTCTCTCTCTCTATATATATATTATATATATATATATTATATATATATTATATTATATATATATTATATTATATATATATATATTATATTATATATATATATTATATTATATATATTATATTATATATATATCATTCGCATACGGTTGAACATGGTTGCTTCATGCAAAAATACAGCTGATACAATGAGATACAATGGGTGTTAGTGTTCCACGGCTTGTTTCACGGCCTGTGACCTTTCAGAAGCTCCCCTTGTCGACTCATCAACGTTGCACTTTGGGCTCGGGAGAGTTGGACCAAAGGGCGGTAAGACAAGGTGGGTCTGGGACCTGGGATGGCTGCACCACCCGTAACCCTTGTGCTTCATCATGCTTCATCATTGTCTTGTATACCCTCTGGTAATCTGTTACATAGCTATTGAAAATGGCCATTTATAGTGGATTTTCCCATTAAAAATGGTGATTTTCCATAGCTATGTTAAATTACCAGAGGGTAAATGAGTTGAAGGGGCAACACCTGGATCCAATGGGCCCAATGGATGTTGGAATCTCTGGACCTGACATGACCTGACTCCACGGCTACAACTCGAAAGCCACTGCCGCCACTGCCCTGGAAAAAGCACAACAAGTTGAACATCAGCTTGGTCTTGTCTTCTAATTAATATAAGATATATTGTATACTGTATGATATATAATATACATATATTGTATTGTTCATGGATATTCATGGCTGTTGTAAATAGATGTAAGTAGCAATTTACAGTGCTTCATGTCTAACTATGGTGCCAAATCTTCCAGCGGCGCAGGGAAAGATGAGCTGGTTTTGCCGATGTCGAAGGCTGGGGAGTCGATTCCAGCAGGATGAAGCAGACCAGGAAAGACTAGGAAAGTACAACTGGATGTCGATGTTACATTTTCATATATTTTCATACATTTTCTATCTATAGGTCTAATCTTGAAGATTTAGGGTAGCCATGCCGAACCGGAGATATAGTGTTTGTTTGGAATTCGAAGTAACTTTCCTTTTGCCCAAACTCCTCCAAGACTACGTTCAGAGGGTGAGGGCTACGAGGCAGTCCTGACAAAACAGTGATTTAACTTGACTATGATACATGATCTGCTTATACAAAACACATGTAATTTTACAGCACGTGCCATCCATTTTGCACCCCCATAGTCAAAGGAGCCATGCACAGTTCAGTGGAGCTGAGGCGCCCTGAAGATGATCTTGTCTTTGAGTTGCCACGTGATGGCAGAGATGGATTCCTAGTACCGTGGCAGCGTGAAAGAGATCGACCTGGTGGAGTCTGGAACTTCTGTTCCGGATGTATTTCTAAAGGAACGGCCAGGGCCAGAAACATGAAACCGTCTTGAGGGGATGGCGGCAACGGAGAAACGCCTTTCACTGAGATAGGCTCTTGAGCTGTTGTGGATCGTTTTGTCCCCTTCAAGTACAAGTATCAACGTCGTTGACCTGCTGTTGATCCGTTGTTGATCTGTTGTTGAGATTCTGATGGCTGATGGCTTACGCCAAGGTGACTCCCAGTGCTTCTGGAACTGCTAGGAAGGCGCTGGTCACGCCGAAACGAAATCCCAGGCGGATGGTGGCAGCTTTTTTCAATGAATTTGCTGAGAACAAGGTCAAAAGTCAGACGTCAACAAAAACTATTGTCTTTGGAATCTCTCAGAAAAATAGGCAGCCAGTCATACTTCATACATCTTCATACCCTGTGCTGCGCGCTGTCATGGCCCTGTCATTGCGGTTGGTTTGAGTTTTCGGTGAGCAGGCGAACTCGGATCTTCGTGAGAATGCCATGTGGAGAGATTCTTCCAGCAGACCTGGACTTGGACTGGACCACAACACAGGCATCTGAGTACATCATAGCGACTTGGCATCGCCTGGAAAGCTTGGCAGCCTAATTTCGTGGAAAGGGAATCCTACCAGTCATTGCTGCATTCCTTTTCATCACATTTTCAACATCAGAAAAAATCCAGCTCCTGTTTCTTCGCGCGTTTTGACACGCAGATTTGTCATCGTTGCACCAACACGCTGTGAGGCCAATTGCAGAAATGTGGGTCTGGAAGGTTTGGAGAATCAAGGAGCAGTCTATGATCTTCGCAACTTGCATTGATTTAGTGGCCTTTGCACTACACTACACGTCCTCCGGGAATGCTCAGGAATATTCCCAGCTCAAACATGCTCAAACACGGTCAAAGAATGTAAATCAAACAGCGCAAATTGATGCAAATTGGTCTTAGAGAGGCGTGGGGTTGATCGGGTTCATGCTTTCTTTTGCTTTGCTTGCGCAGTTGTCCAGTTTCAAGAGACACATGATATTGTTTGGCCCGTTTTGAATTGTTCCTTTCCAGGGCCTCTCTTCTCAGAAATCTGGCATTTGAGGGGGTTAAATGGATGATCTGAGGATTTCGCAAACGGATCCTGCAGAGAGATTCAACTTTGAAAGATGCCTGGCGTGCATTGAAAACTGGGAGTCTGGCTCGAACTGTAGCATTTTTGAATAATTTTTGAACCCCTCATGGTCCAAAATTCATTTCTTGGAAACCTTCCATGGCATTATATTTAATACAATATACGTATATAATTATATGTTTATCCTAGTGCTGCCGAAGTAAGTGTAAAGTAGTGAAAAAGCATGAGGCTTAAACGATTCTATATCGAACTTTTACCTCTAGCCTTTCAGCGGACGCATCCAGTTCTGAGACCTCCCCTAGTCCACATGAAGTGGCTAGGGGGAGAGGAGAACAGAGAGGCCTGGTTTAAATTTAAATCTAAGCCAGGCCAGTTGTTGGAGGGGGCCGTTCGTGATGAAGGTGACCACATCCAGGGAACAGTCCTCATGGAGGTAGGCCCAAGGGCCGGCCACCTGGTCATTGGGCGCCACGTGAGCGCTTCCGATACCCATTATAGATAATGGTGGGCAACTGAAGGACCAGGGAAAGGCCTGAGCTCTCGAGATACTTACCATTTTTTGTGATGGGAAACGCTCATGCGTGTGATGTCAGGGCGGGACGGCAGACTGTCATTCGCATGGAAAAGTTCCGCCTCATTATACAGGAGGCAATTGATGCAAAGTCTCCTGGATGGATCTTTGGAAAGTCCTGCTACAAAGATGTGGGGCCCTATCTCAAGAATTTGCCACCCGAGCGGAAGGGCAGAGATCAGGATGATTTACCCTGGCTTAGCCAGGAGAGAGGAGAAGAGGACGGTGAGTCCGAGACCTCTGATGTAGAAGCTCTCAACGAGAAGATAGCAAGGCTGAAAAAGGAGCTGGCCGTGGCTGAGAAAAGAGCAGCACGTGGTGAAAAGCGCAAAGCCAAAGAAGGTGACAAGAAGGTCAAAGATAAGAAGGCCAGAAGGGATGACAAGAGGCGAGGAAGGTCAAGTTGCCGGCCAAGATCAAAGGATCCAAAGAAAAAGGAAGCCAGAAATTCAGGACAGAGGAAGAGGAGATCACATTCATTTGGCTCAGCCAGAGATAGAAAAGATAAGAGGAGCAGGAAGAGAGAACACAGCCAAAACCTCAAGCTCATGGAGAGGACAAGGTGAGCTTTTAGGGCCTCAGGATCTGACCGGTCGGAGACCGAGACAGGAATGACAGAAATTCAAAGAAGGCCGCAAAGATGATTCTCTTACTGTACTGACAGTCAGTTTTTTTTTGCGAAGCCTACGCTGAGAGCAGCGCGACAAACCAGCTGAGGCTGACCGAGTACAGTCAAAAGTGCCCAAGCAGACTGGCAGCAAGGATGCTACTGCAGATGCATCGAAAGTCAGCACTGCACTCAGTGAGGGCGAAGGTGGGAAGGAACCGGGCGCCTGCAGCAGCGGTCCATTACTATCAAACAATGATTACACAAGCCTCGGAGCGAAGCTAAACGTGGGCTCAGCCCGAGAGCTACGCACGGTCTGTCTGCACAGTGCTGGACCTGTTGGCACAACACAGGCCAGGCGGGTGAAGGCCCTGGAACGGTCTTGTCGAGAAGGCCAGTGGGGAGCGCACAATTCTTGGAGCTCATTCCGGGGGATCAGGACAGCTTTCACTTGCTGAGTGATGTGAGGCGCTCTAGCGCCGGCGCCGGGTGCCTTGGATGAGGTCATCATGACAATCGGATTGGCGCCGCTCATGGTGACATCGCTGAAGGCGGTAGTGGACTCGATGATCTACTGCTCTGATGCTTCGCCCTCCAGTGGAGGTGCCGTGGTAGCACACAAATTCAATAGGGAGCCCGAGACGGAGGTCCATCATGGAAGGGCCTGCTGGGTGTGCGGTGGACCCATGTAGGAGGGTTATGAGTTCCCTTGCCCCGCACAGTGCAGGGTGGCTATGTGCTCCCTTGAGTGCAGCATGGCCCATCGCAATGGACGCTGTGGAGGCAAAGGTCTGCATCCGGAAGGAATGGGCGTTGCCAAGGTTCGGACAGCGTTTCTCTGGCAAGCGAGGGCCATTCACTCAAGCGGTGGCCATGGTAGGAACAATAGATGTTCAGCAGCCGTACGACTGGCACTTCGGCCGCGATTTTTTTCACGCAACAGGGGAAAGATACCCTGCAGGAGCTCATGACAGATCCCTTGCTGGCGTGTGAGCACTGGGCACCGTGCTGTAAACCCTTTTCCCGTGCCAGACGAAAACCAACCAAGTCACCTCCCTGATGAAAGTCGTGCCCGGGCCAGAGGCGGTGAGGGACCAGCGAAACCTCATGGGGTTCAAACATGAAGGTGAGACTGCGTCATTCCAACTGCCTCAAATTGCTGAAGAGCCTGGAGGAAGCTCCCAACACCCAGCTGTATGAGAGCTGTGCGCATCCGAGAAACAGTTGGATGTGGGAATTCACCTTAGCAAAGGCCCTGAGGGCCCTGGGCTTCCAAAGCAGTATTGGAGCCCACTGCTGCTTCGGTGGAGAGCGCGAAAAATGGTTTGAGTTTCGCAACAATATTCCAGCTCTTCACCAGTACCTCAACAGGGCCCTGCCCGGGCCATCAAGGATTCCAGGGGTACTCAGTTATTGAGGATGAATGACACCGCCAAGGAGGAAGAGTACCCGTGGCTCCTGTGTAAAACCTGTGCGAAGGGGCTGAAGGAGCAGTTATGGCATTTTTTGCAGGATGGGCATTTTGCCCGGTCTTTCACCGGCAGCGCATCGAATGGTATGCCGCCGAATTTGAACAGAGCACTGAGAGGCTGAGAGAGGACAGAGACAAAGAAGTCGCCACCCGCTACTTGGCGGAGTGGGAGGTTACCTTGACTAGGGGAAGGAAATGATGCACTTGAGGCGCCTGCTTTCCCAAGCGTCCTACAGAGGTACAGATGTCCGTGCCTATGTCACGCTGGGTGACCCCAACATGGAGTGCCAAGAAGTGCCTTACCCTGCCATGCGGTGGGAGTGGAAAACGATCATGAGTTTTCCTTGGGACCGGGAGGCGCACGTTCAACGAGCTTGAGATGGCCGCCCTTGTCGCTGTGGTCAAGCACCGGAGCCGCAGTGCCAACAATTGTGGGCGCCGATGGTTCCTGGTTGTGGATTATATTGTCACCAGAAGAGCCCTCGCCAAGGGACGGTCACCATCTAGGCGTTTGAACCGGCTTCTCTGCCGGCAGGCAGCAACCCAGTTAGCAATGGACTCGTACCTCTTTCCACAATGGACCATCTCAAGATGGAATTTTTCTGATGCCGCGTCAAGGCATTTTGAAAAGTAAGAAGAGTCTACGCTATGCTGGGTTGCATGCCACTACATTGCAAGCCTATAAACGTGCCCTGTCCCCAATTCCTAACGCTCAGTCAGAATCATCAGTGCCTCTCAGCTAGACAAGTCGATCTCTCGGCCCTGAAACGTTTCTACCCTCAATCCAACTCAACCTCCCCCAATCCACCCACTTCTACAAGAACTGGATTAAAACTTATCACCCGGTGCGAGCTGTTCCTGCCACTTGGGAATTGACAGAAGCTTTCATAGGAGCTGCACTGGAGTTGAACCAACGAGCTATGGCTACGTTGGTGGTTTTGGGGTTTGTTGGAATGCCGCGAACAGCAGAGATGATGGATCTCACCTACCAACACTTGGTAGTGCACCCCAACCACCCTGATGGTGCCAGAATCCAAGACATCGAATGGCAATCCCCAGGTGATTTTGCTGACCGACCACCACTTAGTGAGATTAGTCCTGGCAAGCACGCCACGACGGAAGCTGACAAGGCGCATCTGGGCTAAATCACCTCAGGCCGTTCGATCGTTGTTTGATCGGCTTGTGCGCCGTCTAGGCTTCCCATCAAAGAGCTACGTGCCCTACGCTTTGCGGCGGGGTGGTGCTACGTTTCACTTTCTACAGCACCGTAGCCTAATTTGACGGTGCAGAAGGGTCGTTGGGCCTGCGCAAAGACTGCCCGTCTCTATTTGGACAGTGGCACATGCCAACTAGCCCATGTTTCATGGACAAAGGTCCAAGCACGGCGAGTGTATCAATACCCCCTGGAGTGCAAACAAGAGCGGCTGCGCCAGTAAAAAGGAAACTTGGACACTGAACAATGGGTGGTACTGGACTTTCTTTTCCCTTTATCGAAGGGTTGACTTTCTTTTCCCTTTATCGAAGGATTTGTGGCTTCTGCCTTACTGAAGGCCTCCTTTATCGAAGGATTGCTGACCTTCATCGAAGTGAAGGTTCCTTTGTCGAAGGATTGTTGACCTTTATCGAAGGTGTGTCTGCTTCCTTAAACTGGGATGAGCTTTTTATGTGTTTCAATGTGCCCGTTCTTTACCAACCATATGGTTGAGTAGGCTGATTGGCAAAGGCCTGTAAATGCCTGGTTAACGGCGGTATTTTTGTAGGGGTTCACTGCACATAAGTAGTTAGTAGTGTACAAAGCCCCTTCAGTAGCAACCATGAGGCACGCCGAAAAGAGGTGTTTCTTGTGAGATATTTTTCCTAGTGTTGCCGAAGTAAGTGTAAAGTAGTGAAGCGGCATGAGGCTTAAACGATTCTGTATGGAACTTTTACCTCTAGCCTTTCAGCTCACCCCCATCCTCCCCTTCACCACCGTTTGGTGTGTTTGTTCTGGGACGGGGATGAGGCTTTTTCAGTGTTTCAATGTACCCGTTCTTTACCAATCATATGGTTGAGTAGGCTGATTGGCACAGGCCTATAAATGCCTGGTTAACGGAGATACTTTTGTGGGGGTTCAGTAGCAGCCATGAGGCACGTCTGAAAAGAGGTGTTTCTTGTGATATATGATTATATATATATGATTATATATGTATGTTCATTGCATATATGAATCATATATTTCCGAAAAAATGCCAGAAACCCAACCATTGGTTCAACATCGATGATCCCACGTTGGATCCAGGGAGCTCCGTCAGCTCCAGGAAAGTGGCGCAGAGATTGGCAGCGTGCTGGGCTTGGTTCCTACAGAGCCAATGGCGCTTGAGGCGAGGCTCTGAGACATGTTTGGTGCTTCGGTTGCTGTTATTGAAAAACATGAAAAGGATGATATAGATGGGTGAAGAGATTTGAATAGAATTGAGAAGATGTGTGGTTCAGGGGAGAATTTGTTAAAAAACGCAGGATGTGTTCTACAGGCATCCTACAGGCCAGTGATACGCAGCACAGAAAGCACAGTGCTGCGACCCCTGAGGTGCCATCCTCGTGCTTCGAGCACAGTTGAGCATCCGCATAGGCTGTGGCCAGCCAGTGGCGCTCCATGCTCGAGGCAACCCTCGGCCAACCGTTCCTGCAGGAAGTCTCCACTTGCCGAAATATTGGATCTAGTATGGATTGATGATGATATATCATGATCTATCTACTTATCATCAATGTGTGTCAAGTTTATCAAACCCAACGGTTCTCGCCCATGTTGACCTGTTTTGACGTGCATTGTGTGAATTTTGGCCAACGTAGCTCATGAGGTGTGTGTGTGCTTGGCTTTCTGAAGGGCTTTGAGCCACCATAGAGCCGGAGACATGTGGAAACAAGATGAAAAAAAAAATGATAGGACTGCTGACGTTGCAGCAAGTCCGGAGCGTACGTGGAGCATTGAAAGCTTTCATCAATCAGGGACCCACAAACCATGCAACGATGAATCCGAATTTTATTAGTACCGATGGAGATGTCCGACATCTTGCAAATTGTTGCTGGGTCTAGATGGGGGCTGTTGGACCTGTTGGCCAACACATGCCAACACCTTGTTTGAGACAAATAAACGTGATGATAAGTTAAAGGGTGGTACGTTGATGCAGCAATGAAGATCCCATTAGTGGGCGTCATTAAGTCCAACGAAGGCATTTGCTGATTCAAACACATTGCAGTTTCCTGTCTCCTGTCCCCTTCGCAGTAGCCGCTTTGCTGATGTCGCGTCGCGTTTTTCACAGCCGGCCTTCGAGTGTGAAACACTCTGTGCAAGTCTGGCTGATCACTTTAAGTTTGACCAGGAGGGCTGATCCATTTGACTCATTCCTTGGAGAAGTTTTTGAGGAGCCACAGAGAATATAGAGAATATTGTAGAAGCTGGGGCTGTTGAAAGGAAGGTTGCCGCTAGTACTTTTATTCGATCTACATTAGCCATACAACATTACTGTAGTATCTTGTGATATTGGCTATTCTGCTACTCTTATATTAGAGTACAGTTATATGCCAGGACATCTCGAATCTGGAATGATTTGAGGCAAAAGGCCAACTGTCTGACACCAAAGCCATGTCGCTAAGTCCATCATTTGTAGCCCAAAGGCAACCAACTTGGTCTCGGGACCCCAAATCTGCAAACATCCAAAACTTACAAATGAATACATCCCACTGTAGATACACGTAGATACTGAATACCCGAATGAACTTGTAAATAGAAAAGCGCTCGAATAGCAAGGAGCAACTTCTCCTGCATTAAGATTTGGATGCCTTGTGTGTCAATTAGGTCTTGCTAGTTCCAGGCCATGGTGAGTGCAGCTTTTGGCATTGATGAATGACCAGATGTGTTGCACCACGCATGATCCTGAGATATCCTGAGCTTTTGGTGCGGGTCTTGGTAGCAGTAGACCATGCGATGAGATGGCGGCATATGGCGGCCATGGAAATGGCAATGGACATCAATGGACATCAACGGACCAGCTGTTCCATCAGAAATCCACATCTATAAATATGGGGCTTTTCATTTGATTGCTTCAGATAGCCGTGCTTGAAATTGAAATCATGTCGGACTCGCAACAAAATGGTGCTGATGCAGTGCTGTTCGCGGGTAGTTTGCATTAGACATGTCAAAGGCATGTGGCATGCTACCGGTCCAGCAAATTCATCACGTTTCGATGCCAATCGGGGTGAAAAAATGTGCCAATCCGGAAGGGTGCAGGGGCCAGGTGTGTGATCCATCCCTTCCGGATCCATCTGGATCCATAGATTTCTGTGGGGATGTGTGGGATTCCTATGGATTCCTGCAAGCTCTCATGGATTCTGGACCCAGGTGTTGCCCTTCGGATTCTGAGTTGGCGGTAACCTGTGCCTTGGCAACATCTTGGGAGTTGATGGAGGTGTTTCTCTTCAGATTACGGTCAACTATATGGAATCTTGCGACAAGAGCTGCAGGCCACAGGCTACAAGGGACTAAGGTGGACAGTCATGGACAGTCAACATGATAACATTGATGGAGGCCGATCTTTCAATGGGGAACTTTAGGGAATCGATTGGAGTGTTGACTGAATAGGCGCTTACTTCCACACGCAGCGCGACATGAATGTAAAATATGTAAAACGACTGACTCGCTTTGCTGTGGTGCAGTGATAAGGTCTCAACAATCGAGCTGCATGCTTTGCGCAACTCAAGCAGTAGAGATCCGAGATGAGCCTAGTGACGCAGCCAACATTTGATTTTTGGATAGACTCGCAATAGGTTTGGCCGGAAATCTGTCGATTCAAGATGCTGCCTTGGCAATGCCTTGTTGAGGCACGAGCTAGTGGTTCGAGACACGTCAGAGGCGCCCACGGAGTAGCCTAGCAGCCTGTACTGATGGGACACCAGATCCTCGATGATGCCATGACCGCTATTTTACTGGACTGGAGTGAGATGCAGGGAGATGGCAATCTCCATTCGCAATCTTGTGATTTAGTATGACTGTCATTTGCAGATATTTGCAGGGTTGGAGTTTCACGATTCAGATGCTTTCCATTGAATATACCGCGACACTCATTCCTCTTGCAAGTTGTCACGACTCGATTTTGTCAAGCACTCCCGTATCTTGCGAGGTTCTCAAACAGCAGCCTGCAAACATTAAGGCAGGCGGTTTGTTGGATGAGGTGAACATTTCTGGACAGACACTACGCAGAACTTTCAACCACTACTGAACTGCAAAAGTGACCCACAAGTTCCTTGATTTTCCATGATTTTCCCACCAAAATATCCATATCCCTGAGATGCAAGACTCCATCCTTATCCTGAGAATTCCTTATAGGATCTTATAGGTAAGTAATATATCAATATCATTCAATGTCATATATGATATAAATTGATAAGATGATATAAGATGTATAGAATTATGCATATAATGTACGACATATGTATGATAAACACATATTTTTTCGTCATCATTTCAACATGTTCATCTTAGTTGCCTTCTCCCAAGACTCCCTCCCGGTGTCCACTTCCCAGGCCTTGCTTCGCCGCATGGTCGCGCAGGATGCTGCGGGGCGAGCATCGGAAGCCCTGCAGGACTCGGGATTTGGATGTAATATGATGTAATTATCTGGATGTAAACAAAAGGTTGACATCTGTAAAAACATCTTGGCTGAGAATGGGAATCATGGAGAGGCAGATGAATGCCATTGAATGCCTGGGTCCAGAGACGTTCCGTGTGCGAAGCTGTCGAGGATGCCAGCGATGTGCTCACGTTGGAGCCAAAGAATCACCATGCGCTGCAGGCAACTTGATTCGCATGGATGATGGAAATCATGGCAATAATCATGCTGGTGGTGATGACAGAGAGATAAAGAGGATTCGTACAGGTCCGTACTTATTGGACCCGTTTTTGGGGATGAGCATCCATTTTACCAACTCTTTTGGTACTTATCTGGATATGCCAGCCTCCAGATGACCTGAACTTCCCGGGGGGCCAGGTGGTGGCTCGGAAACGTCAAAGCCTCAACAAGAAGGTGCCCATCGCATGCGTCCCATATGTCACAGGAGCCGGAGCGACATCGGTTAGAGTGACAGGCTTAGTAGCCAGGCATCAGAAACGGTTGAACTGTATGGTTTTTCTAATAATTAATATGTTTTTTATGTTGTTTTTTTCTAAGTGGTGGCAAGATGATACTACATGATATTACTGTTGCGAATCCATACTCTTTTGCTGCTCAGTGGCTTCATCACGATGGAAAAGTCAGTGAGTGGATAGTCAACAAGGTGCAACAGGTTTGTACATTCAGTTTGATTTTCTTTGTATTGCAAGATGCAGGAAGGCTTCGGTTCGTTTAGGTTCGTTTCGGTTCGTGGAAACCTCAAATAGGGGCGGTTCGGTTCATCAGCAGGCCGGTTCGTTTCGGTTCGCGTGACATGGCGGTTCGGTTCGGTTCGGTTCGGTTCGTGTGACATGGCGGTTCGGTTCGGTTCGGTTCGTGTTGTGTAGTGTTGCAGGACGAGAGGTCTTTGACAGAATGGGTGTGGATGAATATCAAATAGGAATGTTATGTTGCAGCAGAGGGATTTGGTTTTTGAATATGTTTGAAACTGGTGGTGGGGCCGAGTGTTTGCAGCATCTAAATAAGCAGTGTCCAAAACCACGGTTTTTTGATGACTAAAGTGTTTATGCTGTTTCTTGGATTGGGGATAATGATTATCATCATCAACTATTAGAATTCTTACATCTAACCAGTGTACAGTGAAATTGACAGATCCATTGCCAACGGCATTTTCATTTTGCGAAAATCACTTTCAGCTGTCGAAATCCAGTCGTGGCCGGCAGAGGTTCAATCAGCAGCCAAATGCCATTTTCATATGGCGAAAGTCGTTTTCAGGCATCGAAATTGAGGCAGTGCCTGCAAAACCCAAACATTAGCCAAACATCATTTTCATTGTGCGAAAATCAGTTTCGGATTTGTTTTGGCAAAAAGTGGAAAAAAGTTGTAGTAGCAGCAGCAGCAGCAGTAGTAGTAGTAGTAGCAGGAGTAGTAGTAGTAGTAGTAGTAGTAGTAGTAGTAGTAGTAAGTAGTAGTAGTAGTAGTAGTAGTAGTAGCAGTAGTAGCAGTAGTAGCAGTAGCAGTAGCAGTAGCAGTAGCAGTAGCAGTAGCAGTAGCAGTAGCAGTAGCAGTAGCAGTAGCAGTAGCAGTAGCAGTAGCAGTAGCAGTAATATAAGTAGAATGAGTAATAATAGCAATAAAGAAGTAATACTAGTTCTAGTAAGACTACGAGTAAGAAAAATAGTAGCCTCTCGTAAGCGGTTCCCCAGCAGGTATGAGTCCCGACCGGGCTTTGCCGAACAGGAACGGGCAGAGAGGCTAGTAATAGAGGTAGTAATATAATATACAACAGTAGGGGTGGTGATAGCAACAGTAATAGTAATAGTCGCAGCAGTAGTAGTCTAGCCATACGAGGACGAATACTATTAGATGTTTTCCTTAACTTGATTTTCACTGCGCGAAAATCATTTTCGGAGTTGTTTTGGCAAAAAGTGAAAAAAAAGTAGTAGTAGTAGTAGTAGTAGTAGTAGCAGGAGTAGTAGTAGTAGTAGTAGCAGCAGCAGTAGTAGCAGTAGCAGTAGCAGTAGCAGTAGCAGTAGTAGCAGTAGTAGCAGTAGTAGTAGCAGTAGCAGTAGCAGTAGCAGTAGCAGTAGCAACAAGATAAGTAGAATTAGTAATAATAGTAGTAAAGAAGTAATACTAGTTCTAGCAAGACTACGAGGAAGAAAAATAGTAGCCTCTCGTAAGCGGTTCCCCAGCAGGTATGGGTCCCGACCGGGCTTTGCCGAACAGGAACGGGCAGAGAGGCTAGTAATAGAGGTAGTAATATAATATACAACAGTAGTGCTGGTGATAGCAACAGTAATAGTAATAGCAACAGTTCTTAGTAGCAGTAGTAGCAGTAGTAGCAGTAGTTTCAGTAGTTTCAGTAGTAGCAGTAGTAGCAGTAGTAGCAGTAGTAGCAGCCAGCACTGATCATTTGCAATTCCTGCAGCACTTTGGCAGATTATGTTGCGCAGGAATCCATTCATTACAGTTGATGCCTCTTTCCAATTTGATTTTCAATTCGCGAAAATCATTTTCGGAACCCCCGGAAGCTGACAAAATATTTTTTTTGAGAATGTGGAACCGGTTCGGTTCCATTCGGTTTGCGTAAAAATAATTAGCGGTTCGGTTCGTGCCCATTCGGTTTGCGTAAGAATAATTGGCGGTTCGGTTCGTGCCGGTTCTTAGCCTGCCGGTTCCTGAACGGTTCGGTTCCCGGTTCACGGTTCGTTTCCTAAGCCATACTGAAGATATTGCAAGGGAACTTGAGAAACAGGTATCCTGCTGATATACATTCAGCATCATTCAGCCACATTGAAGCGACTTGACTTGATGTTGTAAATTTCATGATTTCTCTATTGCAAAACAACATTGAGTCTTGTTTATGATGTCAGATAGTTTGCTTGATGAATGCATTAGAGTTGATATGTCATATGTCCGACTTTTTTTTGGGATATGTCAAACTCCAACATCCTCTGGTTGGGATACCCTGGGAGTCGGAGGTCGATTTGGGCGCTGTCGCTCCAGAAGCATCAGTGGCTGCCTTTCTCTTCACAGAGGAGTCGGCGGTGCAAAGTTGTAGTGGCTACCCTCTGGTAAATTAACATAGACCCTGGATAGGGGTTGGAAGACTAGTTTCCATTAAAAATTGGCTATTTTCAGGGTCCAACTGTTTATTTACCAGAGGGTATTTACTACAAGAAGATCATGATGATACTTCAGAGCGGCAGTAAGATCGGGTCTGTGATTGTGCTTATTGCTCCTGTTGCTGCATCCCGCATCAAGTTTCTGCTCAATACCTGAGATGCTGTCAGCCTGGAAATATCTAAGCTGCCAATAGTAGAACTGTACGACACAGATATAATATGATATATGATATAATACCTTTTATATAATATACGAGTAATGATAAATAGATCCTGCTTGTCAAGCTAGCCTGTAGTGAGAGGAACAATGAATTTCATTCCCTATACCTTCTACGCAAACACAAGATGCATCCCTTTCGCACATCCGAAAAACTCCTTGGCTGAAGGACCGTCCACTCCAATGCTATGCCTGTCTCAAGTCGCTGAAGCACCTGCGGAATGCTCGGCTGAACGTTCCTTGACCGTCCCAAAGAGTCGGAGATTGCCATCCCCCGATATCCAGGATGAACTGTGAGAGCTTTACTTAACTTACTGTACACACATTACTGTCACATTACACACCTTAGCCTTGCAACGATTAGGGCACACATTTAATGCAAAGGCTTAACATGTTGGGACCGTTGGGCATTCGCCGAACGCCACTGGACCGAGGTTACTGTCTTTTGGGCGGCTGAACGTTGCTGAGCTTGGTGAATCTTCCGTCAATGGATCCGACCTGCTGCATTAATAGACTCAGCATGACTCAGCGCAAGATTGGAACCAAGGTTCTTGCATTCACTCCTACCAGCTTTTGGAAGCTTTGCCGGAGTTGGGCCTTAGGATTGAGTCTGGGTTTTGTGCTAACTGGGCTTTACAGCCTTCAGTACTTCGGGCTGCAGAAAGGTGTGGGGATGGCTGGCTGCAGTAATGTCCTGCTTTTTCATTCCGTTAGCATTCGATGCCCAACACACCGTCCTTCACAACTAGAAAACTGACTCCAAAACCATCCAAAACCGGTTCACACTCACCAGAAACGTGACTAATAGCAAGCAACATCCCATGGAACAGTGATTTGCCAGCAAACGACCACACCAAGAAAGATCAAGAAAGGTGATGCACAGAAAGTGTGACGGATTGATTTCATCAGACAAAAGTTTGAATTCAACAGTAGATAGAACTTGCCTTTGCTTGTTCCCAGGCTAAGACTGCCCAACGTTGAGGTTGTACGAAGCTAAGAGAGTTGGGCGGCGTGAAGACTGGGAGCATAGTTTCAAGAGTTGCACAAAAGGCTTTGACAATTTTGACGTAGGGACCGGAACTGATAGCTTCAGACACAAAAGAAACCATATTATATCATATTATATCATACTATGTTCAACATGTTTCAAGGTTTTTCAACACAAGATTGAGTGTTGACACTGAAGATGTCACTGTTGTGGCACCCCAAGGCGTGGCAGGAAGTGAAGAAAGGGCAGCTTTTTGAGAAGTTCTCGCGAAGCGTTGCTTGACAGATTTGAGGCATAAGGAAGCTGGAACCGAGTGCTGAAGTCCAACCTGAACGGTGGAAAGAGCGATGTAAGATGATGTAAGACTTCCCCGGATTCCGATGGGGGGAAGATATAGAGAAAGAATATTATCTAAAATTTATGTTGGTTGTTTGCCTTTTGATGCCTTTTGAGCATGTTTCACATAGTCCATTCAGCCATGATTTGCACTGATGCTTGAATCAGGAATCAGCTTAGTGGTCGAGATCGTTAGTGCCAGTGGTATATATTCAGGATCCTTTTCAATGTCCTGGACGGTGCAACCATTCGACCATTTTTTTTGGACATTTGAAAGCAATCCAGGTTGAATTTTAGCACGTATTTTAACTGGTTGGTGGGATGATGATCCAATCTGACCTTCATATTTTTCAAGGGGTTGAAACCACCAATTAGTTAACATCGTTTCCTTTGATGCCGGCTTTTCCAATTTTTGGACGTTCGGTGACGTGGTGTACTCAGGTTGGTCGCCTCTCAGTCGAGGGGTTGGAGCCTCAAGTTGGCATCGACGCTCCACATGTCTTTTCACAAACTATAGAAGATTGATATGATTTGATATGAGTTCCGGTGAAAATGGTTGAAAACCATGATATGTATTAGTCATGTTTTTTTTCGACGCCATTTAAAACGTTGGAGAAAAAACAAGACCTGTCACTCATTCCTTTACCCTTTTATCCCCATCTGAATCCATCCCACCTGCAATTTCTGACACTCTGAGGATTCGGAGCTTGTTGATCTTGTCCGACACGGCAGTGTTTCATACTGATGCGGCAACTTGACAGAACAAGCCGTTGTGTCTACAACATTCCAATATGACCTGACGGCCTGATTTCATGTTCCCCAAAGATTGGAGTTTGGCTGTCCTAACACTGAGGACATGTCCGCTGCCACAGCCTGTCTCTCAGCCCTGGTTGTTTATTGTTTTTGACATTGCCCCTACTTGATCTTACTTGGCCCACAGTGGGATTCCTGTGCCGTCGCTTGTACTAGTTTCATTTAGCTTTAGCAATATCATTGATATTATATAATATATAATATTATATTATATATATATACATTGATATCATCTATTTTCTAGATTTTGCTTAGTGAAAGTGATAACTTGCTGAGATGCAGATGCGAGAAAACGAGCTTGGCAGTTGAGCAACTCATGAGTATTATTCATTGTGTATCGAGACTGCATGATGAAGCTGTCAGGCTGTTCTCAGTGATCGCAATGACACCTTTGCCGTGCGACTGGATTTGTGGAGGGCCCAGAAACAATCCAATTCTTTGCTGACCTGGAGCTGGGGAAACCCCACAAAATGACCTGCCTTGAAAGATTCTTTAGATCCTGACTTTTTTGCAGGTCAAGTCTCCGTAAAATTGGCTAATTGATTGTTTTAGCACCTAAAAAAGACCACAGCCAGATTTTCATGTGCCAGTGCAATTCCATTGCGAGGATTTTTTAAAGCAATCCAATCCAATTTTTAACAAGATGACTTCACTCATATATTGCATCGAGTTGGAGCGGTCGTTGCAGCATCATGTTGCCTCATTTTGAGTTTAGGCTTTCAATGCTGAGGAATCCCCGTGTGGAGTTCTTCCCGAAGAGCCAACTTTGCGTACGCCACAGCAGATTGGAAACTGAAGATGATAATACTATGGAGTAAGATGGAACAGATTGAATACGCTTCAACTGGTTTTCGTTTCAAAATTCTGATGCCCATTGGACCACAACATCTATGGAATGTTTTTATGTTAGCTGCTAAGCTTCAACGACAATGTGTTACACTCAAGCGCCTTATCAGGCCTCAGCACCTCATTTGAAGCCTTTCGCCAACGATGGAAGATTGCTGCTGGGAGCTCTGAAATCTGCAGGATACTGAAGCGGGAAACCAACCATGGTCATAATGGTCACATATCCCTACATATCCCTACCTTGTTTTTCAATTCTCACTTGCCATGCTTCATTGATATGCGGATGGGTCAAAACCTCGGTTTCATGCCAGAGAGTTGGGGGGTTGGGGGGAAGAGCATCCACGGATCCACGGACACCATCTATTTTCATCCAGATTTATTTCATCATACTATGCTTATTATATGTACGTATATATATATATATTATATATATACATATGGTGGTTTCCTGAAATGGGGCTACCCCAATAGCTGGATGGTTTATAGTGGAACTTCCATCTATACATGGATGAGAACTGGGGTGGCCTATTTTAGGAAACCCTCATATGACTCATATGTTTGTAATATATCTATAATATTGAATTCACTATTTATCACGTTTTGTTATTTTGATGTTCACGTTTGGGACATTTGGACATGACTGTCCGGCAATCAAACATGGTCTGCTGGAAAATCCCTGATTTAGTTCGCCATGATGCGACTGGGCGAAAGGCTCTGGACCCGGAGCTTCGATGCTTCAAAGATGGCCTATGAAGCGGTCTGCCCATCAAGGGGCCCCACAAAGGGAATTGGGGGAACGGTGCCAGGGTCGGTTCCAACGGTTCCAATCATTAAACATGGCGCAGAGTGGCTGACGAAGAAGGATGAAGGATGTGGGTACATGGAGCCCCTAAGAGTTGTGTATCACTGATCCATCCCCAAGATTCTCCAACCGTCGGTTCAGTGGAGGTTTTGGGGATCCATTCAGGAGGTTGCTGTGAAGTTCAAGGATTCCATGTTGATCCAGCATGTGAGATCCACATGGCAACATTGGTTGAAACATTTTAAGGCCTGTGGATGATTGGCTGGCCACCTTTTCAGCAAACAAAAACGATTTGATGCGGAAGTGGAATGCCTAACATGGCTATCAGGTACCTCGAGAGAGTGGTTGGGATGAGATTTTGGATTGGACCGCAACCCTTGTGCGTGTCCGGAGCCCTTGTCCGACTGGACCTAACCATTTGGTACTCGACTCCGTCCTAGACTGAATGCTGCAGCATGCTTTCAATACCTTGAATGGATCGTAACCCATCTCAAAGCGGGTAATACCTTAAATACACTAAGTACATCTAAGTACGTTTCAATCATTTCAATCGCCAGACTTTGCTTCTTCAATGCATTTTTTCCAGGGGTTTGAGTCATTTGTCGTGCAATTCGATGAGATTTCTGCTGATTGGATCTGCGTCCCAGCTCTGAGGCGGCGCAGATCTCCCACTTCTTCTCTGCCTTGCAGGGACAAGATGTCCAGTCGCTGCAACAGATGGATGACAAGGCGAGGGACCATTGACGGCATTGGATGGAATGGGCATCATGGACATCATGGACATCATGGACATCATGGACATCATGGACATCATGGACTCTTAAACTGGCATGGGGAGCAGTCAAAGTCTGCGACTTTCGATGAGTCCAAGACTGCAGAGTGTGATCTCTGAGCGCTCTGAGGCCGTATATTAGCGTCTAGTTCGTTCTGTCACAGGAAATATACACTCAGAAATTATATAACGCGCTTTCGACGTGCATTGATTGCTCAAGGCAAGCAGCCAAAAGCGAAAGGGATCCCTGTGGGGCATCCCCTTCCTGCTTCATTCTCCATGGGCTGCACCTCGACCAAAGAAGCAGCTTCTATGGAGCCAAGGATCTTCGATCAAGATGAGTTGGTGGAAATGGACTCGTCCTTTGACACTTGGAGCTGGAAGAACTTGCCTCAAGAGGTCCCAAGGCCACCAGGTCGTCGGATGCATGAGAGGCAGTTGAAGAAGCTCGGTGCTTTTCTGGAGAAGGTGGACCATTCGCCCTCAGCATTGCACCTAGTGGTGAAGCAGAGAAGGTCCAGGCTTGAAGCAGAAGCAAACCCAAAGGCTGACAACGAGGACTCGGAAGTGAAGATGATCCACCTCTGATGCTCCACCTGTGAGGAGTGAGCAGCTTGTGTATGTTTTAACTAATGTTGCTCTGTTCTCTCGTGCTGGCTCTGAACGGCAGTTGAAGGACTTGCTGTTCCAGAGTAATGCACCATGAGGCACTCCAACACGAAAGTTGGAATCTGATATCCAACTACTTTCGCATCTCTTCGCGACATGGACCGTATGGGCGCATTATATAATTTTCATTAATTTTCTGCAGTGGCTCAAAGTCCAAAACACACTGCAACAAGACATATCTCCGCTGTTGCCGCGGAGTGTTTATGCCGTGTGCTGCATTTTTGTGCGCAGCAGGCTTCTTGCTTTTAGAGTCTTTTAGATGTCCCAGTGCATTCCACTCTCCGGAGCAGAAACCAACACAACCATGAGTGGTAAACTGTGCCGGAACTTCCCTGGAGTGCAGTTATGGGTTCCATGGTGCTCATTGTGAGACTGGACATTTGTGTCCGCCCGTGGTTGGTATAAATTGGTGTTGACAGCAGAGCAATAAAGCACCATGATTTTCTCCAACAAACTGTGCCCCTGTGTTTATGCTCTTGTACTCAAGTGTAGTTGAAACGTTTCACAAAACATGAAAGCCCATCATTCATGTGAAAAGTCGGACGTCAAGAATGCTCAAAGCATGATGACAGATAGCCAATTGGTTTTCACGCAAGTATTCGTTGTTCACTGTTGCATTTACATCAAACCTCATCAAGCGTTGACATTTCAGTTTTTCATGGTCTGCCGAAAGCTTCACATTGCAACACATGACTTGCAGAATATTTTGGAGTCTTTGTACAGCATGTTCCCATATTGTTCTCAATTTTCTGCTGCACTTGTTCTGATTGCAGACTACTTGTATGGCTTGAGACTATGCCGTTCTATTTTGTGCTCAAAGAACGGTCCAAGGCAGATGCTAGTACCTTGCAAGGAGCAGACACTAGGTGCAGCAAGCAAATCAATCTCGTGAAACCATGGGCTGCACCTCGACCAAAGAAGCAGCTTCTATGGAGCCAAGGATCTTCGATCAAGATGAGTTGGTGGAAATGGGCTCGTCCTTTGACACTTGGAGCTGGAAGAACTTGCCTCAAGAGGTCCCAAGGCCACCAGGTCGTCGGATGCATGAGAGGCAGTTGAAGAAGCTCGGTGCTTTTCTGGAGAAGGTGGACCATTCGCCCTCAGCATTGCACCTAGTGGTGAAGCAGAGAAGGTCCAGGCTTGAAGCAGAAGCAAACCCAAAGGCTGACAACGAGGACTCGGAAGTGAAGATGATCCACCTCTGATGCTCCACCTGTGAGGAGTGAGCAGCTTGTGTATGTTTTAACTTGTTGCTCTGTTCTCTCGTGCTGGCTCTGAACGGCAGTTGAAGGACTTGCTGTTCCAGAGTAATGCACCATGAGGCACTCCAACACGAAAGTTGGAATCTGATATCCAACTACTTTCGCATCTCTTCGCGACATGGACCGTATGGGCGCATTATATAATTTTCCGCAGTGGCTCAAAATCCAAAACGCACTGCAACAAGACATATCTTTGTTTCCACAAAGGAAGGTCGTGGAGGCCCAATTTTTGCGGTGTTTTGAATGACTTTCACTTTTACGAAGACTGTCCAGAGAAATAGCTGGTTGTGGATGTGTTTCTTTCAGAATGTATTTTTTTGGTAGCATTGTAGTCGCATTATTTAATAATAGTCAAGATTCTTTAAGGATTCCAATGTGGGGGTTCGAAACAAGTTGATTATGAGTTTTGAATTTCATATAGTTTAAGATTGTTTAATACTTCTTGCTGCTGATCTTAGGCATCGCTCTCTGCCTGAACTTCAGACTGCACCGACACTAGAGCTGGGTTCCAGCGGTATCTCAAGTAGACTCCAAGAAGATCACTTCCAAAACACACCGGAAGCATCGGAAAACCAATGGCTTGACAGCTTTCTAAGTCTTGGATTGTCATTTCTCAAAGGTACAAATCAGCAGCCATCTCACATTGCATAGCAAAATGTTAGCATCTTTTGTCTAGCAGCCTCCTTAGTAAGTAACAGGCATGATTGATGCATTCTATGGGCTTATAGACTCCTCAAGCCCTGATTGGTTTGTCTTTTTCTTGGATTTTCTTTTCCTTTGTTTCTCCCTTGGAAACCAAAGGAAAACCATAGAATCCACCCAGCCCAAACCAAAGGAAACCAACGGAAACCGAAGGAAACCAAAGGAAATCAAAGGATATCAAAGGATACCAGAGGAAAAATGAGATAATGTACGAAGAACGGATTTTTGCTAGCTCCTTCGTGTTTCTTGTTGTTTCTTTTGAATTCCTCCCACAACTAAAGGCCATATTTTGGTGCAACCCATGCGTTGGAAAGCGTGACACTACTAGTTTTTCGCCAAAAACCTTGGTGGAAATGTGGAACACCTGTTACAGAAAACATTCTTGTACTGATAGGGAAAAAAGAAAACAGAAGAAAACACAAGAAAACCAGAGGTGTTCCAAGGAAAGGGCAGGGTGATCAGAGGAGAACATCGGATCATCTAAGGTAGCCCTGCTGTGAAGAATGCATGTTCCAGTGATGTTACTAAAGAGTTCCTATGATTTTGTGACAAACATTCTTTTTCTTCTATGCACAGCGGGTCACATGAACGTGCGAAGAGAAAATGCATGACGCCTCCAGGCTTGGAGATTGTGACAACGTGCACCGTTGCATCAATTTTGGATAGAGCACAACATACCAAGTTACCAAGAGGTGAAAAGGTGAAATGTTTACCTGTGTAATTTGATGTAATTTGTCATAGCTATCTACCGTCGTCCCTCACCTCATATATATAAAATCTGACATACACCTTATTAATTTCCTTAATCATTGTTTTAACAAATGCACTATCACTGATGGGGCACTTTGGTTAATCCCTGAGCATTGGTTGTTTGCACTTGATGCAATGCACGACAACCGCTGACTCTTTGCAGGGCTGGTACACAATCCTAATGTAAACGCTAGAGCCGCTAGAGCTATCTTTGTTAATTCATGGATAATGATAATTAACAAATATTCACAATTTCATAGAATCCTTCAACAATGCGCCAATTCACTACCTTTTCCTATTGGGTAGAAGATTAATTTCGCATGAGTGTTTGCTCTGACCTCCCTTTCACGTCCAGTCTTGGCCTGCTCCTTGCCCTATCCTTTGTACACAAGATTCGTAGTCGCCTTTTTTGGCTTGCAATGGCTTGCACTTGCCAAAGGTTCTTGTCAATGTGAAGAATCTGCTTGCTTAGCACAGTCGCGGAGTTTGTTTTTACCCATTGCTTTTCCGCACCCTTTCCATACAGGTTTGAATTCTTTAAGCGGCATGGAAACAAGAAATGATGATTTAGGGTATTCCTGGTGATAAACAGGTGCAATCCAACCAGGAGGATTGTGTACCTCGTCTATGTACGCTCTGCTTGCATTGCTATCCTGGTTTGCCAGAGAAACATGCCAAAGGCATCCAAAGGCGGTAGCACTTGCAAATGATTAGGTGATTTCCATTGACAACAGCATGCAGTGTCTACCAGGATTTCTTGTGTTGGGGTTTGGATTTAGGCTGGTAATTTCTACAAACATGCAGAGTTGTTATTGTGTGTGTGTGTCAATTATACTTTGTGATGCGCACTAACAATTTAGATTTACACTAATGATTACTAATAATTATAATATGAGATGAGTGAATTGCAGCATAAAGGTCCCTATGGAAGTGTCTCATGGGAAGTCCTGCATGTAAAATATTTCTGAAGTCAAAGGAAGCTGCACACTCTTTGTACATGTTTCACAAAAAATCAGAAGAAGTGCTTGGATCGTTCTTACAATTTCAAACATGCCTTGTTATACTGTAGACTTTTGGCGGAGATTTGCATGCACATTTCCCGCGTGTCTTTTGCAGCGTTCTATAACAGGTGCATCTTGGCTTGGACGATCCAACATGATCCAACCATCATCAGGAAAATTACTTTGGCAATCTCCTAGTAAGAAAGCACACAAGCAATAAACACATATAAACACAAACACAAACACACTGCAAAACTGGAGCCTCCGCACCCTTACACTCTCTTCGCTTTTGCCGCAGAGTATTTATGGTATGTGCTGCTGCTTTGAGAGCGCAGTCGACTTCTTGCTTTTAGATGTCCCAGTGCATTCCACTCTCCGGAGCAGAAACCAACACAACCATGAGTGGTAAACTGTACCGGAACTTCCCTGGAGTGCAGTTATAGTTCCATGGTGCTATGAGACTCGACATTTGTGTTGTCAGAATTGCTGTTGACAGCAGTATATAAAGCACCCTGGATTTTTGCCAACAAGGCTGTTTAGGTAGCCCAGAGTAGCTGAAAGCTGTCACGAGACACGAGAGCCCCTCGCTGGTACGGAAAATTGGATCAGCGGGAAGTTGGAGGCATGAGTATGGGTTGAGAATAGCTTTGCACACAGTTTTTGTCGTTGCCCAGACACTTGGAATTGGTTTGCTGAATAGCACACAAGATTTGCACAAGGCTAGGCTGCAGGAATGAAACGACATTGTTTCAATGGAGGTCGCCAACAGAATATTCCGAAGATTTCCGAAGTTTTTGTACAACATGTCCTCAGTGCAAAGTATGGCTTGAGACTAAGGCCCCAGCCACTGTGGACCTTGAACCCTAGCAATGTGGCACACGCCTCTACATTCTTAGACTCTGGTGGCTGATCATGGCTGCATCACACCGCACCGTCAGGCTGCAGACTGGCTAAGCAGACGGCAACGAATGAAACGCAGTGAAGTTAGCCACCGTTGGGGAGCTCGAACAGCATGCAGCTTCTGTGGACACCAGGTGCAGGCAGGTTCAGGTGTGACTCGGTGCGACTTGTGCCAATCCGTACAAGTCATACAAGTCTCCAGGAGATCGCAGGCTCAATTCATTTCAATTGGGTTCCGTAAAGGGGAAGCAAAATGAAGCAAACAAGGAAGGCAGTTGCTGACTTATCACTGCATCTTGGGACCTGATTTGGTTGCCAGGTTGCCCTTTTTAAATCTGTTTAATGGATTCCCTCAGTTGGTGCAGTGGATAAGAACCCCCAGGGCACCTTTGACACATGTCGTCTTTGTCAAGCATGAAATTTGGGGATTTTTTCCCCAGCGACCCGAGATGCCATGGATCCAAGGATCTGCGTGTTTCCTCGAGCCTTTGCTCGTGACCCTGGACCCAAAGGTCTTTGGCTCCACCATTGAGGCAGGAGGTGAAGCATCTGTTTGGTTTGTTGGAATGATATTATACCAATTTTCAATGTAAAGTAATATTAGTGCACATAATTATATGATATTATATGATATTATATGATATTATATGATATTATATGATATTATATGATATTATATGATATTATATATTATATGATATTATATGTTATATAATGTTGCTATTCCATGCTATTCTAGACTATTCCATTGATCATGTGAATCCTCAGCTGAGTATCAGTTGCTGTTTTATAATTCGAATATTATTGTGCGCCTCAAGATGCTTAATGATGCTTGTATTCTGGACCAAAGATGAAAATATGGGTCAAAGCGTCGTAACAGGTGGAAGTTGAAACCTTGTAGCTACAGTCATTTCCACGTATTACCAACATGTCTCTCAGTTCCACTGTGCTTGGCAGTTGTTCGCAGTAAGTATGTCTTCAGCAATGGTGTCATGATGAACATACAGGCTGATGCATTGCTTCGCTGGACTCTCTACGATTCTTGGAAGGTTGGGTGAACTGGTAGTGCCAATCTGGGCAGTGTGTATATACGTATATATAAATATAATAATAATAATAATAACAATAATAATAATAATAATAATATATATATATATATTATAATACATATGATATATACATATGAGCTACAGCCAAAATTTAGATTAATGGAGAGTAGTATTCGAGACATCTTTATTTTTTGGAAATTGAGCTGGGGCTTGGAAAACGATAATACACTCTTCGAAAAAACGATACCATTTGCTTATATACCAAAACCTGAAAAACGATAATATACTCTTCAAAAATTGATGACTTGGAGCTATAATATACTGTACCAAATATTGACCGTGGCCCATATGATATATCATATAAATATATAACTCTCTATATGATATTGAATATACGTAGTTTAATCATGACGAATCCTGCTAGCAACATCATCTCAATCAAGAGTACCTGCTTGCAGTCTACATGTGTTATTATGGAGTAAAATAGCTTCGCGAAAGGAATTAGTTTTAGACTGATCGGCCATGGCTACTGCTATGTCTGATTCGAGATGTCAGTTGCATAAGATTCTGTGTCATGGTTTGCATTGGTTTTGCCGGGGGTCAACATGAAATAGAGTCAGGATCGCTTGCCGAGACTTGCAGAGAAGCTGAGCAGGGCAGCCCGGATGATTGTCTTGGTCACATCCACAGGTGGCGATGGCCCTCAACCCAAAAGCACAGAGCAGCATCCGAACTAGACACGCCATGACACGCCCAGCTTGGCAGAGCTCCCATCAAATCACTATAGGCTGCGAGGCTCAACCGGGTGAGCCGAGGATGGAGTGAGGCAGAAGTCATGGATTATTTCAAAGGAGTGGGTGAAGGTGCGAGGCTTTCTATCGGGATGGGTATTTCGAAGCGCTAAGCAATGGATAGTAGAGACAGTAGTGGGATTGAAGTTCGCTATGAATTCACTATCCATCACTACCCGCTGCAAAAACCGAAGCTTTTGACACCGCCATGTCCGCCTGGATATCGCACTGCGAAGGCTCCACGGAAGCCTTGCAATGCCTGCTGGATCCCAGTAGGTGAGAAGCGGTGAGAAGCGGTGTTGCATGGTGTTGCTGTTGTCGCGGTGCTCGTGGTGACAGTCCTGGGGACGGATGTTTCGTTGCATCATGAGGCAATGAGCCAAATGAACCACAATTGGAAGTTCCTGTCTATGTAGAAGACCCGAATCGGATTGAATCGGTCAATCGTTACGGACAATGCCATGCGGCAGGTACAAGGATTACTACTTGGACACAGTTCAAGTTGGGCTAGCGCCAACTACAGGTGAGAGCATGTGAGAGCCTCCAGTTTCCCGAACAGGAATGAATATGCTGGAACTGATGGTGACGTATGCTGACTTGCTTGCTTTTTGGTTTTCTTTCTTCTTGAAACACATGAGACGTGAGTCACATGAGACATGAACCTTCTATAAACATCTACAAGCGTGGAAGATGTGGAAGGCTTACCACAGCAGCTACGAGATGCACCACTGGTGTCCTGGCACAGCTCCAAGTTTGGATCAGTGCTTCAGAGAGGTTGAACAACAAACCTACGAAGCCTGTAATTAGTAAGATTTAGTAAGATTAAGTAAGCATTGGATTCTGGAATCAGAGGCTATTTTGAGAGACTGAAGGACAGAGTAAATGACCTGTCCATATTCAGGTTAGTACCAGCTCGGAATTGCGAATTCTTCATTCTGGATTGTGACTTGGCATGACTTGAGCGCGCAGAAACTGCTTCACCAATCTGGCTCTCGCCAGAGCCTTCTGGCAATAGTGGACAATAATGGACTAGAATATAGTGATTGTTTGAGAACAAAGGCAATGAAGCGGGGTGGAGTGTGTTCACACTTGGAACCATATCATGCCTTACTATCTGATTATATCTAATTATATCTATTATCTATCTATGCTAATTACAGTAGTTGTTGCCAGCTACCCAGCGTCAGCCACCGGAGGTCTACGGTCCATTGAAAAGCAGGCCTTGTGACCGGGTTTGAATGAAACAACCTCGAGGAGAAAGCCGCACACATAACTACTGTATCTATTAAATATATATATATAATAATATATATAATATATCTACTAGAGTCTACGAGTAATTTATATTCATAGATTAAAGTATCAGTAATTCCATGTAATTTCCAAGAGTATCCAAGAGTCAGGTTCGTCTGGACCAGGTTGGACTGAGCCCTGGCTGCTTCGAGGTGGTGGTTGTAGAGGACCCAAAGCTGCTATGGAATTCCATGGAATATTCACGGATCACAAGATATCACAAGTGAAATATGTAAGGACCTGTAAGGATCATAAGTTGAGTGGTGTGTTCATTCACAACATTTTACAACCCTGGCTTTCGATCTTTGCCAATCAGAAAGACGCAAGCTTCTCGCTCGCTTGGGATCTTTTGTGATTTGACCGTCGTAACATGAAGGCCTCCTAAGACGCTATCTGGGCAGCCTGGTCCAGCCTGGTCCAGCCTTGGACTTTTTTTTTGTTTGAAATTTCTTTCGGTGAAGTCGGCCAAGCCTCCAGGATGCATCAGAGGATCGTACAGATGCTGTGCTGCATCGCTTTGCTAAGACACGACCGTATGTCAGGGAAGCCCAGACCGACCTGTCGCAACCGTTGCAACCCAGGAAGTTGAGGTCTGACCGAACTGCTCTGGGCGTTGATGGTCTGCAAGTTTGAAAGTTTGATGCTTGCACACTGATTTCACATGATTTTGATAGATACACAAGATATCACAAGATGATATCAATTGTAATTATACATGATATATGATAATTTAATATTTACTGTACACATATAACATATTATATACATAACCTCTGTATATAATATAACACAATATGTATTTGGTATCAAAGAAGGCACAACGCCCTTGACCCCACGAGGTTCGCATCATTGAGAGCGACGGTGTGCAGGGGGCTTATTATAGGACATCCGGGTCAGCTCGGTCGCTGTTGGTGCCAGATTCGCTGAGGCAGCAGGGTGTTGGAGGCTCTCTCCAAGTGGGTTGGAGCCATTGTCGTGGCTCCTATATTGCAAGACTGGATGCAGATGATGAGGTGCGAGCCGCAGGTGTCAATGGTGATGGTGGATAAATACTATACTGCAGCAAGGTGAGCTGCAGGTCATCACATATCAATAAGCTATTATGCATATATGCATACAAAATTACATAATCATATTTATTTGCAGCTGGCACTCAGAGGCTCTCACCGCAGGCAATGCATTGTAAATTCAAGGTCAGGAAAAGCCGCAAAATCTGGTTCTCATTATATGTATATTTAATTATATATACATAAATACGACACATTAATGTCACACACTTTGTTGTTGAATGTTGTTGATGACGGCTTCGACTATTTGAGGATTCTTTGCTCCTCCCCATAGGCCGAGCCAGAGCGTTTGCTGAAACAGCTCCGCTTCTTTGAGCAGCATCCCGAGGTCCGCAGCCCGCCACTTTTCCGTGACTTACAGTCACTTTGTTTACTGCAGAGGGTCTAGTTGAATGTTTTTTGTAAAGTACAGTAAAGTCTGCTTCACAAGCTTCAAGTTGAATGTATTTTTCATGCTTCAGCAGTATGCAGTAACTTTGTTGCTGTCGCAGGTGTCCATTGTGGGCGGCCGCACTTCATTCTTTTTCTCGGAGCAGAGAAAGTTTTCCGTGGAGAAAATCTCTCAGAAGGAGGAGTGCAAAGCTGACCATCCGGTGAACCTGCCATTGGGAAAATACTTCGACGTTTTTTTTTGAATCAAACAAGCCTACATCAGCCTATACATGGCATAATTCATATTTATAGGATTTTATAGGGACGTTTCCATTTCAAGGCGAGGGTGATCGGTTGCTGAAGCACAGCTGATTTTCCAGGATGGCCGCGTCGTGGCAGCTGTTTGGAGGGAGTGCTTTCAGCAGCGGTTGGTCACGATGCATCGGCTAAGGGAAAGCCATAAAGACATAGATTTACACAAGGGATCACAAGGGCTCTCACGAATAATTCAGCACAAACTTTCCTATATGCCCAGTATATCCCAGCTATGGATATACTGATCCTGGCACATATGATATTTGTCAGTTGTCGCGTCTCTGGATTTGTATTTCTTTTGGCAGAGGTGCTTGGCCTAATCAATCCCATTGTATCCGGTTGTAACATGTGAATGAGATGTTCAAAAGACAAATCCGCAGATCCCTCTCTAAAATCTTGGCTTTTTGTTCGCCATTCCAGATCATCTGCGTCCGTTTTTTCAGAGAGAAGCCAGCATACCCTCTGGTAAATTAACATAGCTATTGAAAATGACCATTTATAGTGGATTTTCCCATTAAAAATGGTGATTTTCCATGGTTATGTTAAATTACCAGAGGGTAAGTGTGAGATGGACTGGTTTTATTTGCGGAGGTTCCACGGTCAACAGACATCTCGAGCCCGTGAACAGATCTGCTTGGCACGGTAGCCAAGTTTCCAGCTACCGATCAGAACGTAACAGCTTGGGTTGCTCCAAAGAATGATGACTTCCCATACTGATATAGTTGATTATAGTTGATTATAGTTGATTATAGTTGATTATAGTTGATTATAGTTGATTATAGTTGATTATAGTTGATTATAGTCTGTGGGTTTGGGTTCACAACTTGAAGCATGATATGTGGAAACATGTGGAAACTCTCACCATCTCTCACCTCAAACTCTCACCTATGCAGAGGCGGCATAACTTGGTTCTGATCCAGATCCGTATAGATCCGTGATGCCTTGACCTACGTTTCGCTGATTTGCCACATGAGGAATCATGAGGATGTGTTTCACATTCATCCAGATTCACTCATGCATAGTTAATACTAGTTAATCATAATCATTAATCATAAATATAATTTAATTTAATAATATATATATATATAATTATATATGTATATATTGTATGAATATTGTATGTGTACATATATATATATATATATCAGTCCTCAAGGTCTGGCTCATAGACTCATGATACGTTGCTATCAAAGCTACAGTCAGTTTTCTGCGAAATCAGAAGATTCCTAGCTGAACAGCTGTGTAACTTCAAGGATGTAGTGCAGGAGGTCCTGGGAAACCAAACAAGGTCCAACGCGGAGAAGATGTGGTGGTTGCAGATGGGCCAGCAGAGTGCCCCACTGCTGACAGGGTGGAACAAATCACATTGACCTGCATCCTATTGTGGAGATACTTAAGTATCTTGAAGTATTTTAGAACTGTATCTTGCTGAGTGATATGATGGGGTTGAGAAGGTAGAAAAGCCACAATCAATTTGCTTGGGTTTGCGGGAGGAAACCAGGACCAGTCTGGGCATACTTCAGAGATCTTCACAGAGTAGCCTCCTTTGTATTCCTGGGTGATTTATATATATATATATTATCATTTTTTATCATGATTCTCAGTATAGAGAGCACTTCTGAAATCTGCTGAACGATTGCGCATTGCGAAGCGAACTGCTCGTGATCAGGTATTCGAACTGCCGATTACTTCTCGTTGGGGAGGCCGTGTGCAGTGGCCCAGCTCGAGGGAATTTGCACAGCTGGCGCGGCTGGAGAGTCCGCCTGCCTTGACAGAAAATGTTGTATAATTAGTCAAGATGCAGGATGTAATTAATATAATGTAATATTATGTAATCCTACTGCAATGCTTTATACAGGATGAATGTCAAAGCTAGCCTCTGTTTTTTCTCCGCATGACTTGGAAACATATTCCAGAACTTCAATGTTCTGCACTCTTGTGACCTATATCTATGATTCGGATGCCCGTGTGACAGGAGTCGATCGCAGTGAATCCTGACAGGTGGCAACAGGCAACGAAGCATCCTTGTGAATCTCTTCCGGGGTATAGATCAGCTTATTTGTTGTGGCTATTCCCAGGTGGCAGGGCTGGCAGGAGTCATAATTTTCTTCAAGGGCTCATTGGCAAGCACTTTTCAGACAAAATGAATGCTCTGAGAATGCAATACTGGTGGACTATGGTGGACTGCTACGTGCGATCAAAACCCTTGTAGATGTGGTTTGATTTACTCTCTTGTCCTATTGTCCAACTAAGAATCAACTAAGACTCGCTTGCAGAATTATTCGTTGTGACTTGACCAGGCCCTGCTACCTTTTGCAGAGGCGCACTCCGATATGGGCGCTTCGTTTCTTCAAATAATACCTGTGCAGCGATCTTGACGTGTCTGTTTTGACAAATCTTGCAGAATCTGTGCAAGTTCTCAAGTGCCACTGTGTAAATCTCCAGTCAGGCACTTTTTTTTTCACATTTCCAAGATTCGGGGATCGGAACTGGTGCCACTCATTAGTTGTACATTCAAATACCCAGGGGGGCTTTCGCCAGTCAGTGGGAAGCCTGCCACGTAGGTCTTGCTACTGCGGAGTGACCCATGTGAACCGGCCAGTGGTAGTCGATGGTGCCTGACCCCAGTGATTGTCTGCAGTCATCATGAATGGATATGAATAGTGCAGATGGCAGAAGAAGCAAATTATATAGTGGGATTCCATCACTGGTACCATTTTGAAATGAGAAAATTGGAGCCCTTGATCTGCATTGACATGTCAAACTTGGACAAGACCTCGAAGCCAGGCAACACCCCAGCCTTCTTCGGGTGGCATCCATCTTTGAAGACGTCCTGATCGGCACCACTGCCTGCTTCAGACGATCCCACTTTCAGGATGCCATGCATGACGCCAGGGGGGGCATCGCCGGGGTCAATCCCAGCGCAGTGACAGCTGCAGCGAGAAACGATCCCTGCGCTTCGCAGGAGTGTCCATTTTCAAGAGAAGAGGCAGAAAACCATTGGCTCATGGTGAATCTGGAGACTCGAACTCAGCCAGTGCTCAGCTGATTCAGCTCATGCCATGTGGAGCCCCATGTGGGAAGTCTACAAAAAAAATATACACAATTGATGCTTTTCTCCACGAAGGTTCCATGCCTTGTTTTGCCACTCCAAGGCCTAATCAACATGCTGCAAACCTCACCGACGTCTTGGTGAGAACCAGGTCAGGGCTGCTGACTGGAAGCAGCGGCATCAGCAGCATCACAGACATGTTGGGGTCGTCACTGTCTCAAGCTTCAATCCGGTGTGCACCGATTATGAAGAACATCTATGTTTGCTTTCCTTGTATCCGGACTATAGTCAGCTTTTGGTCAGAATTTTGTGCTTGGGAGCAAAGCCAGCAAGGCCGGCACAAAGAACGTGCTGCCTATCCATAAAACGTTGGGTGCACTTGAAAGACCAGAACTCCTTGCTGGCAGGTCATAGAATCATTTAACATTTCCAATTCTTGCTTCATGGTGATTCACTACATCAACTCTTGATTGAAGAAAACTTGTTTGGCAGACCGAAGTACACTAGAGTCACTAGACTGTGCTTACACTTTCTTGTTTCACTATCTTTGATCATTAATTCTACATTGTGTTGACCATCAAAAAACATATTGAAGGGGACAAATGAGTCAGCTTTGGGGCACTTGCACTACAAACCTGAGTTTGACCAGCTCAGCCGCGAACTCATCGCATTTGTTGCAGCATGATGGAGATTCATGCCATGCCCGGCATGCCACTGTCTTCCATGGCCATGCTTGCGCCCCTGCCAGCCCAGTTGGGAGGTGGTGCAGAGGCAAGGGATGCCAAATGAGCTCGAATGATAGAACTGCCATTGAACATCATCGACAAAATGGCAAGAGGGATTTATTTGATGAAAGTACAAGACTTGCACGAATCATAATGACGTACAATATGATATGGCTGCTATTTGATATAGATATGCACTCGGAGTTTATTTTACTTCTTGCGCATTGGCTTGAAGTACAGCCACACAACTGTAAAACTGAACATCTGCCAAAAAATGTGCTGCGTCACAGTAAATCCACTGCAGTCCTGGAATAGTTGGCTGGTATTGCTTGTTGAAACATATCGAAATCACTGAATTTCAGTCATTGGTCATCCAATGTCATCCATGATCTTGGGTCCCTGCTCCATAATTGCTCAAACAATTGGACCAGAAAACTCAATGTCAGGTCATGCGCTACACTGGTCGCAGTGACCACAGCCACGGATCTGTCACTGGCAGATGTATGACCATGATGGCCTTGCCATTGGGGTGCCTTTGGCGGTGCGGATGTTGCCATTGTTGGAAGATGTTGGGTTTTGCTTTGCAGCAAGACCAGGATATACTGATATACACTCATCACTGATCATCACTGATCATCGCTCATCTTTGTGTGATCGGGATCATGGCGGGGGAAAAGAATTATCTTTGATGTCTTGGGATGACTAAGTTACAGCAGGATTTGTTCGAAAAAAGACCTCCAACATCAAGCTTTCAGAGAATTCCCAAGGACATGATGAGACATTCCCCCCAAACCTGACACGGTCAATTTGGCCTCAAGAATAGAACAACCACTTGACATCTAGGTCTTGACAAACTCATATTTTGCTTAGCCATTCTGCGCGAGTTACACATGTCTTTTCTGATGGTCAAAGAGCATGATCAAATATGATCAACGCTTCTCCGAAGAATCTTGACTACTGAAAGATCTTGAAAGGTGGTGATGCTCAGGATTTTTGGCTCAATGGAGACTTTGAAAAATGTCTCCTTTCAAACCGATACTGTACCTACTTCTAACTGCCATCAGTGGCAGAACGGATGCGAAAAGTGCATCTCATTGGGATGAAACAGCTGCACTTCAGCTTGCCCTCACAGGCACGGAGCCGCCGATCCATCGTCGGTCCAAGGTCTTCTACTACCCCTTGCCTAAGTATTTGGAGGTCCTGAACAACGGATCCCTGTTTCGCAGAGTTGCGGAAATCTGCTGAGAAGTATGCATTGAATGTGGTGCCTGGACAGGGTGGCATTTTGGACTTCCAGATCGTGGAAAGCACAGAGCCAGTGATACTTCACCGGGTTTGGGGCGGACCAGCGAAACGCTGCGGATATTGGTGGACTTTACCGCATGCCTTGGCAATAGCACCTGACAACCGGTTAACACTCGCTGGCTTCATGGAGGCAATGGGCGTATGCCCTGAATGGAACAACGGCACATTTCTGGAGATTTGCAGCAACCTGATGTAAAGTTCCGGCGTGCCCAAAAGATGGGGGATACACCATATCATATCCCCTGAAATATATATAAATATATTAAGGGGCTACGCCCCCTGCCGCCGACCCCAGGCAGGGTAGCGTGAATATACTCAAGACGGCACACAAGTATGCAACGCATGCACAGCCTTTGCCTTCGTTTGCCGTCTTGCTCATCGCACGAATCAACGCCTGGCCCGCTTGCGCCAACGCGAAACCCGCCACCGTCACGCAGCAATCCTAGAGGACGTTCGCAAGGAAATTCAGGAAATACACGAAGCAAGACAAACTTCCACGCGAGCAGAAGCTCCCAAAACGGACACTGCCCACTCATCGAACCAGCAGCTTGCTGTCGGGCCTGACACGGTTACGCCACAACTGTACACATACATCTGCCCACACTGCGCCAAATCTGTACAAAGCAAAGTGGCAACAGGACAAATCGATCACCGCCGAGGTGATGGTTGCGGCCACAAATTTCGCGTTGCAAATGGCTTGCTTGCAGGTCGCACGCATACGCACACGTGTCCGACATGCAGCGCGGTGGTGCATTCAACAAAAGCTTCCGGCCGAATTCAAGTAACTCATCGCACTCCCAACGGAAAGCAGTGTTCCACCAACCACTGGCACGTGCATAGTTGATGGAACCCTCCGGGCAACGGCTCCCACTGCCTAACGTTGCTTTCTGAACCTGCAAGAAAACTAGCTCTCTTCCAGCTGTCAACGCTCACAAACGGCGCCCTCGCCACAGCAAAACAGCAGGGCCCTGAAGGACGGACCGAGCCTCCGGGCAACGGCCCCCAGTGCCTAACGTTGCTTTCTGAACCTACAAGAAAACTATAGCTATAGCTCTCTTCCAGCCGTCAAGGCTCACAAACGACGCCCTCGCCACAGCAAAACAGCAGGGCCCTGAAGGACGGACCGAGCCTCCGGGCAACGGCTCCCACTGCCTAACGTTGCTTTCTGAACCTGCAAGAAAACTAGCTTTCTTCCAGCTGTCAAGGCTCACAAACGGCGCCCTCGCCACAGCAAAACAGCAGGGCCCTGAAGGACGGACCGAGCCTCCGGGCAACGGCTCCCAAACTAGCTCTCTTCCAGCCGTCAAGGCTCACAAACGGCGCCTCCGCCACGCCCCAACAGCAGGGCCCTGAAGGACGGACCGAGCCTCCGGGCAACGGCTCCCACTGCCTAACGTTGCTTTCTGAACCTACAAGAAAACTAGCTCTCTTCCAGCCGTCAAGGCTCACAAACGGCGCCCTCGCCACAGCAAAACAGCAGGGCCCTGAAGGACGGACCGAGCCTCCGGGCAACGGCTCCCACTGCCTAACGTTGCTTTCTGAACCTACAAGAAAACTAGCTCTCTTCCAGCCGTCAAGGCTCACAAACGGCGCCCTCGCCACAGCAAAACAGCAGGGCCCTGAAGGACGGACCGAGCCTCCGGGCAACGGCTCCCACTGCCTAACGTTGCTTTCTGAACCTACAAGAAAACTAGCTCTCTTCCAGCCGTCAAGGCTCACAAACGGCGCCCTCGCCACAGCAAAACAGCAGGGCCCTGAAGGACGGACCGAGCCTCCGGGCAACGGCTCCCAAACTAGCTCTCTTCCAGCCGTCAAGGTTCACAAACGGCGCCCTCGCCACAGCAAAACAGCAGGGCCCTGAAGGACGGACCGAGCCTCCGGGCAACGGCTCCCACTGCCTAACGTTGCTTTCTGAACCTACAAGAAAACTAGCTCTCTTCCAGCCGTCAAGGCTCACAAACGGCGCCCTCGCCACAGCAAAACAGCAGGGCCCTGAAGGACGGACCGAGCCTCCGGGCAACGGCTCCCAGAAAACTAGCTCTCTTCCAGCCGTCAAGGCTCACAAACGGCGCCTCCGCCACGCCCAAACAGCAGGGCCCTGAAGGACGGACCGAGCCTCCGGGCAACGGCTCCCACTGCCTAACGTTGCTTTCTGAACCTACAAGAAAACTAGCTCTCTTCCAGCCGTCAAGGCTCACAAACGGCGCCCTCGCCACAGCAAAACAGCAGGGCCCTGAAGGACGGACCGAGCCTCCGGGCAACGGCTCCCAAACTAGCTCTCTTCCAGCCGTCAAGGCTCACAAACGGCGCCCTCGCCACAGCAAAACAGCAGGGCCCTGAAGGACGGACCGAGCCTCCGGGCAACGGCTCCCACTGCCTAACGTTGCTTTCTGAACCTACAAGAAAACAAGCTCTCTTCCAGCCGTCAAACCTTCAAAAACGCGCCCTTTCCGGCCGTCACAAACATTCAAAAACGGCGCCTTCGCCAGTCTCAAAAAGGACGGTCCTGAAGGACGGGCCGGGCTTGCGGGCGACAGCCCCTAGTCAGTCCTCCTCTAACGCGCTCCCCCTGCTGGCGGCAGGGGTCGGCGGATATATATATATATATATTATATATAATTATATATATATTATTTATAATATCCTGTTATGTCTTATGAACCTAACGATACCTGACGTTTTTTTATTGGGATGAAATTGATGAGGTTTTGGATGGTTTTGGACCCAGATTTTGTACAATTTGCCTTCTCTGTGGCTCGACTCTGGTTACCCAAAAGGTCCTCGAAATGGAAAACAAACTTGGATAATTTATGATAATTTATGATAACTTGGTAGTTTTGTATGTTTTGTTTCCGCGTCTTCACTCTGGATGTAGAGTCTGGCTGCTTTCAAAGTGAACTAAGTGGACCCATCTCGCAAGAGCGACTGAGGCGTCCCACACTGGAAATTTGTGGTGGGCCAGGGCAACTCTGCAACTTGCCAATGGGGAAACACGCTCTTTCCACCTGCAGCCTTGCTTCAAGTGAATGGTGATGTGTGTAGTCAGTCCAGCAGCTGTAGCACCTGCAATTTGCATACAGAATTTGAGAAATGCTGGGCACGAATCAAAAATCCCTTGAATTCGGACTCGGAGTGATGGAGTCTGAGAAAGTGTGGGAAAAAATGTGAACCGGATCCGCTCATTGGAACAGACTTTCCGCGCACAGAAATGAGTCAACTTGCGGATTGAGCGCGGTACTTAGTACTGATTTACAGCACAACTCACAAGTGCCAGACCTCCATGGATACCGTTCTGAGCCAACAAGGTATTATATCATTTATATCGTATGATTGACTCAAGTCAACATGTCGTGATAGAGATGATAGAGTAGGAAATGGTCAAACTGAATGCACAGGTGAGGTGCAAACTGAAATTCGCAGAGTAGTTGTACCACTGAACGGGCTGGCCCGCCTTAAAGCAAGATACTAGAACAAACAGGGAAATAGTGAGGAGACGATGATGGAATTTGCGTTTCACAACAAGCCACTATTGCTAGCTTGTCCAACCTCGGTGCCTGCTGTTGACCGCAGAGTCCTTTCAAGACCCTATGGATAAAACAATGCGTGCAGAGTGCAAGATTCAATCAGCTCATCAGTATAGCTTAGTGCAGGTTGGGGGTACAGTTTGATAGAATCCACTGTCAGTAGATGTCAAGAGCAAGGATAGGTGGTAAGTTTTTCTGGACATATTGTACTTTGCCCAAATCTGGGTATGGAGCCCAAGAGCCCTGAGACGAAAAGAGCAGGGAATCAGGACATTTAAATGTAGAAAGAAAAACATACATGATTCCAAGATGTGCCGTCTTTTCCCCAGATTAGAGCATAGCCATGCAGTGGCTGGAATGTCGAACGGATTTGGCGACCTCACAAAGACCTTGCCATAACTGATCTTTCTTGAGGGAACCACTTTTCCAGGTTGGCCCATGAAAGATGTTGTGGTCACATTGATAAAGGGTCAAGAAGGCCACCTGGTTGGGAAGGATTACTGGGTAAATGGTTGCCATGAAATGGAAGACTATTGGAATATAATCCCAGCTTAAAACGAAGCTTTTGGCAGGGCATGATCGGGCATGTTTTTACCTTGAGGAGCAGGATGGTAACCATGGGAGCGGTATGTCTGCAGGATCACGGCTCATACCAGCTGCGCCAAAACTGGATCCCCTCAAATGATTTTTGACTTTCCAATGCAACTTTTTCGACTACCATTTGCATTGTGGAAATCAATGTTTTTCTTCGGGTTTGGTGCCTACTCACCTACTCCACATCTTTCCAAAGCTGAGGGATACCGGGATACCCCAACCGTTGGCTCCGACTGTTGGGCCCAACTGTTGGCCCCAACCAGGACGGTTTCCCCCATTCAACCCTCGGATCAAACTGATCAACAGAATTTTGACTTGCGGCTTCCAATGGTTGACCGTTGTGTAGCGCACGTCCCATCTTCGGAGCTGCAAGATGTGGGCCACGAAATGACTGGCCAACTGAGTGGCAGCGATGACTTGGAGGTGCAAATTCAGATGCGGCCTTGGGACAGCGACGAGAGCCAAAAGAGTGCAGAAAATGAAGCTGCAGAAGATGAAGTCATTCGGACAGAAACCGACCACCAGATCCGCCAGTTGATGCCCAAGGTGGTCAAGAGCATTGCGCAGATGGATGTAACTCACCCTGAAGTCTTGAGAACCGCACGGGCACATCAGGCTTTCCAGCACTTTGCAGCAGCACTGCGTGTTGGATCTGATGGAGACTTTTACTACAAGAGTCGCAAGAGTCATAAGATCTCAACCTTTTGGAGCCACTCTTGGCATGGAGGACATTGGAACAAAATCCTCACACTGATCCTTGGGCCTGCCAAAGGTGATTCTGTATTTTTCTAGTGTGACATCCACCATTTAGGAATCCACAGAGTACATTTTGACCTTTCGGGCAAGCAGATCAAAGGATCTCCTTCTACAATGGCACTGCTGCTGTGTCATTGGGCTTGCTCACAGGTGGGCACGGCTCAAAATTGAGGTACCATGAGGTACCCATGTACCCACAATCAGGTCATTTTTGATATGTAGTATAATAAAGTCTATTCGTATGAGATATTGTAATATATATATATTGTATACATATATATAAATATATATTGTGTATTACATATATATATATATATGTTGATATATGTTGTATATATATAACCATGTATATTAGAATAATATATATATAATATTATATATAATATAATATATCATATAATATGTATATATATATTATATGTA